CTCACTGACTATGTATATAGTACATTTTGTAACACAGAACAACTTGGAAGAAATGCCAGCTTAACAATTGTACTGCTTGGATCCAGCAAACTACTTCCAATTCACCTCATAATGTGAAGTTGAATTAAGAACTGAAAAAGTGCACAGAATTCTTAAGTATTTATTTTATTTTTAACTGATTTTTGGGAAGCTGAATTTGTCAGAAATGTGACAGAACAGTCACATTTATCACAGTGGCAATTTGGCTGAATGTAGCTGAATTTGTTCATTTCAGCAAATGGCTGGATTTGGTCTTTTAACGGACATCTGAACATATTATCCCCATTCATTTAACATTTTAATACTGATTTGTTCACACCAGAGATCCATACATTCCCTTCAGCACACTCTAGGCAACACCTACTGTCTGCTTATATCAGAAACTTGTAATATGTTGCCAGCGCTCTTCCTAATGCTTGGGATTATGCATCCTCAAGGCCCCATCATGTTAAAAGCTCCATCTTGTTGCAAGGGCTCATGGCAGGTGCTACAAACCAAGACACCCAACCAGCATTCTTTCTTTTTTTCAATACCAAGGGCTTGCATACCACTTCTCTTCCTTCTTTTTGAAGACAGAAGTCATTCTGTGGGGATGATGGGTAGAGCAGAGATGGAAGAGGTTGTGCTGGAAGATGTTAAGGGCTGCCATCAACCAGTCCTTTGATCTAAAAACACGTCCAGACATGGTTAAAACTGCTGGGTCTGCTAACCAGATGGCAAGGACTCTCCCTGCTCCCAGTTTCTCTCTTCTGATTTTTCAATTCCTACTAAAATCAGTAAGATTCTGCTGCCTTCAGAATTTGGACTTGCCATAAACACTGGAAGGCAACAAAATGCTGAGAGGTATACAGTCTTGACAGTGCAAAAGCATCATTATAAATCCTCCCTCTTCTCTGCCACTTCACATGAAGACAGTAAAATTACACCAGATTAAAACAGGTTCATCTGAGGCCACAGCTAGATAATAGCAAGAAAAGCCAGTGACTTCACCAGGAGCAGCATGCTGGCTACTACTAAATATTTTGGCATTTCTCACGATTTGACATCAGAACAGCTCTGCCTCTGACCTAAGGGTTTCAGTTAGCTATTTAACCTCTGCTAGTTCCCAGAATAAAAGAATGCAAACTGGGACGTACCTACTTTATCTTGAGCATGTTCATGCAAGAAAACGACAGCAGCTCCTTTTCACAGCCTTAATGAAGTTTTTTGTGCCTGTCTGTATAACACAGCATTCTGTTTATTTTATAGACTTATAATAAAAAATAAATGACACTTTATGAGCTACATGATAGTATTTCAACAATACCTTGTTGTGACACGATATGGTGTAATTACTTAGCAGGAGATACTACCATTTATTGTTATGTTACTGAGTCATACCCTTCAGGCTTCAGATTGGTGTCTTAATTTGCTTTTTTAAAGCCATACAGACTAGCAAGATAAGTAAAGGGATTTATTAAAACAACTAGGAATAAAGACATCGTCTGAACATGCGTGCACGGCCATGTGTTTGAAAATTCCTTCCCCTTCCTTCTTTGCTTTGTTTGTACAGCATTATCGATTGTGTCATTAAAAATCAAAGTGAAGAGAAATTTTAACCTAAACAAACAGGTATGTTACACTAGGGTCCTATTAAGACAGTTATATACATAGACTGGTCCTGCAGAGCCAGAAATATTCAGCCCCTTCTACTGACTTTACCCACGAAACAAAGCATGTAAATGAAGATCTGCCGGATAACCTGTCTATCCACAAGTATAACAGGCTTTTCATCTGTCCACGCCATTAGCACTGGACAGGGCTTTACCAAGCACAGCGTTTGCCTCTTCTTTGGTCTTATGGTTAGGTACCATACATCAGTAAGGAGAGAACATACGGCACACTACAACCAGTAAGCACACTGTATTCCAGTGAATAAGCGGCAGAACTTTTCCTTAACCAGTGGAATCGATACAGTCAGCCAAGATACAGTTTTTCTTAAAAGTATCGTTCCCAGTGAAGTCCCTCAGTCTTCTGTGGCTATCGCCGCCTCTCATTTTACAGAGAGCGTGTGCGGTGCACTCCGCTGAAAACGGTCTGGAGCAGCAAGCGCAGTCCTGGGGCAGAGCCAGCGCCCCGCCGAACCCCGCACCCCTGCGCTGGGAGCGGCCCCGCAGCGCGGCCCCCGCGGCCCCGCGCCGCTGCCAGCGGAGCCCGGAGGGGCGGGCTGGGTCACACACACACCTGCCCCGGGCCGGAGCCAGACGCAAGGCTGGGCAGGCTGGGGCGGCACGGGTGGGGGAGGGAGGGAGGGGATCGCAGCCTCTGGCGACAGGGGTCGAGTCGAGGCAAGCTGGCAGCGCCTCTCCCCGCCAGACCCTTTTCGCTCCGGCCGGAGCGCGCCCGAGGCACGACGGGCCAAGCGCAGCCATAAAAACCTCCCCGGCACGGGCCTCAGCAGCCGGCGGTCCCGCCGGGCCAGCGGCCAAGCCGGGGCGGAGCCGGGCCGACACCTCTGCCCCACGCCCGCCGCGCTCCAGCCCTCGCCCCGCCCGGCCCCGCCACCTCCCCCGGCGCGCCGGGGCGCGGCGCGGGCAGCCCGCGGCGGCAGGGCAGGGGAGCCGCCGCCCGGCTCCGCGCCGCCCCGCGCCCTTTCCCAGCCCCCGCCGGCGAAGCCAGCTCGGCGGCAGCGGCCCAGCGTGAGCACCTCCCTTCCTTCCCCCCGGGCGCTGGGTGTTGCTGTTGTTTTGCTGCCGCCGCAGGTCGGCCGGGGTGGACGCGGAGGGAGGGAGGGAAGCAGGGAGGGGTGCGCCCTGCCGCAGGGCCGCTGCCAGGTGCACGCCTCTGCCTGACACACGGGCGGGGAGGAGGAGCTGGACGGGCAGGTTTGTCGGTGGGGCGGCCCCGCTCCCCTCCCCTCTCCTCCCCGGGCTGCTGGGGATAATTAGTGTCTGTGCGAGGCTGTCTGCCCCCGGCAGGCAGGGCGGGCGCGCAGTCAGTGCGTGCCCGCCTGTTTGTGAGCGGTGACTCGCCCCGGCCCCTGGCGGAGCCTCCACCCCGCGGGCGGGGACCCGCCCGGCCGCGCTCCCTGCCGTGACCCTCCTACCGCCACTTACCCCGCCGGCCCGGGGAGCCTGGCAGGGCGAGCGGCGCCGGCGTCATGTGACAGCGCGGCCCGGTGCCAGGAGCCCGGGGGGAAGGCGAGCGGGCGGAGGGCGGGAGCGGGCAGCTCCTCCTCGCACACAGACCCGGAGACATCGCCGAGGCGCCTTAGCCGCGGGGACGCGGGATACGCCGGCCTCGCGCCTCGATCCCAACGGAGCGCTCCCGCTACTTACCGCGGCCCCCGGCGCTGCGGGAGCCGACGGAATCGCGGCGCTCTCCGCACCGCCTGCCGAGCGTAAGTGCGAGGGCGGGGGTAATGCGGGGGCCGGGCTGTGCTGAGTGCGGGATGGATGTGCCGGAGGAGGAAAGTTTCCCGGCGCTGCGAGCAGCGCGGAGCCCGAGGCGGCAAGGTGATGCCGCGGGAGCCGCTGCCACGCCGGGGGTGGCGGGAACTGGGTCTCCGTCAGGCCGCGCTTGCGGGAAAGGGGAGCAGGACTCGCCGCGGGGGTTCCCTCCGCGGCTCCCGGGAATGTCGCTGTGCGGCCGGCGGGAGCCGGGGGCGGGGGCCGCCGCTGTCCGCCGCGCCCGCCGGGCGGGCAGCGCACCTGTGTGGCCGGCGGGGCCGCTCGGGGGGCGCCTTCCCCGGCGGGGGGGCCCGCGGGCCGCCCGCCCCTCGGGGCCGCTCTCCCGCCCGGCTCTCCCGCAGCCCCTGGCCTCTCGCCGGGGTGGGACAGGCACGTCTTCGGGTAGAGACTGAAGTGCCATCGGATGCCGGGCGAGATACAGTGCCCAACCAAACCGAGGTGGAAAGTATAGCGGGCTCGCTCGGTTCCGCGGGCGACGGGCTAGATGCCAGGGCAGGAGCTCGTGTCCGGGCCGTGTTCCTCCCGCAGCGGCAAGCGCCATGTCCCCCATTTAACCCTTGGTGAAGTCTAGGATGAAATCGGCCCCCGAAAGCCTGCCCCTCGTATTGTCACGTCACCTTAGCACCGCTTGGCCGCCATGCAGGCAAAGGTAAAACGTGGGACAGCAAAGCAGCGAAGTGTGGAGTTAGAAATAACCTTTCCTTTGCTAGATGTCTTTTGTTGGGGTTTTTTAATTCTGTTTTAGAGTTTTTTGTTTTGGCTTTTGTGGGATTTTTGTTTGGTTTTTTTTTTACTTTTTTTTTTTATTTACTTGTTTTTAACCGAAATGGGAATAGGAGTTACTTGTCTCGGACTGCTGTCGGGTGAGTGCCTGGCACAGCTAGGGGAGCCCTGGCAAAGGAAGGCTCAGCAACACGAGCCTGCGGTGGGAGATCACAGCACCTAACTGGAGCTTGGGAGAAAGACCTGGTTCAGAATAGTTTAAGTGGTGATTTGGGAGTTACATGAAAAAATACCTTAAAGCTGTTTTGTACACTTCCCTTTTGCTTCAGGTACTGTACATGCATGGTCCACTGTTTTATTCACTTCCTCACCTTTGAGAATTCAGGAAGTGTCACTGTTTGTGGAAACTGAACTCTGAAGGTTTAATTGTTGGGAAAAGCTGAATTTGAGTGGCTGTAGGAGACCTCTGAAGACCTGACTTAATTTAAACTAATATTCATAAATATACATTACCTGTATTGAAAAGAAAGATTTACATGGCTGCTGACTAGTGACTTTTCCATCAAATACTTTTAAGACACCCATGTGATAGTCACATGAGCAGCTGGTGCTTGTGTGAAAGGAATTACATCTGGATTTGATAATCCCACCTGACCCAGAAGACACTTACTTCAAATTAGCTTTCATCTTGTGTTTTTAAGAATATATTGTTACTGCCTAGTATCAAAATATAAAAAACCCAAAGCTGACTTGAGTGGCCTTTTTTTCACAGGCAGGCAAATGTTTCTGTTTTTTTTTTTTTTCTCCTGCACATAGTTATGGTACGGATCACAAGAGAGACTGGGGGTAAGAGTGAGGAGTGGGGACAGGAAAGAATGCTAAATAGTCTTTCCCTTCCCTGAGTATCCAAGCAAAACTTCCTCCAAGCTGCAGAGCTAGCTGCAAGGGAGCCCGTAGGTACTGTGAACATTTGACCTAGTCAACACCTGTTTAGCCAAAAGCAAAAGCCTTCAGATAAATAAAGATGTAAGTGTGAGTGAGATAAGTTAAAGACTGAGTGATAATGGAGATGTTATACAATCACCAAATTACCTATATTTGCAGTTACTCGGTAAGTAGAAGTAAGGAACTGATACTGTTGGCATAAAACTTCCACTCACACCTTGCTGTGTAGATGCTGTACTAGCTAGTTTTTACCCCATGTTCATTATTAAACTCCAGCCTTGGAACCCCACAGCATTCATTGGTGTTGCTGTGGTACCTGTCCATATAATTTGCTGTAACATTCTCACATTTCATAATATTAGATGTTCTACCCATGGTGTCTAAAAAACTGATGCAAGGTATCTAAGAGAAGAGAGTATTTGAAACCACAGCTTTAAAGGAAAACAAGTGTTGAAGTTATTCTACTGCATGAAATCTAGACAAGTTGTGCTATTGCTCTGCTTCAGCTTACTTCATTTATTCAGCTTTATATGTGGGTGCTTCAAAAAGAAAAGTAGTAAATTAATGGGAAATCAGATTCTGAAATAAAGTGCATATTCTAAGTGCATATGAAAACAGGGAAGGCTAAGCTTGTGATGGCTTGGAAAAATATTCTTGGGTGCTCTGAGTGTGCTGGTCCTCAGCTGTGGAGCAGTATTGAGCGTGAGTGAGCCACTCACTGTCCAGGAGCAGCCCGAAGCTTTAGAAATCCTTCCTGCAATTCTCATCCCCCAGCTCTCTCTGGGAAGAAGGTGCTTCTGCCAGGCTGGGTGCTGGCTCTGATGTCATGAAGCCGGAGCTCTGTTTAGCTACTGGCATTTATACAATAATAAACCAACTGGTCTAAGGGAAGGTTTCAGCAAATCCTCCTGACCTGTGGTGTCTTAAAATCTCCTGCTCCCTCATGTTAAGGGAGCCTGTTTGTAAATAGGGCAGGTCCCCTGCATAAGGACAGTGTTTTTATTCACACCCAATGAACAAACACCTCCACCCACTGTTGTTGTTTTAAAAGACTCCAGCTGCTCATGAATATAGGGTCAGGGAGGGCCGCCTAAATGTTTCTCTGTGCTTTCTCCTCAGCACAGCCAGCAGAGCTGTTTCCTGTTCTTTGTTTCAAGGCTGGGGTTTGCGTCACACATTCCAAGTGGCATATGTGGTGCTCTTTCCTGTTTCAGGCTGTTTTCTGGCAGTTCAGTAGCCTCGGTCCAGGCCCCTTGTCACTGCCCCTCAACTCCCAATCCCCACCCGATGAGTTATCATGTCTCTACACACTCAGGATTGCTTAAGATGCCTGGGTTATGTCATAACGAGGTTTCCAAGTTAACCTTTAACACGCCCCTTCAACTCCAATGCAGTTATGGGGGTGGACTGGAGTTTTTAGCTCTGTTCGCTGAAAACTTGAACTCAAGTCTCCAGAAAGTTGTGAGCCAGTTTTCTGCTCTCACTTGCTCATCAGCTGATCTGGAGTAGTGCCATTAAAGTCACAGAGTTGCACTGATGTATAAGGAGTATATGTGAGAAGAGAGTCCACTTCTGTAGGCTCGTATTTGTCAGAGGGTTTTGACTTCAGCCCTTACTCAACCTGAATGGCTTACTATAAGCACTTTGTATTTCCAATTCTCAAAAGAAGAATGTATTTTCCCCTTAACCAGGCTAGAAGATTCATTGTCTTCCGGATGTAATACAGAAAATGAGGCACTGGTGTCTAACTTTTATTTGGTATAATAAGTACTGCTGTCCCTGTACTACTTAATCAGTAGTTGCATTTTTGAAGGCATAAAAGTAGTTGTTTTACTCCTGTTTTTATATTTATCTTTCCCCCTTACCCTGTTGCAGGCAGACATAGTAAGAAATTGAGAGGAAATTGAGAAAAACATAAATCTCTCTGTTACTTTGAATCTGTCAGAAGAAGAGCTAAAGGATCCAAGCCAAAGGTCACTGAAACAGAGAGAAAAACTTGCACTAACTTCAGTGTGCCCTGGATGAAAATGCAAGATGGAGTATTTATTCTTCTCTGTCTCTTATGGGCTGGAATATGCATGGTTACTGTACACACAGAAATGCTTCCACCCTTTCATTTTACTCTTTTTTTTTTTTTTTTGCTCCAGTAATTTTTTAGTCTTTTAGTTCCTGCTCTTACTCTTCTGGATGTTACAAATTATCTGTTTGAGATCACTGATGGTATCTTTAGGAAGTATCTGAAGTACACACTTTAAACTTATTTCAGAGCTTAATTGTATGTGAAAAGAAAATTTATTGTATTATGTGCGCATATTAACAGAAAACTGTTTTTTGTCTGTTCAGAAATCCAGATAAAAAGAAGTATTTGGCTACACAGTTTTGGTAAGTTGTTTATTGATTATTTTAATGTGTTGCTCTCATTTGTTTTTATTTTTGTTTTTTTTTCTGTTTGTTTTAGAACACCATGGATGAGTTCACTCATTAGAACACAGTTACATATTTTAATTCTTGTACTTTTAATTTTCCCAAGATTTCAAAGGTAATTTTTTTTTTCCAATGACAGAGGAAAAGAGTTGCATTTAACTATGTTTAATATTGGAAACTGCTGTATAATAAATGAAGTAAATTTTGTGGTTGACACCTTTTTGTAGCCAGAAGTTCTATAAAATAGAGAACTGAGGTTAAAATTATAATAATTTTTGTAAACCAACTTTTAAATATTAATTAACACTGCTAACAAGAGGTCTTTTAGAGTTCCCTTATGCTGTCAGCATTCAATCTTTGTGTTTTCATTCTGAGGCTAGTTGCTTCCAATCCAGAATATGAAGTTTGGCAGAGCTGGTTTTAGGAGAGATTTAACTCTTCCCTGTGAAGCATTCACTTGTTGCTGAAGCTTCCTTTGAGGGTTTTCTAGCTGTAGGTGATATTTACCAGGGGAAGAAAGTTAAGTGTTCATCAGCCAAATGGAAAGACAAAGCTCCAACAGGTTTTAAATAGTAAACTAACTCAGAAGGGAAAAAACTTACAACCAAATCCATGGTCTGGCTGTCATGCAGTCCGTGTGTGTTACCAACCAACTAACTTACATGACAGAGTTTCCACTTAAAGAGTCTGAGTTGATTTGATCACTGTCACATTTGTACCCACTGTACTGTCCACCACTTTTCCCTGCTTGGGTTTGTTTTTTTTTTTCATTTCTATAGGTTCATAGAAGTTCATCAGCATTTGCCTTGTATTCAGATTCTTGTTCAAATCAATCATTTAGGCTGTTATTCAGAAATATATACTTCCTTTCTCTAGGATTAGATTTTCTTTCTTCTTTCCCATGCTATAAAAATGTTGAATCTCTTTTTCACGTTTCCTGAAATAGCAGAACCCTTCACAGAAGAGAACAGTATTTTCTGTCATTTTTCACTCACAATTAAAAGGTTTAATATTTCTCCTTTCAAATTATCTTAAAAATGAACCTTAATCTTAAAAATTAACCTTCTCTTAAGAAAAACACAACAAGAAAAGCGAAGCTCAGTTTGGAAGGGAAAGATTATCATACCATTCCACATACTTCATTTGTTTTCAAAAGTCTGATCTTTTATCCTTACTGGACTGTTTCTCCTTCTAAGAAGTAGCTTGAGACAGGAAACCAGACAGCAGTCTGCCCTGATAAGGGAGAATAGTCTAATGGAGGTGCCTTAAGAAGTTCTCCTCGTAGGTTCAGTGAATGTAGAACTGAAGATTGAACAGGGTTTATATGGGCTCAGTATTTCCTTGGTAAAGAAGATATTTTCTTAACAAGCACTTCAAGAACATTTTTCCCCAAGATTTTTACATACAAGAAAGCCATTTCCAGACACATGGCTTCAGAGAGCCTGCAACAGTATTATCTGAAATTTAATTGAAATACCAATTAGTCAGCTACATGTCAAAGCAGTTCTAGGTCAAACAAGGTGACATCAACAAAGTTATGATGCACAAGTTGTGCAAAACCACGAGTTTTTCAGCCTGCTTGTAGTCCTGAAAGGAGGAAGATAAAAGATTTTCAAGTCTTGGCTAAGAAACAAATAAAGTTTTAAATACTAAATACCAGAATTCTGTAGAAATGCTCTTTTTCTTAATGCCTATCAATAAAACTTTGAAGAGAAAATTTTTGCCTAGGTACCATTTTCTTTTACAAAATATTCTAAGTTTTTCAACAATTATTATTGTTACCCAGTGGAAATCCAGCAAATAAACACAGAAAGCTATTGATCAGTAGAACATTTTCTTGGCATGCTGGTTCTTCCTGATTATCCTTCTGCTCTGTTCCTCATGGTCTGGCTGCTCTGGACTCTTCCCACAGCACCACGTCTGGACCTTTGGTGCTTTGGCTGAGTCTTGACTGCTGTGCTGAACTGGAGAGCAGCTTTGCCTGCTGCTATTTTGGGGTCAAGTGCAGTTAAGCACTTACTTACTTCCCATTAAAGTTAATGGAACTTCAGAAACACTTTTTTGATGACTCAGGTCTTGATGAGCAACTGGTACAGTAAAATACAAACACGTTACGAGCTCTGGAAAACAGCTTTTTTACCTTCAGCAGGCAATGTTTGACTCAGAAACTGGTTTCTCTCTGTCAAACTCTTTGGAAGTTCCACTGAAGACAACTTTTCACCTGGGTTCAAAAAACCTCCCTTCCCTATTGGATTTCATCAGTGGAGAATCCTCTGATACTATTGTTTCTCCAATGTATCAGAGGAAGTTTGACTTGAGGTTCATAGAAGTCATAGGTTCAGAGCGACAGGTCGGAGTCCCAAAGTGCTTGGACTGAAGAGCATTTGCAACATGATAATGTTTGCTGCTGGATTCAAACTGTGCTGCAAGAGCTGCACTTCCTTGCAGAGGGCACTTGTGCAGTGCTATTTTAGCAGATATCATTACATTATTCTGTAATTATACTGATAATAACAATCATACCTTGAAGCTTCTAGACAAAGACTTGCTGTACATGGGGCAGCATTCCTTTGCTTCTCCCGGGCACAAAGATAGAGGAAATAAACCCTATATGCGTTCTCGGGCAGAGTGAAGAGGGGCAGCATGTATGGTCACCACCCCCCTGTCTAGCAAAAGTCAGTCACTGACTGCTCTTCAGGTATTTAATGAGGACAGGCTTTGTATTAGAATAAAACTTTGTTGTTGGATGTGCACAGTTAAAACTGGCCCTCCACCCCACCCTTTCCTTTCATAACAGGTCTGCAGAGTTGGTGGACCTTGAAGGTAGATGTTCAGGGCTGCTGGGAGTAGCTGCACTGCGGTTGCTCTTTTCCAGCTGCTCTGCAGTGCAGATGTGTAGTCTGAGTGCATTTTTTAACCGCTTTGCACATTCATCCAGGGTAAATACTCCATACAAGCCTTTATTGTCAGAATACACGTTTAAGTACCTTTCAGCATTCATTTAATCTTAATTATGTCTCTGAAACAATAAACCATACACCTGTCAGGAAGTTAATACTGACAAGTGTTCAATCCTGACAAGGTGATGAGCTCTAATGATAATGATCTCCCCTTCTGGAATGGATACCTTGCTGTATGTTAGATCATAAGGGCGGAGTTTGTGTTGTGAAGACAACAGCTGGCTTGCTGTCTTTACTGGACTTCAGATAGGGGGATACTGAGGGACTCTGCCTGGACTTTACCTTGCACCTGTCCTTATTTGCATACAAAACCCAGTTGCTTCATTCGTCTTTCTGAAGTACAGGGTGTGAGCAAAATCTTATCAAAAGCCGGGTCCTGTTTGGACAAGTTGGACTGACTTGGCAGAGATCCACAGGGTGGAGTGAATGGGAGGAGGCAAGAAAGTAAAACTGGGTGGCTTGTTAGCAGAAATAAAGAGGGAGAGCAAGAAAAAAGAGAGGGTGGAATGTTTGCTTACCGGATTGCAGTTAATTATTTAGTTTCAGATTACATTCATATTAAATTCTTTTACCTCACATGAGAAAACCTTTTAATGCAAAATAGTTTACCTAATAAAGTCAAAGACAAAAGTTCTTATTTTTTAACATATTTAACATTAATATATTGTTGTCACCTCACCAGTTTTTCTCTCAGGAATGAGATATGGTATTTTGATTTTCCAGAAATTATTTGTATATACTAAACAATTTGCAGGCTTTCAAAGTAGATTCTAAAACCACTCTGTAAAGTAGAACCCAACTGTTTTTGCATTCCTCTGTAATAGAAATAGATAATACTGTTTACCTTCCCTATTCCTTCCTTCCTTCCTTCCTTCCTTCCTTCCTTCCTTCCTTCCTTCCTTCCTTCCTTCCTTCCTTCCTTCCTTCCTTCCTTCCTTCCTTCCTTCCTCCCTCCCTCCCTCCCTCCCTCCCTCCCTCCCTATTTTTCTTCTTTCTTTCCTTTTTTCCTTCACTACAATACAGATTGGTGTGTTATTTTATCTATGCACATACAAGCTAAAAATCAAAAGTTTCTGGAAACCTGAAAGGAATTAGTTCCAAATTCCTATATAGGATTGTAAGTGGATACATTTTACTGTAATGTTTTTTCATGTCTAAAAGTAGAACTTCTCTGTTTTCACAATGCAGATGAATGTGTGAGATCATGAGTGATGCACAGATACCTGAATGTATATTTACACGTAGTGAAAAAGTATTGGGAAGTCAGTATTCTGAAATGTTAGTTCTAGCTATGTGACATGTTGAAACCTGAAAAAGATAGCTAGGTAAGAGTTATCTAAGTTATAACCATTCAAAGAAAATAGTGAAATTAATAACCGTCTCACAAACGTGCTTAAGATATTTAGGGAATTACCACAAATTTCAGTAAATACTGCCGTTTTACATGACTGCTCCCGAACTAAAACTACATATTAAGTTTAAACTGGAAATTGCATTAAGCTGTATTACTTGTTTCACTTTAGTTTTGCAATTTGTTTTTGTCAGGCCTTCAACTTTTATAAGGTGAATTATGGAGATGCTATAATTTACTCTGCTACTTGTTTGTTTCCATTATTCAAAGTGCACACTGTTGTAATATATTTCCAAAAATCTTTAAACTTTATTTATGTACCTGAATGGTAGACTCGTAACAACTCATGCTACCTCTCTGAACAAATTTTGATCTTTAAACACATGCTAACTGCAAAGTTGTTCATTAGTGTAGGCTTATTAGAGTTGTTTTAATTTGAGCAGGTACAGCTTTACATGTTCATTTACATTTCTGGGATAATTTACCAGCCACAGCTACAAATCTGTTGGTGAGCCTGCAGCCGGTCCTGCGGGGTGAATTGCCGATGCTGGAGTCTGTATTCGCTTCTTTCCAGTGCCATCTACTGGCAAATAGAATTTGTGTCATTTACTTTTGTCCTTGTTTCATAGAAGAGGTCGTACCGCCTCCAGGCAGGGCTGTGAAGCCCACGGTGTAGGGTCAGAACTTGCTCCTTTGACATCAGTCAGAAAATGTATAACCTCGAGTGATTTGTAAACAGCTTGGCAGCATCTAAATGTCACTGCGAGCAAATTCCCTTTGCTTCCCCTTAGCTTCTTCTGGGTAAAGCCCTTATAGAAGAGGTATCTCCTTTTCTTCCCTGTATCTTTCCAAGATAACCATGGCAAATGTGAAGTCTGACAGTTAAGACATGCTTTATGCTAAATACTTTTATTTCAGGCATTTAGAGATTGGACAAGCAAGGTTGAACACTGTAGGAAAAAAAACCTGAAGTTGCACAGAATGAAAGCAGATTGTTTTGAAGTGCTTTTATTTTGCACAGTAAGCGCAAATAGTTGTTGAATTGTCAGTAAATCTATTATCTTATAATGAAAATGCATTTTTCTGTTAATTCATTGTAGCATGTTGAATGTAGTCCAAGTTAGTCTTGAATTTTAATTTTTATTTTTTTGCATTGATACCAGTTTCACTGTATGATCCATTGAGTGTTTTTATTAGGACTCTTAAGATAGAGAGATCCTTTCCAGAAGCAGTTCATTTGTATAAACAAGATTATTCTGAGGCTGTAATGCTGATGAGAAATGTGTGGTCTAAACTGTGGTGTGTTAAAACACTTGACAGTTAATGAAAGTGAAAATTCTGTGGTCTTGGTGTGCTGGCATGCACAACAAAAATTCAATTTGACTTTCATTAAAGTGAGCAGATGTCCCTTTGTTTCAATAGGAATTTGGAAAGAAAAATCTTGCAATAAATTCAGTCACAGATTTAAAAATCTGTGTTAGAGATGGATAAATATTCACATTAATCTGACAAAATAGTAAATTCTCTACAATTCAGAAAGTTGATTCAGGTATTTCCCATGGCTTTCTAACACCTTGTCTTTCCCCATCAGAACAGAACCTCAGAGGCATCAGAACAGGTGAATAAAAAAAGATGCTAATGTTTGACCCAGTCCCTATCAAGCAAGAAGCCATGGAGCCTGTTTCAGTGGTAAGACTTTTCAAATATATTTGCCCTAAAAATGACTCTTGAGTTTTTCCACCTTTAAATTCATAATGAGATGCAATTAAGCTTTGGAGTAGCTTAGGAAAGCATGTGAAGGTATATTTTGCTCTTAGTGCAATCACATTCACATTTTGGGAAAACTTTATGTAGTTTATTAATTTCTTGCCTTAAACTACCTGGCCAGTTGCCTATCAGAGGAGAGAGCATCCATGTATTCCTGAGCCACTGCTCAGTAAATATAATCTCTGTAGCTGATGCTGCTGGTGGAGGTGGGTTGAAATTAAGTTGCCGCGCTTCATGGTGAAGTGGCAATAGCCTGTTGTTTCAGTGTTACACCCTTGAACTAAGTGAACAGCTTCTTGCTGTGCCTTTCTTTTGTTTTTCTCTTGCTTGTGGTAACAGGTGCCTGTGGTAACAGGTAACGTGACTAGCTCTGCTCTAAACAGCAGAAAATTATTCCTGCAAAAACCCAAATTAGTGATGGCTTTTTGCTGGGTAAACTGGTTGCGCTGCTTTACCAAGTGAACAAATGAGAACTAGGGCAGTGGGGAAAAAAGGGGAAGAGGAGACACTTCTTTAAAATTGGGTTAATTTTCCACGATCTCAGAGAATAGGCTCACCTCGGAGAAGAGTCTGATAAACAACAGCAGCAGGACATATAGGTGGGAGCAGTACAGTGAGAATTGTGATGATATAGGCTGCTGCTGAAAGGAAAGGTTTTGACTTGGCTCCCTCCATACCAGCTTTTTGTCTCCTTTGTGTGACTGAAGAATTGTGTGGTCCTAGAATTATTTGAAACCTTTGGATCAGCTCACTGAATGGTCAGAATTGCTAACGCACCAAAAATACTCATTTTTTGGTCAGATCAGGAAGCTGATCTGACTCATCCTGTGCAGCTGCTCAATATTAGAGCAAGGAGAGGGCAGAAGATGAGAGAACAGGACCTCCCCTTTCAGCTTTTAGCCTGCAATAACAGATTAATTGTAACATGAAACCACACCCCTAGAAAGGCTGATCCATAAAAAGGGTTAACTCAGTGTACATAACTCAGAGTGCATTAAGTTTGTGCTCTGAATGTCATCTTTCAATGAAAAGTTTGTTTTCTGTTTTATTTAAAATAATTTTCATAAATTTAGATGCATCTGTAAGCTGTCTGATTTCTTCAGTGCTATTAATAGCACTTCTGGGAATTAAGTTTATATGCATTTTAAAATTACAGTTTGACTTATGTGAGGTTTATTTGCTGAAGAGTAATGATAAAACAATAAGTGTCGCTGAAAGTACGAGCATGACAAATTCCTATATTTGCGTCAAGAAAGAATTTTAGTATTGGCCAGCCTGTCTGTCACTTTAATCACAGTTGTTGTGTAGCTATATTAAGATTAGTAGTGATTATCTACTATATTCTAAGATTATCTAATGGTGTCCATTGAAATCAGAAAAGAGGCTGGTTTTACAAAATAAGTGTCGTTGCTTTCTTTTGTGCCTTTTGTGCACATCTGCCTTCATCTCCCAGAGAAGGTTCTGCAATGGTTTGGGGCTCTGCACAAGACACTCAAGTGCCCCAAACAGTTGTATGCTTCTGCCACATGGGCAAGGTCAGGCCCTCAAAAGGCTCACCAGGAGAGGAGCGAGCAGTCTTTCCCAGACCAGCAGATGAAGGAAAAACTGCAGTGGAAAGAACAAGGGAGCATTTTTGAGCCAAGTGCATTTCAAGACTAGAGTTCCAAATATTGGTTATTTTATACCATATATTTTATGCCATATCCTAGTGATGCCTTCCACGCATTGGACCTTTGGAATCTTCTCATAAGTCAGTGTAATTACTCTGACCTAGCTATTAGAGACTACTCAGAACATTTTACCACCTGTATATGTTTTTCTTTTTGCCATTGCATGAGGGGAAAAAAAAAAGGAGAAAAGCAAAAGCAGAAAGTCCAGAGGAAAGTATGGTTTCTGTGAGTGAAGTTTCCATCACTGGACACTACTTTATTTTCCCTCAGGCTGAGGACCATGTGTGTTTCAGCTTCTGTACACACACAGGCTGCTTAGCCCCAAGCCCTTAAGCTCCCCAGCTCTTCTTGATCTTCTGGCTTCCTTGGAGCACTGGTGCCACAACAGAAACTGCTCTGGAGACACCTCTAAAGGGAGGTATTGTGATATGGAGAGAACATAGGAAAGGATAGCAGCCACTGAGCAAGTTAGTTAGTGGAATGCGAGAGAAACTCTCAGTGTGATGTTCAGAGGTGCTAGGCAGAGCAGACTGGGCTAACATAACCTGGAACTCTTCAATCAGGATTATTTGTATTGCATCTTTCATTCTAATAGACTCATTAGAGGCCAAATTAAATCAAGCCCCTTAGGAATAACTCACTCATCTCTCTGAGTGTAGGTGTACTCTTTAAACTCTAGGTGTAAAGTCTTTGTGTCTCTAAAACATCACAGTAGTTGGAGGGGAAGGAGGAAATTAGTAATGGTTTTGACACTGCTGTATTTCAGGGTGTGTGTCTGAAAGGATTAACTATGCTCTCAGGTGACTGAAGTTTGCACCCACACTATTTCATCTCTCTACCAACAGCTCATGCCATTTATTGAAATTAATTATTGAGCATATATTATTATAGTTTTTGATGAACTACTGACAAAGTCATCCGAGTCCTACCCACAGGACTACCTATTTGCTGTGAGGACTTTTTAAAGGACTTTTAAAACATTTGGGCCAGTTACCTTTTGGTGAAACAAGTTGCTTTTTTGTTTGAATTTGAATAAACCGGTTTTCTCTGTTTAGCAGAGTAGTAAAGAGAAGACTTTGTCAGGTGCTAAGAAGTACGACAGTGATTATCTGGATCATGATGATTAGATTTATTGATAATACAGTATCTAAATATTGCTAATACAGTATAACATACTAAGGTCTAAAGGGTTATAATATTAATTATTATAATATAGTATTATATATAATAATATTAATTTAATATTATAATATAGTATTAAAGCAGATTCAGCTAGAAATGTTTGCAGTCTTTGGCCTTGCAGAATGCACAGGTACAAAGGAACAAAGCACCTGTGGAACTGCTTCTGGGTTTTATCTTTGTATGTGACTGAATTTTGGCATTTTTACTCACCCATCCAAAAGCGAGTGTTCCAGTTTTCACTGTGGGTGTATTCTGCTGGCCTCCCTGCTGGGGAGGAGGGAATCTACCTGGAAGCTACCCACAGTCTCAGGAGACCAGTTTTCCCAGTCTCCAGCAGCATTTCTACCCTTTTTGCAGGCTGCGCACCAAAATAAATCACGATCAGCATTGCTCCCCCATCAAAGAATGCAGAAGCTATGTGAGCATCCACACAGTTGTTCCTCGAATTCCCACTGGGTGTTCTCAGGATAAGGTTACACCTAGGGATGCCTGTTCTTTAACACACTTCATTGGCCAAAAGCATTCCTGGAGATTTAAACTTCACAGGCTTTTTCCTTTTTAGCATTCTTGCAATGGAAGAAGAGTTCATAGGCAATGACATTGGGATCATCCCTGATTGCAGCACTGTAAATGCACTGATGCTTAGTGGTGGAATGTTTACAGTTCATTAAAGCTGGGTATACTCTGTACTGTAAACCAACAACAGGAGCTTTAACAGAAGTATTTAATGTTCCTTACCTGTTAAAATTTTGATTGTTTTGCTATATGATCTAATACATACCAAATGCTGCTAAATATTAAATTATATCAATATTTAGTGGTCTCCATCACTTAGAATGCTAATAATTTTATTGCTTGGCTCAGCAGTGCTGGCAGGTCTACAGACAGCACTTCTTGCAATAATGGCATTTAATAAAATTCTGATGAACCAATTACCATCAAAGATTAATGTTTCTATAGATGGAATTTGTAAGAATAATCATAAAGAGAATATATAACTTGCAGAGATTTTAATGTAATATTTACTGTCTGAAGATTAATCACCATTTTGTGTGCTGCTTTATTTGAATGTTTTATGGACTGAGGGACTCAGCTTTGTTGTTCTATCACAGTGCCATGAATGCAGGAGGAAAATTTAATATTTTCTAAACTCAGTGTTTCAAACAGTAACTGAAAATAAGAAAATTACATTTGTGTCATTTTGCAAAAATATTATGCGATGTTACCTCCCGTTAACACTGACATTTAAAATGAACCAAGTGTTCCCTCACAGGGAAGACAAGAGGTAAGAAACCAGGACAATGTATTAACAGCAGTGTTCACACCAGGAAGAAAAATAATTGAAATGTTACGGAAATAATTTTATAAAAATGCAGTCATTTTATGTTTCTGATATTTCACTTTATACAGTTTTGAACATATTTAATCCCACTCATCAAAATACTTTTGGTGCCAAGGAAGTAATTAGTTTTTAAATATTAGTTTACTTACCTAAAATCAAAAGATAGCATTTTATTTCAAAAAGTTGACAGCGCAACTAAAAATTTATGTGCAGTGTATTTTCTGTGTCTCACTGCTGTGTTAGAGCATCACATCAGTTTTCCATTGTGAGTTAGCTGTTCGTAAACAACCTCAGTTCTTAGCAGTTTTTAAATGCAGTATTGGTCTGGATATTTGTTTAATAATACTGCACTCTACAGTTAATGTTAATATTTCTTGGTTTACAAAAATCACTAGATATGTATCTGTTACTTATATAATGCATACATACATACATATATACATATATATATTATTACTAAATTGTAGAGATTGTCACATAGGTTTATATTGTAATGGGAACTGCTAGCTACCACTATGTAGTACCCATTTTCCCAAATTAGACTGGCTAAGTAGCTGCTTTATATCTCAAAAAAATCGTTTAGAAAGGTTTAGATTTTACCTTTTGCATTCTTGAGTTACTCACCCATTACTTACATAGTTCAGCTGAGTATTTTGTATTGATTGTAGGGTTCAGATTCCTAATTTCTTTTTCTAGTGATGATTGTTTTTCAATTACTTTCATAGTTGATTGGGACCCATTACTAGCAATTGTAAACCCAGCTGAGCTCCCTTCTTGCTAGAATTGATGATCCTCAGTAAATAGTTATATGCTTGGTATAGCAGATGTATCTCCCAGGTCAGTTAAGAAATGTACAGGCATGTATATATGACAGGCAATTTTAAAGGGAGAAAAGTAGTTGAATGAGCCTTGAAGATTTGTTTTCATAATCTGTCTTACATTGCTTCTGAAACAGTGAATCAGAACTTAACTTCCTGTGTGGGGAATCTGAGGCTTTATTTAATTCTGTTTTATTTAGAAACTACATTAAAATGCTTTCTTGAAACTTTTTCATTTTGCCTGTTTTATTGGCTGCCTTTCTTTTTCAGCAGTAGCTGCTTGTATGTGTTGATTTATTATTTGATTTTCTGTATTTCTTTTCCACTCCTTCTGACAGTCATACCCATCCAATTATATGGACCAAATGAAGCCAAACAAATACAGCGTCATTTATTCTACACCAAGTATGTTGCACAATAAATTCTATTCCAACCCTGAAGGACTATCAAATGGAATCCAGATGGAGCCAGTGGACCTTACAGTAAATAAAAGGAGCTCACCACCTTCAACTGGAAGTTCTCCTTCCCCACTAAAATTTCAGACTGTGCATAGGAGAAGTTCACCTGGATTGACTCTGTCCTCACCCAGCTCACCTCTCAGTAAATACACACCGTCACCCCCAGGAGTACAGCCTCTCTCTATGCCAATAACAATCCCACCTGTAATGGCCGCTGCTCTTTCACGCCATGGACTGAGAAGCCCTGGGATACTCCCGGTTATACAGCCTGTTGTGGTCCAGCCAGTTCCTTTCATGTATGCTCCCCATCTCCAGCAGCCCATCATGGTGTCCACAGTTCTCGCAGATGAGATGGAAACTCCAAGTAGCATGCAAGGTTGGTGTTGTCAGAATTGCTTTTTATGCTGTCTTATATGCTGACAAAATAAGACAAATATCCAAGCACTTGGTTTCTGTGGGTTGTTGGCATTTTAGGAAGTGGAACATAATTCCAGAATATACAGTTCTTCCAGAATAAACAGGCATAGAATTTGTTGTGTAAATATTTTACCAGACTTACCAACGTCATAGGATCACAGAATCTCTTTGGTTGAAAAAACCTCTGAGATCATCAAGTCCAACCTGTGACCCAACACCACCTTGTCAACCAGACCATGGCACTGAATGCCACATGCAGTCTTTCCTTAAACACCTCCAGGGGTGGTGACTCCACCTCCTCTCTGGGCTGCCCATTCCAATGCCCAGTTGCCCTTTCTGGGAAGAACTTCTTCCTATATGTCCAAACTAAACCTCCCCTAATGCACCTTGAAGCTATTTCGTCTTGTCCTTTCAGGCAGTTATAGAGAGCAATGAGGCCTCTCCTTATTTTCTCCAGGATAAACAACCCCAGCTCTCTCACCTGCTCCTCACAGGACTTGTTCTCCAGATCCTTCACCAGCTCTGTTGCTCTTGTTTGTATCTACATAAACTATTGATCTACTGAGATTTGGACTGATAATAACATTGGACTGATGAAAATGAATAGAAATGTTTTGAGTCATAGTTCATCAGGAGATAACTAAAACTGAAGGGTTTTGTATTTAGTGTAAATTGTCACAGTGAATGTAGAACTGATGGACTTGTTTTAACTATAGATTTTTTCCTGTATATTATTTATTTCCATAACTCTTCATAGTTTTTATGCATTGCTTTCCCTCTCCTACCCTCTGCCATACAGTGCCTGTCATTGAGTCTTATGAGAAGCCCACACTGAAGAAAACAATCAAAGTAGAACCAGGAAGTGAACCATCAAAGACTGACTTCTATCCTGAACAAATGTCACCTCCAATGATGACCTCATTGTCTCCTCAGCAAGTAATGTTGCAAGAGTAAGTAGCTAGCAGTAGTCCCAAGATCAGCAGAGGAACGGAAAGCAGTTACCATTTCTGAGGAGTGGGAAGGATTGTTGCTATGCTTTAAAACGTGTAATAAAATACACATTCATCCTTCCCACCACTGTCGCTGTGAAATGTGATTGCAAGTTTCTTTCCCCCTTCTTCAGCAATACAGGAGTTGATACATATTTATACCTTGCAATAGATATGGCATTTATATAATGCATTTCTAAAGTGAAGATAGGTTCCAATTCTACAACTTACTGAAAGTAGGACTCCCAATGAGCCAGTGATAACCTACTTACGTAAAATCAGCAGCAAAATTGAAAGAAACTTAAAAGACAGTTCATACTGATATCTCCATTCATGTTACTTGAAATACCTTTCTTTAAAATGAGTGTTGTGATTTTCTTTTCTTGGAGGACTTCTTTGTCTTTTCAAAATTTGCCTGCTTGGTGGGAAGAACCTCTTCAGGCTTACAAGTTCTGTATATATGAGTGAAATTGCATTTTTACCTGAGACCACTGTTCTGTGGATGATATTTTTTAACAGCTCAAGTAGATTCTGAAGCTTTCTTCCCACAGAGCCAGTTGTTTCCATCCCAGTATTAACTCATTGTGCTGGCATGACTGTTACTGGGGCCCCTGCATGAACTGGATCACAGATCTAATGGGATTTTAAACAATGCTGTTTGCAGAAGAAAGGACAAGGGCTAGAAGAAGAAATTTGGTCTGGGGCATAAACCTTTTAATTAAAAACATTTAAAAATTCTCTAAGGAACTACCTGAGGAGTCATGGGCACCCTTCTGTCGCCCTGATTCTTGAGTTTTCTTAAGCTTTCTGAGTTTACATTCTATTGGGAAACTTTCTTACACAGTTTCTGTAAATAACGTATTGTTTTGCATTCTTCTATGGGGGTAGAGAGACTTGATGTACTAGTACTTTGTCCAATGTCTTCGGAGAGGTGGCCCGTTCACTCTCCAATCCACTGTCACCTTTGGAGAAATATAAAAGTTAGAGTCAGAAAATAAACGCTCTCTTTTTTGCCTTGCAAAGTAGCAAGTGGCTCGCGTTTGCTTTCTTGTGTCCTATAGCGACACCCTTCCATTTCCTGTTTTTCTGGGGAAAATCCTGTCAATTTACTAAAACCATGGAATGACCCAGAGGCAGGCTCATCCTTCAGCAGGCAGTGCTCTGGGTAGGCAGGCAGGCTGCCAGCGTGGCTCTGGCAGGAGCTGAAGTTGGGAGCTGAGCAGGGCTCACAGCACAGAACCTCAGAATCCATTTCTGCACTTCCCTCTTGCTCACTGTCACCCTTCAGGTGGTTGTGTTTGACCTCACCTCATTGAGTAAGGAAAAGAGAGCTTCAAGCCAGACACTCAAACCCCAGTGTGGGTATGGTTCAGAAAGAAAAGCATAGGTCGATGGGTGGTCTTCTGTATTTTCTCCAGAACGCTGCCTCTTCCTCCTGCTCATGGCTGTTGGGTTCAAAAGCACACCACAGCACCAGGGCTGGCTACATTCCACAACAGCCTTCTTGTGGGCACCCCTCCTTGTCTTCAGTCTAGATGCACCTCCTAGACAGCAGGCTCTTTGCTAGCTTTTATAAACTGTATGCTGTTTCTTTTAAATTACCCTATGCATGTTTATTACATAAAATACTAAATATGCATGTTTACTAGTTTACTAACATAATGGACCTACCACACAAGGGAGTCAGGTCTTTATGTAGTTGGAACTCACTACTGCTAGGTCAGTACTATGAAATGGTTCAGTTTATTTTTTGTCTTTTGTCTTTTGCTCTTGTTAAGTCTCTTTGACAAGAGCAAACCAGTAAGTGCTGTTCCTGGCTGGTACCACACCCTTCCTCCAGGGCTGAAACTTCTGCAGACTTGTCACCTGCATTAGTGATTTGCATTATTTATTTCCCAATGGGTGTAGTTTCCCCAGCAAACCCATCCACTGAGCAAAGCATATAAAATTTGGTATCATGTGTAGATAGTGTTGTTACAGAAAACATTTGTATGTCCATGCTTCCTAAGCATCTCCTCTGCTTGCCCATGTAGAGTGTTATGTTCATGGAGAGTCCATCCTTGCATTGTAACAGCTTAAATTGCTTTGTACTGTCCTGTGGAGCTCTAGTTCTTGATCCTAGAACCAGCTCTTTCAAGTTCACATTCTGCTGTATCCAAAACAAGAAGTTTATAAATTGTATTTCTTATCATTAAAAAAATGCATAGACAATTCACACAAGTTATGAGATACTTGAACCTTTATTTTAAAAAAATGTTGTTGTCTCACAGCTTTATGAGCTATAGTTAGGCATTGAAGTTTTTATCACTATTCATTGGTTCCAGCTGCCAAGAGTGTACTATTCAGACACCTATGCTACATTAAAGAGGCATAGGAAACCTTTAATCTCACTGAAGTGACTTATTTAAGACTTTTAAGTGACTTATTTTGCTTTAGTGTTAGCTTTTGGCAGTATATCTATCTATATTTGGATATCTATATCTATCTAGCTATCTATCTAAAAATAATGTTGGTGACATTTCTGTAGGGATAGTTCGACTTTCTAGTATGTCTGATAATCGATGTAACTGTGCATCAATTAGTTATTTGTAAAATCAGGTTTCTAAATTATTTCTAAAATCTAGTTTTATTTATTTTTAAAATCAAACTTGAGGTAATAATAATAGTTTAAGGAGCCTTATTAACATATTTTCATGCAAGTTTCAAAGTCTAACTTATGCTGTCAACATAGTGTGGTCTGTGGTAAAGAAGAAAAAGCTGTTGAAGTTTTATCATAATTTTTAGAAGGTACTCTTACCTATTGAAGAGTGACACTTAAATGGGTAGACATACATGAACTTACATTTAGTTGTAGAAGAGGGAACAGAAGAATTAGGGCTGTGCTCTTATTGTTGGCACTTACTTAATATTTACCTCTGAATTTGACACCACCCTAACCATTTTTTAAAACTGCCACGCCCTATCTGATTATTGATAGCATTCTGTTGTCTTGCCAGTCTCCTCTCCCGTAAGGGCAAAAGAAGATATTCTCAGTGCTTTTACCAGTCACTTGTAGATTGTAAATGTAGATCACAAATGGTGTATGGCCAATATCCTTTTTCTCCCGTTTCCCAGATGTTAGCATGTCCAGGAGTAGCCTCCATACTTAATGATTTAAGCCAAGTCTGTTTGCTGTCCTAAGCCTGAGCTTCTCCAAAAAGACTGGTATGCAACTGCATTGGAACTGAGCACTGCTTTAGAGAGCTGTTTCTTTGGGAGCTAGAAGCCTGCCTTCTTATTTAAGAGTGTGTACGTCTCTGTCTAACATCACATCTGGGGTTTCCTGCCATTATAATATTTTTAGCTAGACTTAATGTGTACTTGAAGAGTATATCACTCAACAGTCACTGAACCACCCAAGAAAGAGATTTTGGTTCCCAGTTTCCAGCTTCTAACTTTTAAGAAAAAAATCAATAACAGAATTCAACATTTCCCACATTGGTAATCCCCATCCTGCTGCTGTGGGATCATGGAAAAATCTTGCTTTCTTAAGCCATGCACAAGATTTTCTGTCTTCAGCACATGCCCCTTATTTTACTGAGAGAAGTAGGAATTCAGTGTTTCTGAAAATTAGGTCCTAAAGGAACTTGGAGCAAGTAACCAGTAGAACCCAGTGTTACAAAACAGAAGTTGATTGGTAAAAACATGTGAAATACACTAACTTAGAAAAGACAGGAGTTCTAGAAAGCCCCTTTCTGTTGCATGGAGGAACTGGTTTTGCAACAAGGAATGCTAATATCGGCACGTTATAGTCGACACGTACCATTTTGACGAACATGTTTTCTAAGACTGGTGTGGAAGAAAGAATCAAGCTTGTCCCCAGTTCTACAGTAGGGGTGTCATACAACAGTCAAAGACACCTTTTAAGAAGCTTGCATGTTTTCACACGCGTGAACATTTATGTGTTTGTTTGTAGCAGAAGTCCCGTATGTAGTTCTTATATGTCTTACCTGCACTGTACCTGTGGGCTTCTAAAGTGAAAAATTATGTTTAAGAAGGTGGAGGGACAACTTCAGACATCCTGTGGGTGTGCCACACAGGCTAAACTCTACTTTTAGGAATTGACGTCAGTGGTACAGGGAGGCCGCACCCAGCTGCCAGCACCAAACAGGAAGTTCTTAATTACATTGTAAGGGAGTGGCTGGAACAATAAAGATTGAGTTCTGCTTTGAAACCCTAAAGATACAATTTCTTTAATAATATGGAATAGCTGCTTCCAATTACAATCAAATTTTGTTGTATTTGAAGGAAAAAAAAACAGTGAATAAAACAGAAGTTCACTCAGGGTTTAAGAAATCTGAGTTTGACTAAAAAACACAAATTTGAACACAAAGTTTTGCTCCAAAAGTTTTAAAAAAGAGCTAGGAAGTAGTAAAAATGGCTACATCATGCCACAAAATGAGTAAACATTTTAAAATATTACTGCTAAAATACACAAAATTTGCTAAACCCTGTTGAATTTTTCGACATGCATGTAATGTAGTCCTTTCTGCCAAGAGACAGAGTGGTAGTGAATAAAAGGCTCTGTTATGAATCATATTAGCTGAGGTTTGCTGTGCTAAGTGGTTTTGATTTTGAAATTATTTTAACTTTGCAGGAATCACCCTTCAGTTATAGTTCAGCCAGGAAAGAGACCTTTACCTGTGGAATCTCCAGACACACAACGAAAACGCAGAATACATCGATGTGATTATGAAGGCTGCAACAAAGTCTACACTAAAAGCTCCCACCTGAAAGCTCACCGAAGAACCCATACAGGTCTGAGCATAGCTATGCTTCTCTTTCATCAAGTCTGTGGTAAAATAGTAGGCTAAGCTTGTAACTTCTGCTAATGGCCAGGTGACCACAGGTGTAAATAACAGAATGACAGAAGGTGGATCTGACATTGTTGTGAAAACAATTATAGGCTGAGCAAAGACAGAGGTCATAGTAGGAAAATCCTACAACAAGAGACTGTAAGCCAGAACAGGTTCACAGTGCATGCTGATGTGTGTTACATTCACTGACTCTTCACTCATTCTGTGTCCAGTTGCTTGCAGTTTACTCAATCCACACACCCTGTAAACACTAAATCAGTTTAAATTGCAGTGGCTCATCTATGACATCACTGTTAAATTTGACTGTAATTTCTATGGGAGTAGCCCATTTGCAGAAGTTTGGACTGTATGCCAAATGGAAACACATCTGCTCTGTGGAGATGCTAACCACTGGTACAATGGTGCTTTTTATCTGAATGAGTGTTCCAGTAAACATATCCCCATGCCTGTTCTCCACAGAAATGTTCATCTTTGCATGCTGAATGAATACATACATCCAAGGTTTTTACAAGGGTACCTCTTTTAGGAAAAATAGAGCCCAGTTCATGACTGTTGTGCATCAAGCCAGCCATTTACCTATTGGGCAATACAGTGGTGTTAAAGAAGGAGGATGACATATTAGTAATGATAGAGAGAGAGTTTAAGTTGAGATACTTGCAACAGTGATGCCAGTAATTTACACTGCATTAAATTTCAGAAATCACAAGATTTCTCCCTGTTGTGCTTTATGGTAGCACAGTCCTTTCCCCCAGAAAGCTAGAAAATGAGATCCCAGTTTTGAAAATACTTGAACAAATGCTTAAATCTTCATTCTTCTGTGTTTCATTATATAAAACGAGCTAATATGGCAGAGAGAGGAGCAGAGAGACAATAAAAAAATAAGTTGTAGCAGGTAGCAATTTTTTGGTCAGTTGGCTTGGACTGTTCAGTTTCTAGCATAGAGTACTCTTCAGCTTTGAGCTGTTTGGGGGCTTTTTGAGTAAGCATTGAAGTACTTACAGAAATTTGGCAAGGCAGTAGAATAAATCTATCAGATTTATGTGTGAATTTGCGTGATCTGAACTGATGTGTTCATGTCTTAAATCTGCACTTCTGTGTTTCCTTTTCCAGGAGAAAAACCGTACAAATGCACTTGGGAGGGATGCACGTGGAAGTTTGCTCGTTCTGATGAACTAACGCGGCATTTCCGCAAGCACACAGGAATCAAACCCTTCCAGTGTCCAGACTGTGACCGCAGCTTTTCACGTTCGGACCATCTTGCTCTTCACAGGAAGCGCCACATGCTAGTCTGAATGTCTTCTGTCCCTGACTCCTGCCACACTTTTTTTGTTTTTTACACATGCATTTTAATTTGGATTCAGCTGGTCTGGATCTCTTGAGTTTATACCATTAAAAGCTTACGTATGGTCAGTAACAGATGTTATCTAACCCTTCTATGTCCTTGCCACGGGTCAGACCTAAAGAATGTGAACACTTCTTTTTTTTTCTTCAGGGGATGCTAAGCAAACCCTTTCTGTATTCAATGTGTTTATTGTATTTCATTTGTGAATAAGGGAATTTTTAAACTAACAGCTTTTGTTGGTTTCTTCATATAATCAACCCAGCATATACTGATAAAATAGTAAATGTTATTGAATATCCAAAATGCTAGTCCTTGCCAGAGACTATTATTTATGTGCCCCGTAAGGGATGCACTCTCATTTTATGCTCAACAATGCAATGAATGGACTCTCCCAGCTGTGTTGATTTCTGCAATGTGGTTCATACAACAGTTTTAGAAAGACACCTGATTTAGAAATCCCCTCTGCCCAAACAGTGAGTAATACTGAGGAAATAAATCTAAACAGTGTAATTACTTTACAGGAAGATTGAGTCATAGTATCATTTACCCTAGTCAAGAAGAAAAATGGGCAGGAATTGGTCCATACATAATATGATGCATCTAGCCAATGTCATCTGTGTTATAGTGTAGTATATATCCTTGTTTTTACTGCATAATGCCCCAGTGGATTTGTTAAAGGAAGACTTTGTGTGACTCTGTATGTCTGGTTTCTGTGCAAGTGTATGGATGGAACGGCTTGAAGCTGAGTCAGGGGTTTACCATTAGGAAGTTCTTCACCTAGAGGGTGGTTGGGCATTGGAACAGGCTTCCCAGGGAAGTGGTTACAGCACCAAGCCTGACTTAAGCATCTGGACAATGCTTTCAGGCACAAGGTGTGACTTTCGGTGTGCCCTGTGCAGGGCCAGGAGTTGGACTCTGATCCTGATGGGTCCCTTCCAACTCAGCATATTCTATGATTCTGTGATTCTATGGTACTCTCCTGTGATGTGGCATTAAATGGTATTCATGGAAATCTACTGCACCTCATTTCAGGGATATAGATTATCCCCCTGCAATCATGCCCCTGCATTTCTTCTAAATAAGTTTTTTCTCTTTGCTGTACTTCAGAAAGAAGTGATCATTAAGTCAAAAATGCTCTGAACTGTATTGTTGTATCACTGTAATACACTATCATATTTTAAATTATTGATCCACAATATTTTTATGAGAAGATGGCATCAGATACTAAGTACTTCTGATGATAAATTGAGTCATATATCTGTTTTGGATAAAAGCATATACCAAATCATCCAGTTCCTAACTCTGGTTTTTGACTTTGGTAGTCTCTCAATGGTAGGTACAACTGCTTCCCTGTGGACATGTCTATTGCATTAAAACCATGCCCATTAGTGAACAGAACTCCATAGCTAAAAGAAACTGAATTCAAGCAACCTAGTTGCAGTTGCCCCTAGAAATGTTCGTGTCTGGGAGCCCTCTGAAAGGAAGGTTGCTGTTTGTATTAGCTGGCAGACTTCGTGGCACTGCAAGGAAACAGGATGTATTTCTCTACACTTCCACACAGAAGCACATTTGCCTTCCCTGCCCTATGTAAAGTAAGCACCATTCCCTGTACATTGAACATTCTGAAGTTGGCTTTTCCTTTCTTTTGGAAAAACCCAGTGAACAATGGAGGTGTGAGGGGAGGAAGAGTTTCATAGATCTCTGCAGGAGACAGGTGGTGTGTCCATCTGCAGGTGGGTATATTTGAGTGTGTGGAGCAGATAGGCTGTTCTATAACCAGTGGAGCCCAATGCCAAACAATCTTGAAGATGCAGGAGTGTGAGTGCAAAGAGCCTTTATTTGGTGATAGGACTTTACCAGCTGTTCTGTTGACATCCACATGCCTGTGGAATTAGAGAAGGAGAGGTCTGTACTTCCTGTAGAAAAATGCTCTGACAATTACTGTTCTATTCCAGCTCCATACATCCTCCGCACCTCGGCAGGGCTGCATCTTGTGTCTTGTAACTCTCCTTCATCTGCTCACCTTTGGTGCTGAAACACCTGGCACATGAATGGGTCTTTTTTCTTTCTTGGTGTTAGTGACATTGAGAAACTTGTAGGAAAGAGACTGGTACTAATGACCAGCTGTTCCAGAATGTGGGCTTCCTGATTTATTTAATTTTTTGTCAGTGGTAGCAGAATTAACTCTAGGTTTTAATGGCAATTTTGTAAATCCAAGCATGTCACTGGCTGAGAGGCTGTGTGGAAGGAGCCCTGTGGCATCAGTCACAAGTCTACAGACATTTAGTACCCTGCGATGAAAACAATTCTCTGTTCTATTGTAGAGGGGAAAAAACAGATACTATAAAAATAAGCACCTTAATGGCACCCGTCCCATTTTTACCTTAAAAATGCAAATTTATAAAATTCAGAATATTAAAGGAACATTTCTTTCTAATGCTCTGTTTCTCTTCTGAGGCTTACATAAAATGTTTTCATTAGTATGTTTTCAAATATTTGTGAATCAGTACCCCAAAAGCAGAACTTCTTTGTAAGTAAGAGTTATTTCAGATAATTTAGTCTAGGTTATTTGCCATGTTAATTCATTAGCTTATGTACCTTTTTCCTGAAAGTATTTATGCTAATGATGGGGTCTAGTACAGTGGAGATTGAGCAAAACTTTCAAATTTCATCCATGTGTCTTGCAAATTAGGACAACAGAAATTTAAATATTAAATATAAGTATTTGAAATTATTACATGATAATGCCTTCCTTGTAAATTTTTCAGTTGTATCTGTGGTGTCTTTGTGGGATGTCTAAAAGGTCACAAACAAATACACTTTTAACTGAGTGTGAATTTACATCTTAACCAGCTCATTGGTTCATTTTAGCAAACTTTGATTTGAGGGATACCTTGCAATTTTTAAATGTACCCTATTAAATACTTTGCAGAACCAGTCATTCCATCTATGTCCTAAAGAAAACCAGTAAAGATAGAAGATCCTAATCCTGGAGAATGAGTATATTTAAAACCTCCCCACCTAACAGTATTGCACTGTGCAGTGCATAACAGGTAATGCTGTTTTACTAAAATGTGCCTGTTTAGGCCATTTGATTATAATAATACTAGTTTCTAATACAATTGCAAGAAACTAAGCAGGTATTAATGTGTGGGGTTTATTTAAATATGCACATGGTATTCTGCAGTGATACTTCTAATGCCATGTCTTGTTCAAATATGTTGTCTCTGCTCAAGGTTAGCAACATACAGATGAACACAAATCCTTTCTAAAATATTTACAAAGCATTTTACATCTCTTAAGAGAGCTACACCATTTTTCACTATATTTTACACATATTAGCACTTAATGTACTTTAGAGGGTCAAAATAATCTTTTTGCTTAGCATCTCTCACCTGCAAATATAGCAAGGATTTTTATTTACTTTAATACTTATATAAACTATGCAGAATTTTTAAAATAAAATGTAATATATTTTATAAGCTAATAAGACAAAATGGCTAATTAAAGGTTTCTAGCGTGCATTACTATAACTTGCAAATATGGAGACATTTTGGTAATCTTTTCTTATTAAAGATGTGAATGTTTAATGTACTTTCACTGTTTCTACTTTGGTAGTCCAATGGGAATTCAGTAATGACATTTTGTCATGTCAAACTGTGAACATAAATTTGTACTGTACAGTCCTCATACTATATTTAGTATATTTAGTATACAGTGCATATGTATTATACTTGTTAATAAAACACTCGAATGATGTTCGTGGTCATGTTGTCACGTGCTGGATGACAGAGCAGTGATGCCGAGCTGGGGTCAGAGGCAGGCCTGGAGGAGTGCCCTGTGGCTCTGGGTGTTTGGTGGCCCTTCTGCCCGGCCAGTGGCCACGTCCTGTGTGTGCCTGCCCAGCACGGGGCCCAGGGCAGGAGCACACGGGATTTGTGCTGGAGGAGCTATGTCCTGCAGCACACTTGGTGGCAAGCTCATAAAAATGTTTTACTCTTTTATAATCAGGTCATTCTAATTAGGGCATTCTAATTAGCCCATAGGCAGGTGTGGAGCACCAACCACGTCAGTTTGCCTTTTTTATCACTCACAAGACGAGTGACTGGGTCTGCTCCCCGCAGCCTTTCCCAGAGCGGGGTGCCACAGGCTGCTGACACATCACCACATGGGCCCTGCACACCTCCAGACACACCTCCAGGCTCTGCTGAGAGATAATGGTGACTGACCATGGTGATGATGAAGAATGGGGTTTTATTTCTTCACACCTTTATCAGATGCCTAAGAAGAGGGAGCCTGGCTGAACTCACTATGCATCTCTAACACTTCCCATTTCTGCTGAAGCATTTGCATCAGGATGTTGGTCTCTTGCTGCCTGGGATCCTGCAGATCAGCCTGGTGAGCACCTGTACTATGACATGGTAACGCACAGAAGGGAAAGCAGGTACAGCAGAAGTGAGGCATAAAAATAAAAGCCTGCAAACAGCAATCAGAATATGAGAAAATGTCTGGCTTGTGTTTCTTGGCCTCCTGCTTGAAAATAAGGACAGCACGTTGCAAACAGCTCATGATCATGCTGTTGATTTCTAAGGTTCAGGCAGGAGGGACCAATGGCACGAGGGAGTCACAGCCACTGACCCAGCGTGGCAGCTGGCACAGGAGAAGCTCGTCCTGACCTGGCCTTGCAAGCCCACACTCCTGCAAGAGGCTACTCCAATTGCTGGGCTGATAAGATTTACCTGTTTTCCTATGAGTCAAAAAGCATTGCATATGTTCTAGACTGAGTGATCATTTTCAGGAAGCAGTGATAATTTCATCGGCCACTGGGTGTCCCTCTTAGTCTGAGAAAAAGGCACAATTTAAATTCATGAGATTGTAATTTAAGATAATATTCATTTTCTCATACTTGAGAAATTAGTCTGTTCCCTTTCTTATTTTCTGTCACTGAGTTCAATCCTGTCATACACAGAAATCTGCCCAAGGATTTAAAACTGATATCTGTGTCTTCACTGCAAGTTTTAGTAATAAAAAACATTTAAAATTTATCCTTTAAATTAAAGCATTAATTAAAAACAATTAAAACTCTGGCCTGGCTGAACACTAACTAAGCCAACACAATGTTGCTTGATGAGAAATACTGTAAAGTGCTTCCTTAAAAAAGAAAACCAACCAACACACCAAACCATGACAAAATGAGTCTGCTTTATTAAAGGAACTCAGAAGAAGAAGTTTTAAGAAGCTGTAGTTTATGGTACATACATAACCAAAATATTTGGCATCTTCATGAAAGATCTGTGAGGTGGGAAGAATAGAGTATAAAGGGCTCTTACAGCATTAATATTCCAAAACAATATACATGGCAGAGTTGATATACTATTTGTTTCACACCCACCTAAAACTTACATTTCAGAACAGTCTTAAAGGTGAGGGACTCCTCCACGGCCTGGTCTGTGCATTATTTAGGACATAAGCCCCAGTTTGCTTATGCATTAAATTTACAGAGATTGGAAAGGCTGAATTAAGAAATTTTACTTCCTCTTTTCTTGTCTAGTAAACAGGATAGACTACACACCCTTTAGCCCATTAGCACTAAGTGTGACTGCTAATCATATTAGGCTGTAATGCCTGGGAGGAGAAGGCTTTCAGGAAGAAGAGGCACAGGATTTCTTGGTAGCATTCCCAACTTCAAAGTATCAAGAAGTCTTAGAGAGGTAAAATTGTAAAATCATAAAATCATAAAACGGTTTGGGAGGGAAGGGACTTCTAAAGCTCATCTAGTCCAACTCCCTGCAATGAGCAGGGACATCTTCAGATTAAATCAGATCACTCAGAGTCCTTCCCAACCTGACCTTGAATGTTTCCAAAGATGGGACATCCACAACTTCTTTGGGCCATCTCTTCTAGTGTTTCACCACCCTCATTATAAAAAAAATATTGCTCATATCCAACCTAAATCAGCCCTCTTTTAATTGATAACCAGTGGCCCTTATCTTACCACAACAAGCCCTGTTAAAAGTCTGTTCTCATCTTTCTTATAAGCCCTGTTTAACTACTGAAAACCTCAACAAGATCTCCACAGAGTATTCTTTTCTCCTGGCTGAATAATCCCAGCTCTCTCAGTCTGTCCTAATAGGGGAGGTGCTCCAGCTTTATGATCATCTTTTTGGCCTCCTCTGGACTCACTCCAACAGGTTCACATTCTTCTTATGCTGGGACCCCAGAGGTGGCTGCAGCACTGCAGGTGGGCTCTCAGCAGAGCAGAGCAGAGGGACAGAATCCCCTCCCTCCCCTGCTGCCCACGGGGCTCTGGGTGCAGCCCAGGACACGTTTGGCTCTCTGGGCTGTGAGTGCCCATGGCTGGGTCATGTCCAGCCTCTCATCCACCAGCATCCCTAATCCCTACTAAATCTTGATTTCTGGGTAAGGCCTTGACATGGTCCCCCACAACATCCTCCTCTAAACTGGAAAGATACAGATTTAATGAGTGTGGAAACAATTGAGCGATAATTAAGGTTTAGTAGATACTTTTAGCTCTTCTTTCCAAATCCAAGGAAGGCACCTGGCATCCTACTGTGATCCTATCCAGTTAACCTGTACTGGTAGGTGGGTGCCAGCAGTGTCATCTTTGGACACAAGGAAGCTCTCCCACCACTTCAATTTCACTGTTTCATCTAGCTACCACACCTAGTGCGTGCTTGGTGAGCCACCTCAGTGTGTGTTAAAGACCACATCTCCTTACCAGTTTGATCACCTCACGTACTGCCCACAATTGTAATCTCAGGACTTTACATTTCCAATAAGTTGTAACTATAATGACACAGCTCCACATTGCCATTGAAATGGCACATGAAATTTAATGGATAAAGAATTAGATGTTTATTAGACTCTCAAATCCAAGCACAGCAAGTTACTAGATGTCTCCTACTAACAAACACTATTAGTTTAATCGGCAAGATTTTAGCAAAGAAATTATTTCCCAGGAAAAAATGTCTCTTTTTTCACCTGTGTGATAACCCTCAGCACCTGTTCATTAAATGAGCAAGGTAACAGAGTTCAGTGGAAGCCTAGAGATAAAAGGGGTTCACCTCCAAACATCAAGTTTCTAAGTATTAGGAAACAGAAAAAACATGCAACCCAGTATAGCTTGATAGAATCACAGCAGAAAGCAGCAGTATTACAATACTATAAAAAAAAATAAGTACAGTGAATAGCAAATTCTATGAAATCATGACTTGGCAGGTACCTATCTCTAGGCAATTGTTAATGTTAATACAGCAAAGGAAGAAGAGCATCAAACAAGAATTAATAGATTCAGCTTTTCAGTGCATACCCAAGAAAGTCTCTCTGTGATGAAGTGAAAGATTTCCAGGAAGGGAAAAACAGGCAAAAAGGATACAGATACTGCACTCTTAACACCTGCTATACCAATGTACTGGATGGGATTCAAACAAGAGTATTCTTCTTTGTGTTATATAATTAAAAACAAGAAAGCAGATCCCTACAATCTTAACCTCACAACATTCACATCAGAACAAAGATTAAATGTATGCCTTGGCAGCCCGACGACACCAAACAAACCATTATTCTTATTACTTTCAAATATAGCATTCAATGGGAAAAGTCCAAAATAAATGCAACCTAAAAATAAGGTAAATTATTATGAAAATTTCTCTCTCATTCTCTTAATTGATGATGGGCAACTAGAGATGACTTCTGACTACTTGGATGGCTTGAATAAGCAATATCAATTTCTATAAGTGCCACATTTCACAACACACTGGGGATATTGTAAGAAAACAGAAAAAAATATTGACAGTTTAATGCAAAAAAGTCAAGTCAGTTATTTACATACTTATACTACTAGTAGATGAAGCCTCACTTTCCTACTCATTTGCTTGCCAGGTTAATATTAATGGCTGCCCTGAGATTAGCCCAGAATAGGGCACGCTTGCTCCTCTCCTTCGGCCACTCCATGTAGGTGCGCTTTGCCATGAGAGCTTTCAGCTTGTGATACCTGGCAGGGATAAGGTACGGAGGGATTGGCTCCAGTAAAATGAGGATTAAACTGTTGGAATTCTCACTGAATAACTTGTGATGGGCAAAGTACAGCTCATAGTGACACCACTCACTCTGCACAAAGTTGGGAGACAACACAAAGATCGACTTGTAGCTCTTCTCAATGCAGTTAATGATGTTCTCCACAATGCTCTTGCCGGGGACAAAGTTTCTCTCGTGCTGGCACAGTTGTATGCAGCCCTCCCCCTTCTCCAGGTTCGGGATCAGCTCGTTCTTCACCCACAGCGAATCGCGCTCGCTGTAGGAAATGAACGCGTGGAATTGCAGAACGGCCCCCTGATCCCCAGGAGGGTTGTGCCGAGCTCTGCGCTTCATCTGCGTCCACTGCCACGTCATCCGCACGTACCACGGCACATCCAGGTAGATGCACAGAAAGGCCACCACAGCCACCAGCAGCAGCGTCAGCAGCAGAGCTGTCACAAGCAGGAGCGTCGTGTTGCAGGCCAGCAGGCTCAGGTGGAAGTCCTTGAGCTCTGTTCCTCGCAAGCCTTCGGGGTACTCGCACACGTAGGCCACCGGCCAGCCAAACAGCTTCCCCCCCGACCGCCTCTCCAGGCGGATAAAGGCTTGCAGTTCACAGGAACACTTGAACGGGTTGTGCCCGGCCTGCAACTCCCTGACCTTTGGGCAGCTCTTGAAGAAGTCAGCAGATGGGGTGAGGATCGAATTCATCTCTACGTTCAGGAACTGCAGGGACGTAAAGCCACTGCACCCCGGCAGGTCGGCCAGCCTGTTCGATGCCAGGTTCAGCTCTTCCAAGGATTTCAGCTCCGCCACCCCACTGGGGACATTGCTGATCTGATTATTTTGTAGGCTGAGTTTTTTGATGTTGACTGGCAAGCACTCAAACACAACATCCGCCAACTGATTGGAGGACAGGTCCAGCTCTGTCAGAGACTCAGCCCACTGGCACTGCACGTCAGCTCCATCGTGGCGCAGCAGGTTGTTGCTCATGTCCAGGTATTTCAGTGATTTCATACGGCTGGTCATGAAGCTTACTTTGCGAAGGCTCTCAAATTTATTCTTCTTCAAAATAAGTAATTTCAGATCCATGAGAGTGCCACAATTCTGGAACAACTCATCTGTCAGGGCATTGTGAGAAAAATTTATATACTGAAATGAGCTTGTTCTATTGGGGCAAAGCATGTGTGGCATATATGCATCAGCTATTGTCAAATTGGCAATATTCATCTCTGAAAACTGTCTGTATAGGATCTCCTGGTTGAAATAATAAACCTTATTACGAACATGCTCTAAAGTTAATGCTTTCATGGAGCCATCCAAAGAGATTAATTGTTCCACAGAGCTTAATAAGGGTTGAAATGCATATTCAGTTGGCTCCTCCAGTGGTCCTCTAAAAGTCAAATTTCTCACAGTCAATTGTTCCACAGGTGAATACCAAATAAGCACAAAAATTTGCAGGATGATAGCCCATTGTAAGTCCACAGAATCAAGAGTGAGAGCTATTGTCTTGATTTTCTTCGGAAGCATTAAAGGTGGAGAGGGGAAATCTTTGTAACTCAAGGTATATCTTAAGTTAACTATTTTTAAGTTTTCTGAAGTGCTCATTCCATCGTACAAGAGGGAAAAAACAAAGTTTTGGTTTGCTGCAAAAGCAATGTGGAGGTTCCTTGTAGACAAGACTGTCAGACTCTGAGGTTCATACAGTGAAAAGTTTCCCAAGTTCAGGAAGACTGTGTGCAGCTGCAGATGTTTGATATACCTGAAGTCTGACCTTCGTATCATAGTAGCACTTAATCCAAGGTACTTCAAATGAAACATGTTCCCAAATTCCTGACAGATGGGCAGGGCAGTAAACTTATTGAAAGAAAGATCTAAATGTCTAAGATACGCAAGAGTTAGACAGGAAACTTTTGAAATGTTATTATGAGATAAATCTAAGTATTCTAAATTTTCATTAAAAATAAAGACACTAAAGTCAAGCATCGTAATTAGATTATGAGAAAGATTTAATACTTGAAGGTCAGAAAGATTAATAAATTCCGAGGTACTAAGTCCAGAGATCCTATTATGTGATAAATCTAATACTTGGGTATGAACTGGAGTGGTTTTTGGAACATTAGTTAGCAAACTGTTTGAATAATTTGCAATAAATTCGTCTTCTACGGTTGGCTGGATATTATTCCATAGTGTGAATGTAAAGGCATAAGTAAAGACATATATATTTGTGAGGGATCTCATTATGCTATCTAGCTTTATCTTGTAAAGACAAGAGACACAGAAACACAGAAGCGTATCTTTGTTTTCTGTTCAATATGTCTCACTGATGAGTCCAGTCCTATGAAAAAAAGATATGAAATTTAATGAATTTCTGTTGAATGGTTGAAGTTGCTTTTTTATTGTGAAAATAAAATTCAATATAAAATCTATTTAATAAAAAATTATTTTTATATACTCCTGTTTTCAATTCTTACCAATTGTCCTCACTCCCATTCTTTAACTCTAATTATTGACTCAGTCAAATGCAAATTAATTCTCTTATAATGGGCAGGATGCCACTGGTATGTTACAAACACATAGATGTTAAGAAATACAAATTTCTCAACAATCATGAAAAATTACAAAACTGGTACAAACCAACATCAATGCATTTATGAATAAAGGAGAACAAAACAACCCATCCATCTGCTGTTTCTATACATCTATAGACAAATATATAGATGAATAGATGTATATACATCTATACACAAATTTCGGTGTTGGAACTCAAAATGTCCCTCAGACATTTTTGGATGTTCCGGGCCCAGGACAGAAGCATTTGAGGCCCTGGCAGGCAGCTGGAAACAGCTGTGATTTTGGATTTGAATCATGGAACGATTTACCAACTTTGCAGGAAGAACAAGAAGTCAGAAAAGTTTAGATATTATAGTAGAAATAGTCACAAAGTAGAGGGAAGAATTTTTGAGTGCTGTACAGGGGGGTTTTGGTTTTGTACATGGGGGTCAGAAGTTTTAAGATGGAGGGATTTGGGCCTGCCCTGTCATCCCTCTTTCTTCTTCCTTACCTCCATGTTCTTTGTGATGTTGGCACTCACAGATTGGTTTAGAGTAGAAGGTCATCATTTAATATAGGTAATAGGCATTGGGGAAAAACTATAAACATTTAACACGTAATGTACCATATAAAAGATAGCACCAGCCCTGGGCGGGGAGAGAGAAGAATAAGACAGCAGACAGAGAGGATGTCAGGGTGTGTGTGCCTTTGCCTGAGCAGCTGAGCAGACCGCAGCAGTACAAGAAGAAAATCTTTTAAATTACATGCAATCAACTGGCTTGAGACCGGACAACAGAAGACTACTGAGTCTTTCTTTGAAAGCATGGGTTGGAGGAGAGACTTTTCCGCCACACGGAGCCACCCCTGACCTAGAGGTGAGCTCCAGCATTTGGGAACAAAACTCCAGTAAAACCACCTTCACAGCAACTGGTGCAAAAACAACCTCTTCACTCAAAGGATATTCTTCTTCATACCCCAAAGACCCTGGACATTGCCATGCACCCTCTCAGGGTCAGATTATCAGCTTTGTTCTTGCTATAGCATAAAGACATGAGTCCATTTTTTCCAATAAGCCAAGAATTCTGAGGAATTATATTGTCCATTGTATTGGGTTTGCATGGTGAGGTTTGGGAGCAGGGGAATTACAGGTCTGGTTTCTGTGAGAAGCTGCCAGAAGCTTCCTCTGTGTTCCACAGAGCCAGTGGCAACTGGATCCAAGGCCATGCTCATCCACAGCATTAGCAATGCCTCTGAGATAACATGGTGAAGAAGGAGGGAAAAGCGCTGGGAACAGCAACTGCAGCTGGGAGAGGGGAGTGAGAATATGTGGAAGACACAGCTCTGCAGACACCAAGGTCAGTGCAGAAGGTGGGGGAGGAGGTGTTCCAGGTGCTGGAGCAGAGATTCCTCTGCAGCCCATGGTGAGGCAGCTGTGCCCATGGAGGTCCATGGTGGAGCAGAGATCCACCTGCAGCCATGGAAGACCCCATGCTGGAGCATGTAGATGGCTGAAGGCAGAAGGAGGCTGGGACCTCATGGGAGGCCCATGTTAGAACAAGCTTCTGGCAGGACCTGTGGTGCTGTGGAGAGAGGAGCCCACTCTGGAGCAGAATTGTTGACAGGAGGATCCATTCAGGAGCAGCCCATGCCTGAAGGACTGTGCCCCATGGAAGTGATCCATACTGAAGGGTTCTCGAACAACTGCAGCCAGTGGGAAGGACTCACACTGGAGAAGTTTATGGAGAACTCTCTCCAGTGGAAGGGACCTCAGGATGGAGCAGCGGAAGAGAGTGAGGAGGAAGAAGTAGGAAATAACAAGTGGTGAACAGACCACAGCCCCCATTCTCTAACTCTCTGTGCCATTGGGAGAGGAGGCTGAGCATTCAGAAGTGAAACTGAGCCCAAGGAACAAGGGAGGTCTGGGAGTAATGTGTTTTGGGATTTGATTTTATTTCTCATTATCCTACTCTGATTAAATTGTAATAAATTAAACTCATTTCCCAGGTTGAGTCTGTTTTGCCTGTGATAGTAATGGGTGGGTGATCTCTCTCTGCCCTTATCTGGCTCACAAACATTTTATATTTTCTTCCCCGTCCAGTTGAGGAAGGGAGTGATGAAATGGCTTGGGTGGACAGCTGGCACCCTGCCATGGTCAACCCTCCACACTCCACACAAATGAATATTGTAATACCAGTGTGACCAAAAGCATACTAATGGTAATACCACATCATGACTGCACTATGCATGAAGCAGTGATACCCAAAATCTGAAAGAAAGCACTAAACATTACCAAAGACTCCAGAATTTCCTAGGTGTCCTATGAAATTTCCTACATTTTCCTACGATTGGAATTTGACAAAGAACCTCTCTAAAAATAGTGAGGGATGATTAATCTAGTTCTAAGTATCAAAAACCCAAGGAGGAAAGGATTTTATAGATGTAGTCCAGCTGAATTAATATCTAGTCATGCCTATCAATATCCTCCATGGACTTGGAGAGGCATCAGTCCTTTTTAGAAAAACCATGACCTGGGCATTACTCTCTTGTTGGCAAGCACTAAACAAAACACACAGACAATATGAAGCATAAACAACTCATAAACAGTTTCAGGAGACAAACATACCCAGTTTTATTTTCTGTTCTGATTTTTTTTTTTTTTTGTTAAAAAATATCTAAAATCCCAAAGTTTTAAAATTCTAGCCCTGTGTAATCTTTTGTTAAATAGAAACCAACCCCCCTTTTTTTTAATAGTTCTATGTAATAATGTGTGCTAGTCCCTAATAATTTGACCAACTGATATCAAAACTCAACCCTTCCCATCCAAGTTTCCTATCAGGCTTAATCAACTTTTTTCTTAATGAAGTAAAGTAAAAATACATGCAATTAACATCACCAAAAGCATTAAAATAATAAATCACTAAAGTATTTCTACCTCTACTGAATCCAATAGAGAGGCCAAATTACGCCTTCAGAAAGTTGTGCTAGGGTATCTGAAGACACAAAATAAATGAAGCTTCATGTCTGGGGATGGTTGGTCAAAGTACAGTACCAATTGAAGACAAAACAAGACAAGGAGATCTGGCCCAGCTCCTTCAAAGCGCAGTTGACTCTGTTCTTCAGAGTCCGGGCTGATAAACAATCTAACTCTTGAATCAAACTTTGATCTAGAACTATCTGGAGGAACTTCCTCCTGGGCAAAAGGGATGTCAGTAATAAAGCAAGAAATGTTCTGAAGGGAGAAAAAAACAGAAAAATATTCTCTGTACATGTTCCAGCACCAGATGAGTTTTAATTTACTGTACATGCTATGCCAGATACTGCAACAAGGGACAAGCCACACTCTATAACCCTGCAGAGTGCCATAGTCAAAGAGTAAAGCAAATATACCTAGAAAAGCAATAGTAGGATCAAGGGTTACCCTTCCAATGCTGTTTTATAATGGTATAAAATTAGAGTTGGCTGAGAATTAAAACTGCCATACCTAATTATTTTTCTCCCTTTCCTCTTTGCTGAAACTCAGATGAGTGTTTTCACTGAAACTTTAAAATGCAAGAGTAACTTCCAACATTAAAGAAACACCAGCACCTGAAATTTGATGAAGTCCAAAATATATATATATATCAAAGAGAAAATTATTATAAATAATGAAGAAAATATAACCAACCTTTTGTGCATGGAATTCACCTCCAAGTTGAAGAGCTGGCAAAAGTCCTCTGCATACTTGGTTAGCATCCTCAAAATAGAATTTCAAACATATGTAATCTTCATGGTGGGGAATCTCACATGAGATGATAATTTCTCAATAATTACTTACCTCAGGATGAAAAAAAAAAAAACAAACAACCAACAAAAAAAAAAAAACACCAAAAAACCCAAAAAAACAACCAAAACCAAAACCAGGGCTTTTTAAAACAAGATATGCAATTATAAGAATTAAGGAAACCACCTTACAACCTTTCAATGCAGTTATTAAGAGCACAATGAAAGGAAACTTTTAACAGCTCAGACTAAAAATACATTTACTTCTGTAGTATTTACATAACTATCCGGTTTAGGAGGAAATAAATCTATCTGTAGTGTAGAATATTTCCCTTGGCAAAACTGTTTAATTAATTTTGCATTTCTAATTTCAAGGCTGCTTCTGATGCTACACAGATGTTCTAGAAATCTGTCAACTGCATCTCCTCTTTGCACACACAGAAAAGAGGAAGCAGAACCCTTACTGCCAACTTTGGTTCATATTAAGATCTCTTGCAGAACTCTACCCTACCAAAATTTTTTGCTCATCAAGGAGAGTAGTTAATGTAGCACACAGATGGATGACAGAAATTTATATCTCAAAAGCTAGTAACAGGGGCAAACTGGCACAGTTAAAAACTTTTACAGGCCAATCATCTTTACAGTAGAATGGTTATCAAGGATACCTCACATTGTGGCTTTCTCCAAAAAATTATAAAAATTAAGAGAATATTCCCTATGACAAGACAGCTGTAATGAAGCCACAAAGAATACGACAATAGAGGGCAATCTGGGGCTGAAGGAATCCAAGAAAGCAGCCATTCAGTTAATATTGTGAACAGGTACATGAGCCTGGGAGAAAATCAACATCTGTGACCCAAGACAAGATCAGGGATCATGAATGTTTCTCAATAAGCAGCAAGAGTATTTGCCAGCTGATTCCATCTAGACTCCAAGTAAAAAGAGACACTCCTATTGCTAGGCATCAATCCATGATACCGATTAGAGTAAGGCACTTGTTGATTGAATAATGATATCACAATTAGCCAAAACAGTGGCAGCTTTACTTTGAATATAATTCCCAGAAAAAATTGCTGCATGGATAAAATGAAATACACCATCAGCTTTCATCATAACCGACTGTAGTGCACACAGAACTATTAGTTGTCATATGTTTAATTTTTTTACCACTGTTCTTTATGAAGCTTTAAAATACATTCAAATAAATAGTTTCCCTAAAGAAAAATTTGTAGATAGTTAAAATAAAACTGATACTCCTGAATACCTCTGTTAAACCATTAGGAACCTTGCATAGTTTATTTTTACTAACCAATTCACAAAAGTTTTGTTTGGAGCTGGTTTCAGTTTACTGATTCAGTAATTTTTCATGACAGGCAAAAACGAAAGCAATGTATTTATGTTCATGCATTTTGAAATGTAACAGCTACATACAATCTTTTCCATAGCCAGCTCATATATGTTCATGCAGATACCTTGTTCCATTTCTGAATTCTGCACTGCTGGGTTTGTTGCAATTTGGTCTATCAATGTTCAAAAAAAGACATTTCATACTTCTGCCCATATTTCATCATTATTTACCCAGAGAGGAACCACAACTATCCTTGGTCAGGCATGAAAAGCAGTTCAGGACCAGCCCCATGCCAAGTGTGAAGAATCTCTCTGACAAGAACTGCAGAAGGGAACTTACATGTGCAAGACATGGGAATAAAGCATACTCACAGCACATGAACTCGTCGAAGCACTAATGAAAAGTCAATACAATAATTAAAGGTTAGCAAAGCTGCTGTTTTGTCACATCAAGGAATTTAACTGTAACTGTCATATGTCAAGTAGGTGAAAAAAAAAGACTAAATGCCACCACGAGTCAAAGTGAGCAGATACCATACCACATTCATGCTCTAGCCTATTTTGCTTTGGTATAAATAGACATAAGGATCAAAGCAGTGGAAATCAAACTGGTAACCCAGAACCACCTTGGAGAACACACAATTTTCTCACTTTTTGATTATAAATACTGTTTTCTGTTGACAAAACAGTGACTACAAATGAGCATTATAGGCAATCTCAGCAAATATTTTCAAAAGAAAAAAACAACTAACCAAAGACTTGAGTAAAAACGGGTTTCACAGAAGTTTTGAAACTTCCTCTCAGCAGAATCTCCCACAGAGTCCCATTATTTCCCCGTGAGTGCCTTTCCTTCCTCTAACTCTTTGCAGCTAAAGTTCAGTGAAGATGTTTTGTAACATTTCTAAAGCTAAAGAAGAGCTGAGGTCTCAGCAGGCAACCCACATGGTGTCAAGTCTAACTGTCTGCCAGTTTCCTTTATACTACACACTACTTAAATATACATAAAAACATTTACGCTTTTACACTTCCATTTCATCCCGCACATTTTTTAGGTTTTGGAGGGTGTTTAACTCCCGTGTTATCAGTTTTGTATGTTGATATTTTTATGTATGTAAAAATAGCATTCCTCCCAGTCACCAAGATGACTAATCAAATGCCAGGAATCTGCTCTGATACAGTATCTGACATCAGAACACATTTACACACTCCCTTTTCCTGCTGGAGTGCAGCAGCAGATAGACATTTCAGTGCAGAACCAAATGCAGGCATATATCACAGGGCTGTACAGAAAAGATTAGTCCCTTTCCAAACTATGCAGATAAGCTGTACTGGGAGACTACACATAGGCCCATGAACACAGAAAAAATTCTTCATTAATTAAATCTGGTTTTATAGAAAGGGTTAAGAGTATGACAGAGAGTGAGATAATTGTTTGAAATATTCTAATAACACTTGAGAAACTCATTCTCTCTTGTGGAATCAGAGAAATTAGCTCTAAAGATTCATTGCACATTTAGCTGTTTAATCACTTATTTGGCACATATGGGGAAAAAAGATAATAGTATGTGGGCTTCTGGTTCCAAAGTACAAGTTTTAATTGATGCCCATGCTCATTAAAAGCCACTCTTTCCAATTTATTCACTCAAGGATTCTGGAATCCAGAAACCTGTAATACCAGAGAACTGTAATTACATACTTCTGCTTATCATAATATCAACTATATTCCCTGAGGTCACATAGTTCCAAGTTCTTTCCAAAGTGGCAAACAAACCTTGCTTGCCTTGTTAAAACCTTCCACTCCTTTATTTCTGGTAATGGCAATGGCTCCCACATGAGTAACAGGAAGGTTTCTTGGAAACTCTGACTTTCAGAGGGCTTCTCTGTCTTCCAGCCAACAGAAGAAGCCAGATGAGTTCTTAAGGTTACACACAACAAGGGGATGTTAATTGTATTGCAGAAGTTTCAAGAGTTACTGGCCTAAAACTCTGAGGCTTTTGAAGAAAAATTTCAAGCAAGGTACTACATAATCCAGCTGTCTCTGGTTGTGAGAAAGGGATAGGAAAAACAAGCTGTCTGAGCATCTTCAGTTTTCAAAGGGTTAAATGAGTCACACACTGAAGCAGTAGTGGGAAGGGGAGGAGGAAGCAGAGAAAACATTTACACAGTCCTGTATGAAATGTCTGCAATTTGGTAACAGGTGTGTTATATTAATTTTGAGACTAAGTGGGATGAGAGAGCTAAAGGTGTTAAATTTGATCTTTCTTCTAAAGATCATAAACAATCACTCACAAGACAAAGCTTCAGGTCAAGAAATCTCAGACTACTTAGACCTCAGGCAAGCATCAAAATTAAAACCTTTTGCTACTAATGGAAGACAGAAATAAGATAAAAGGGAAACATTCTATACTACATGAGGATTTCATAATAACGTCCCTTTTTCTCTCAAATACATGTTGAAAAACATTTTTGAAGGGAAACTTCCTGCTTGATGGTCATCTAGCTCTGGTATTTCAAACAATCTTCCCTTGTTGGGGCAAAGAGGAAGCTGGGGCAAAGAAGAGTCATCATCTTGAGCAGGTGTGAATGCTTGCCTGAACCCAACCACGCTTTCTTGAAGCTAAAACAGTGTAAGTACAGACAGAGGGGCCTGCCATATTTCTGTAAAGAAAAGCAAATATTGTAAATGTAGTTTGTTTTTCTAACTCAGTGAATAAGCCATTACATTACCTGCTGTCTCAAGACCTGGGAAATTTTTTCAAGCTCTGACTGGTTATTGACTTTCTGACCACAAGTCATAGCCATGCTAGAAGAGATACTGTTTCAGCAGAAAAGGACAGATTACTTTAATAATAAGCATAAAGTAAGATATATGGATGGGAAGACAAAAAGTAGAAAGCCAGGGGGGAAAACTGCATGATTTAGAGATGTCAGGAGTTTCTCAAAACATAGTCAATATAATGAAGGCAGTTCTGTTATGCCACATCCCTCCCACCCCCTCTGGTCAAGGTGTCTCTCAGGACCAAAATGGTACCAGGACTCTATGGGTATTAGAGATCTTCAATTCACTGCTTTTCCCTTGCTGTAATACCAAACTAAAAAGTGAAGTGCCTCACTTTTTTTTTTTCTTAAGAAAAAACCACAAAAGTTTTCTTCCTTGCTCAGTCCTTGTTTTGGGCATGTTCAAAGTTCACAAAATTCTGTATCTGGGTCCTATTCTTTTATTCACCAAACCTGAGCAAAGACTACTTGGCAACCATTTTGAGTTTTGGACTTCTGGTACCTTCTCAGGATCCTTAATTTTCTTTCACATGAAACTATTTTAGCAAAAGATCTACAAAGCTATATATATTTTGTGATTAAAGCATCTCTTCAAAGTATCCAGCAGATGAAGCATTCTTCCACATGACTATACTAACTGTTCCAGATTTTATACTGCTGAGAAAAACTCACTACAATATTTCAAGATGTATTTCAAAATCCACATTCAAATTCATTTGCAATTTGCTATCTCAAGAGATTTGCAATAAGGTGAATTGAATTTTGACTAGTTAGGAGGCAACACAGAGAACTAGTTAGAAATAAGATTGTATAATAAAACGTTAAATACATTTACAATGAATGGAAATCATATTTATTATTTCACTAGGGAAAAACAGATGAAATTCCAATAGAAAGATTCTTAATCTGTTTCCTCAGACAAGTTTTCATCAGCTTTTGGCAGGTTAATGTTAATGGCTGCCCTGAGATTAGCCCAGAATAGGGCACGCTTGCTCCTCTCCTTCGGCCACTCCATGTAGGTGCGCTTTGCCATGAGAGCTTTCAGCTTGTGATACCTGGCAGGGATAAGGTACGGAGGGATTGGCTCCAGTAAAATGAGGATTAAACTGTTGGAATTCTCACTGAATAACTTGTGATGGGCAAAGTACAGCTCATAGTGACACCACTCACTCTGCACAAAGTTGGGAGACAACACAAAGATCGACTTGTAGCTCTTCTCAATGCAGTTAATGATGTTCTCCACAATGCTCTTGCCGGGGACAAAGTTTCTCTCGTGCTGGCACAGTTGTATGCAGCCCTCCCCCTTCTCCAGGTTCGGGATCAGCTCGTTCTTCACCCACAGCGAATCGCGCTCGCTGTAGGAAATGAACGCGTGGAATTGCAGAACGGCCCCCTGATCCCCAGGAGGGTTGTGCCGAGCTCTGCGCTTCGTCTGCGTCCACTGCCACGTCATCCGCACGTACCACGGCACATCCAGGTAGATGCACAGAAAGGCCACCACAGCCACCAGCAGCAGCGTCAGCAGCAGAGCTGTCACAAGCAGGAGCGTCGTGTTGCAGGCCAGCAGGCTCAGGTGGAAGTCCTTGAGCTCTGTTCCTCGCAAGCCTTCGGGGTACTCGCACACGTAGGCCACCGGCCAGCCAAACAGCTTCCCCCCCGACCGCCTCTCCAGGCGGATAAAGGCTTGCAGTTCACAGGAACACTTGAATGGGTTGTGCCCGGCCTGCAACTCCCTGACCTTTGGGCAGCTCTTGAAGAAGTCAGCAGATGGGGTGAGGATCGAATTCATCTCTACGTTCAGGAACTGCAGGGACGTAAAGCCACTGCACCCCGGCAGGTCGGCCAGCCTGTTCGATGCCAGGTTCAGCTCTTCCAAGGATTTCAGCTCTGCCACCCCACTGGGGACATTGCTGATCTGATTGTTTTGTAGGCTGAGTTTTTTGACGTTGACTGGCAAGCACTCAAACACAACATCCGCCAACTGATTGGAGGACAGGTCCAGCTCTGTCAGAGACTCAGCCCACTGGCACTGCACGTCAGCTCCATCGTGGCGCAGCAGGTTGTTGCTCATGTCCAGGTATTTCAGTGATTTCATACGGCTGGTCATGAAACTTACTTTGCGAAGGCTCTCAAATTTATTCTTCTGCAAGATTAATATCTCCAGCTGAAGTAGGTTGTCACAGTTTTGAAAAAGAAAATCTGTTAAATCATTCTTTAAAAAATTTAGGTATCTAAAGGGACTCCTAGATGAAGGACAAAGCATATGAATCATCTCTGAATCAGCTATTGTCATGTGTTCAATATTCATGTCTGCAAATATTTTGTATAGGTCATCCTGTGTGAAGTACATGTCTGTGATTATAATTTTCTTCATTGTCAGTGCTTTCATAGAAGTACCTGAATAGTCAAAGTCATAACTTTCAATGTCTGACAGCTGTGTTACATTGTTAGTATTGAAGTATTGAATGGATGAGTGCCATACAGTCTGAAAAATTTCCATAAGAGCATTCCAATCCACTGACACATTTGTCAGTGTCAGATTTTGTAACCTGGATCCTTGTGTGAAATTAGATAATAAAGCTATCAATTTTTTTACATTGTCATTTGTGATTTCTGACAATGACAGACTTTCTGTAGTATTTTGTATCACAACCCAATCAAAATCAGCTTTGGACTGATTACTGTTTGTATACAGGAGTGGCAGGCTCTTGATTTTTTGGTTAGAATCATCTTCTGGAAAATTGTTAGAAACAGATGTAAAGAGTTCATCTTCTACAGACAGGCTGATGTAGCTCCAAAAAGTTAATGCAAACAGACACTTGTAAAGAAAAACGTTTCTTAAAAAGCTTGTATTTTGTGTCATACTGTTTTCTGTTTCCTTGGAGACGCTCGATACTTTTCTTAACTGTCCATCTTTGTTCTAATCCTGCGGAAAACAAAGAAACACAAGCAAAAACCAGATTGTATTATTAAGTAGCTGTGCAGGAACCATCAGAGAGAGAGATTCTGAGAGATTCTTTTAAGGTTCCTATTTCTCACTCTCTGTTTGATTAAAAAAGCAATGATTTTCTACAATCATTCAGAAGAGTCATTCATTATTAACAGATGACTGAATTTTTATTTGGCAACTATGGTGTATTTATCAAATAATGAGTCAGTTTTTAACAAAATACGTCTGATTTAATATGTGTCTAAAATTTGCTGCTTAGTTACAGCATTACTGCTGTGATACAGTGTATTATGAAGGCTTCCTAAACTGTGTAATATACTTTGATTAGAAAGTACAATAACTGGTGTCAACGCATCATCGTCTGCTCAGATTCTCCCTTAAATGATGTGAACTGGGCTCAGAGACATTATTTAAAAATGGACTTTTGACAGCAACCCTTGGACTGAAACACAGAATGAAGGTTCAAGAGCCATTCCTCTAAAGTTGAATGTTTTTAGATAGCTGAGACTGGATTATCAGTGCTTCTTGTATCTGGGGAAATGGGGGTGAGGGTAGAATGATCTATATTTATGCCTCGGGGAAGTCCACAAAAGGGTTCACTTTTTGTCTGAGCTTAAGCATTTCCTGAATTTAGACTCTGAAAGTGGGGTGTTCACATCTCGCTTGACATGTGTACAAAGAGAACACCAGACACATGCTGGGAATATTTGCAGGCTACACAAAAATATATCAGTTGTAGAACCTCTGTACACGAAATCCAGCCCTGATTTAAGGACACTGACCTCAAACATCTCTGTTGTGAGAGAGGTTTATTTAAACAGACTTTAAAGGGAAAAAATGATAACTGTGTCTTTGCTTTGGTTTTCCCTATTAGAGGTAACTTTTTCTTTCTGAATGTAGCAGTTTAGGATAGCCAGCCTCCCTTTGTTTAAGTCAGCCATTGAGAATACTGTCTTAAATCTCCTTTTAGGTATTGCATAAATCTTAGACTGCCCCTCTAAAAGAGGAACTGGTAAGAACTTAGTTTCAACACTTTTAAATGTGTAAATATTATTTAAAGTTGTTTTCCAGATTTCTAATGTCTTTTTATTTCCTCTTCTTTCTCTTTCCCTCCCATTAATTTTAAATCATATTGTTGCCCAAAATTTCCCATAGTATTTATTAATGACTGCACAGGCCTTCAACTTTCACTTGATATTGAAGAGGTTAAATTCTGAGTTTATATATTTCTAATGACTCTACAATGAGACAATAGCTATCACCTGACAGACTGATTTAGAACTTCAAAGACTACATTCACTGCACCATTAACCATTCCACAAGCTTTCTCAGAATTACTGGGGCAAAATACATGTTCTACTTGATCTAACAAAAAGGAAAAAAAAAAAAAAAAAAAGTACACTGAACTCTTTTTTAAAGAATGCATGAAACTAAGCTTGGAAATCATCTAGAAATAGCAGGGTAATATGGCAAAACTTTCCAGCCTTTTTCCAAATTCTCATTTGGAAAAAATTATATGCATCACAGCCCTCAAAAGGCACTTGGGCATATTCAATCCTGTTCTTCTGATTGTTTGGGCAACTCTACTAATGTGTTTATAAATTTATGTGCTTAAAATATGTAGCTTCAAGAGAAAGCTGAAAAAAAATCTACCTTTAAATCATTATTCCTTCCTCGGATAAAATTTCCGCAATATCCATGGACTAGATGAAAAAAGGATAGGAGTCTTCTACATGTGTTTTATTTTCTTTCTATTTCATATATCCTAGCATTCAGTCAAATTATTTATGAGTACCTTCAAAATTTCTTTAGAATATCATAGGAAGCAACACAAGTAAAAGCTTTTATAACACATAACCTGTGATTTGGAGGCTAATACTGTAGAAATTATCCTTCACAGTCATATCACATTTAATTCAGAAGTATCCTCATGTCTTCAAACGTGATAAAAAAAGCTTAATCAAGAAAAGCAATTCAGGAGGTAGGCAAGCCAAGAGCATAGTAAGAAAGTGCCCTGTTGTTTAAAGAGAAAGGGGAGAGAAAAAAATAAGGTTTTAAGAGTTTTGCCAATATGAAACTGGTATAAACTGACTAAACTTCCATATAAGAAATATACAGAATACATTTAGCTAAGACAGTTCAGTATTAAGACATGCACTTCACAAGATACCAACATAGCAAAAAACTCTAATGTTACAAACATGCCATTAACAAGGATGAAACACATGATCAGGTTAGACCCAGTTCCTGAACTGTAGAAAACTACTGCCATCACTCTGCCTCCCTTAATTATGGGTGTAGTGCTAATAAAAAGAGACTGCTACTTGGACAGTTTTTTGGATAAATATTCTGAACACAAGCAACTTCACCATCGTTGCTTACCCATACACTTAAAAGAACATCTTACACATGCTATGGAATACAAGGCACATTTTAAAATAAGATACAGAATATAAAACAATTCCAGCTAACTAGCAACAGCACAAAGTCAACAAAATTAAAACTTTCTCACCAGAAATCCCTGCTGTCCGAAAAAGCAGAAAGTGTTCTCAGGAAAACAACAAAAAAAAAACTTCCTGTAACTTTATCCTATTGAGTAACACTACTTAGGAACACCCAAATTTTTACATACCTGTTTGTGCCATCTACTGACAGCTTGTGAAATGGCATTTGCTTTTCTCCAGATGTATTTTTCACATACATTACTGTAATATCCTTCTATTTTATTATTATTGAACTTTGTGGCTTTATGCTTTGCAATATATTAAACAGGAGAAAAATGAATATTTTTACCAACTTTATGCCTTCATTAAATTAAGATGAAAATAAGTACTTCTTTTGAATAAGAAATTCAAACACCTTCCTATCTGAATTTAATAATGATCTAGGTCTCTATGCATTATGTTAAATTTTCATCCATTTTGCTATACCAATTTAGTTGTCAGACTCTTATCAAGGTTGGTTTATAAAAGTACCATTTGTCTTAGTTTAATTTCCATTTAATGGGAATGGAATAATAATCCCTCTCCTGCTCCAGCAGTGTTGTCATTGGGTTAAACAGTGAACATGGATACACTGAGAGGAGTTTGGTTTGGTTTTTTGTTTTTTTGGGGTTTTTTTCGTTTGGCTTTTTTTTTTTTTTTTTTTTTTTTTTTTTTAATTAAAACAGAGCTGTGACTTTGGTACTGAATGGCCAAACACAGGGCTACTGTCCTGGCAAAGACATAAACCAGTCTCTCTTCATTTCTTGATAATATTGGTTAGAAATTCCACCATAGCTGAGATCTAAATACAGAACTGCCACACTATAACTTACCTTTCTGGCTTAGCATATTCATGATCTAATATTTAATGATATTAATAATACACATTCATTATTTAATATTTCAATGATCAGGAAGCAGAGGAAATAATCTAAAAAATTACTTTTTCGATTTGAGGCTTATTCTGTATATTAAATATAATTTCTCAGCCTCAAGTGAAAAGAAGTCATCCAAAAATGACATTGAAAGACAGGACAGGTAGTAAATAACAGAATATGGAAAATTCACTACTATAACGCTGATAAGTCTTACAATATTACTCTATGATTTTATTATTCATTCTCCATTTCTGTCAATTCAGACAAGACTATTCACAGCTGATTTCCAAATCTTACAATGATGTTACATAAAAACCTCCCCATTGCCTGCTCTTAGCTGGAAAGACTTTGGATGAGATAAAATCCTAAGCTCATCCTAATACCTTGCTTCTACCAAATATTCATTCCTGTTTTGTAATGTAACAGCTGTACTGCTTGAACATAGCCTACGTATTGCTCTGCTGAATGCAGAACCAGATGTACAATTGGTACCGTGTATTATCTGTTGTAAGGTAGAGACTCATGAGCTGCCACTGGCATTGTTTGTATGTCTATATACTATAAAGACATATGAACAATATGTTAAAGAGCAAAATAAGCATATTACCATTAAGTAGATGCCATTAACCCTTCAGATTTACCACTTTGATTTACCAGTGCAATCACTGGAAGCAGATTAATACAGTCCATGCATACTTCCATGTTCTGTTAAATGTAGCCAAATGTCTTTTTGCCTTTATTTATATTTATCTATCTATTAAAAGGGAGGTAACTTTTCTGAAACCCATTAGAAAGATAATGACAGAGTAATAACAAACATCAGTGAAACCTGAGATAGGTGGAAATGCTCAATCTCTAATGCTTATTTATTCCAAAACCATTTGTAATATTACCATAGTGAAAAAATACAAGTTAAATCAATTAAAATTGAAAGAGAAAAAAATAGAAAATGCCAAGTGTAAAAGTCTTAAATTCAAAAAATAGTCTAGGAACTTACAAAATGTATGCATCCTTATATTCAAACAGACAGACATGCACATTTATGTACATATAATGTTAATTTCACCTTTAGGTGGTAACTTTGTGTTACAACAGTGATTAACAATGATATCAATAATGTCTTGCAGTTCTATGATATGTATGGTTATGTAAATCTGCAAAATTGGTAGTGCAAGATCCAGGTTACAGTCAAAATTATTAGCTTGGAGTAGCTCTCCTCAGTGGCTCACTATGTGCCGGTTTGCCTCCTATGTCAAAACTTCTCTCGTTGGCAGACTAGTGATAGAAATGCTGCTGTATTGTCTTTCACCATGCTTTGCCTTAAGACGAGGGAGCAAAAAAGAGGAACGGGTATGAGGAACTACACGCAAACAAGAACCACGGCTATTGGGAACAGCCTGAAACCCCTTTGCTCAACCAAGTGTTTCATCGACTGACTGGAAATGTGCGCGGGGAGCGCCGGCTCCTGTCAGGGCCTTTCCGGTACACACAGCGGTATCTGAAAAGCTGCATCTCCCTTCAATTCCGCAACCCCACGGGTCCGGGTCAGTAAGTGCTCACTTTGAGGAAGGATTAAACTTTCTTAAAAAAAAAAAAAAAAAAAAAAAAAAAGAAAAAAAAAAAAAAAGGAAAAAAAAAAAAAAAGCCAGCTCAGCAACTAGATTCATTTGGACTTTTTCTCTCATTGGATGGCTGAGCACTGAACCGGCTTCCCAGCGAAGCAGCCACAGCACCAAGCTTGCCCGAGTCCAAGAAACGTTTGGAGACGACGCTCTCAGGCACGTGGCGTGATTCCTGGCGTGGCCTGCACAGGGCCAGGAGTTGGACTCGCTGATCCCGATACGTCCCTTCCAGCTCAGCATATTCTATGACTCTATGAAATTGCCCCTTTTCCGCCTCAGCACGGACGCAGGGGCGCCGCCGGCCCTGAGGGAAGCGCGGCCCGACGCTCCGGGCCGGCGCTTCCAGCGGGGCCCCGCCGCGCCCCCGCGCCGAGAGCCCTGAGGGGCGGGCATGGCGGCCGGGCCGCTCCCCGCGCTGGGCCGGGCAAGCCTGGAGCCCAGGGACTACGGAGGCGCGGCGCTGCCCCTTTACAACAGGCGGGCGCCTCACACAGCCGGAAGGAGAGCGAGGGACAAAAGCCAGCCCTCCCTCCTCCCTGGGGCCGGCCCGGGCTGCCGGGCCCGCTCTGCCTCCTCCCCCCACTGCTGCCGACGTGGCGGGGCGGGGAAGGGAAGGAGCCGGGGGCGCGCCGGTCGGGGCACTACTGAGCGGTAAGGAGCGCGGCGATTTCTGCATTTTCTGCCGCTTTTGACATTGGCTGCGCCACACAGCTCTGTCCCAGAGGAGAACTTCGAAAAGGGGAAAAAAGAAAAGGAGAAGCGGGAAGTTGCGGCCGTTGCGGGCTTGGGGGAGCGGCGCCCCGGCAGCTCCTGCCCCGCATGGGGCAGCGGGGCAGGGCGAGCTGCCGGCGGCGGGCCAGGGGAGCTTCACCTGCGCCCGCCGTGCCCGCAGCGGCCCGCGGAGGAGAAGCGGCAGCGGGCGTCCAGCGAGAGGGGAGCAAGGTGCTGTCGCCAGCAAAGTTATTCCTCCTTCTCCCGCGCGGGGACGGCGATTCGTGCCCGAAGGCGCCCGGCGGCAGCGGGGCTTTGCTCTCTAGGGGAGATGAAACTCCTCAGCTCAGCAGGTGCCGCCACCGCCGGGCCCCTCAGCGCGGCTGCTCCCTGCGGGCCGGGCACTTCCCCGCCACCGGGCCGGGCTGGCCTTAGCATCTCCCTCACCAACTCCCCGTAATTCCCTTTGGGCGGAGCTGTCCGAGTTGATTTGGATCAGGACAGTCTCAGGGATGAAAGGTTGAATGACGCTGACCCCGGGTGCAGCTCGTGTGTTCTGATAGACGAGGAGATTTGCTGTTACCTGCCGTGCTCTGGAAGGAAGGTTCAGCAGGCAGCTGAAGGGACCGCGGCCCGAGTGCTACCCAAAGATGACTGCAAAAATTTTTTTGCAGTACTGCAAATATCAATGTGCGCGTCTGTGTGATGCTTTAAAAAGTGCTGGGCTTACTCAGAGCTAATGCCCATTCAAAATTATGAAGTATGTGTCTAAAGGTTTTACAGGTTTTAATAGAGAATTCTCATATCTCATGATGGAATTTGATTTACAGATAAAAAAAATCTTCCTTAGGTGATGCTGCCCATCACACAGTGAGTACTGTTAAAACAACAGCAATTCTTCCCTACAAGAAAGCATTTTATAGTATTTGCTGCATTTTTAATGAAAAGCTGTCAAATCCAAAGATTCTGACTTCAGAATTCAAGTTTTCTGAAGATAATTAGGGTACAGCGTAAGCTGAAGTAATACAAGTGGTAGCAAGTGCTTACTTTTTTACTTATGTTTCTTGTTCACTTATCTGAAGTGCTACTCTTGGAACTGTTTAGGCAAGTGATCAACATTCACATTAGATAAACAGGCTACTAAAGCTATAGATGTATACAGTTTTATAGATTTTAATAAAATATACTAATTTAAACACATGCTTCTCAGGCAAATTTCTTCTAAATCCCAGTTATGTTTTGCTTTTTGCCTTTTTTCCCCTCCTGTTCTTTAGTCTCTCATAGAATCTCCATCCTTACTGAGAGATGCAAACCTTTGAGCCATGTTTAATTAATATGAGAGTCAATGAAAAAGCAGCATCTACAGAGAGAACTGTACAAGTCTTTTTATGCCGTGCAACTCAACATTTTGCAAGCTCTCTGTCAAGGATTGTTTTCTGAGTTCCAAGTATACAGAGTGAGTGGAGTATTTACAGTATCATTCTGATACCAGTGCCAGCATGAGGCATGTGCCACAGGGCTCCATGCTTTAGGAGGTCTTACACCAAGGCTGAATTGTTTTTCAGCAGTAGCATATGGTATACACTATGTCTTTTATAATAAACACTCAAATGTTTATGGCACCTAAAAGACTTTACTTTCTGTATTCAGAATTTAAAATGTCTGAAGATCTATCTGATGGCACCCCATCTGAAGAAAAACCTGAAGTAATGGAAATGCCCAGCAATGAGGTATTGCCTCAAGAATCAGTACCACGCCTTGTAGAAGCTGAGATCTTGCATGAGTCTTCACAAGATCAACATGAACAGGTCACTCAGAATGTTAGTAATAGAAAGGAAGGAGACATAGTCATTAATGAAAGCCCTTTGACTGAAAAGCTCATTGAAAGCCTGCCTTCCAGCCTGCCTTCCAGTGAAGAGACAGCTGAACACATGCCCACCGAGTGCATTGAAACTGTAAGCCTTGATGCAGAACCTGAATTGGAAGAAACGCTGCAGGAGCAAAGCAATCCAGTAAGCAATACTTTCTTTTCCATAAAAGCCCTCCTCTCCTTGCATTGTGAGGACAGAATTTTGTATAATCTATGTCCTGGTTTTCACAAAAACCTAGGAAGTTATGCAGAAAACCTACATAGGGATAAATTAAATCGCAACACCAAGCTTTTGAAAACTAGGAATAGTTTAATTTCACTTTGCAAGTGTGATATCAATTTGGTCTTTCCAGTCTGGTTGCAATGAAACTTGCATTGTGTAGAGGTGATATGTTAGTGGACACTTTCTTGAGACAACAGTTTTTTAACATTATTTAAATATGGAATACTGATAATGGCTTAACACTACCCATTAGTGTAAAAGGTATGCAGCACCTCCTCTAGATGTATTTTTATTGAACTCAGTTGTTAGGAGTTCCCTATGCATATCTACTGAACTACACATGTGAGGAGACTTTGGAAGAGAAGCCTCCATCTTTGGTTCCTGCCTCCAACCCAGGAAGGAGACAGGTTGCTACCTGTCCCTGATATTAGCCCTAATAAACTTGTATGGCCTTATAGGATTGAGTACTTGAAGAAATTTCAGAACATCTGTAAAGACATCTCTGGAGTTTCAGGCTCTTCCAGGAATAGATGATGTGAACTATGCTTCTGCTTTTTTGTTTGAAGTTTGAACTGCACGTAATACCCAATCTGTCATCATCTGTTAAATGCCAGACCTTGTTGCCTGATAGGTTCTTTGTGTTTCCTCCTGCCTCTTGAGAACAAGACTTCTAGACAGTGGAGTAACATTTTTGTTCTTATAGGCTGCAGACTCCTCATCTAAAGCAAGTAGATGGGGAGCTTGGGGTACCTGGGGAAAGTCTCTCCTGTCATCAGCTTCTGCCACAGTGGGTAAGTGTTCAGTTGGTAAAGTGTGTGGAAATAATTAATAATTTTTCTGTGTCATTAGACAGATTAGTGTTTCATCTTAAGGATTCATAGATAATTTTGCCTTGATAAGCTTGGGAAGCATGATTTTTTTAAAGAGGAAGATGGACCTTCCTAATTATTCAAATTATGGACAAGGTGCTAGGCTTGTTGTTGCTTGTTGTTAAGTTAATGAATTACATGATTGTGACTTCTTCATAGAAAGGATCCATAATCCAGTACAATTTCTATCAGCCAAAGGCGTATGGTTTCTCAAGTCAAAGCAACCCAGATTCATGCTCATGCGTGTTAATGCTTTGTATGCCAGGTTTGACTCCTGCCTACACATGAATTCACTTCTAGTAAATCATTCCAGCTTTCCTTGCCACCCAGTGAAACATTCACACTGTCACACTAGCTTTCAGACAGTAGAGCAATGTATTAAAACATGGGCCCTGTACTCCCTCTCCCTATATTCTCATTTCCAATAGTAGGTCAGTACAAAATGTCCTCGTGAAGACTTTAGGTAAAACTTAATTATTGCTCTTTGAAGACTCACTGACAAAAAGCGAAGCATAGAAATTTGTAGTTACCAGTGGAAAATAATTTCTCACAAACCAAAAATGTTTTGTAAAAAAAAATCTGTTAGCTATCCCGTAAAGGATCCACAGAACACCTTCAAAAGATGAACCTAGGAATTAAAATTAATTGCTAGTTACTAAAAATAAGTATAATAAAGATACTGGTTTTATGATCCCATGTAAGGCTAAATAATTCTCCTCCTTATCTCTGTTTCATGGACAGTAAATGGTTTCTGACTATTTCTTAGAGGAGGGAAGTTTCCTTGTCCTCTTTTTTTCAGTAACATCCACAGTCAGGAGTACATAACATTTTCTTTCAGATAACAACAATTAACATCTCTAGTTACATTCAGAATGGGTTTCTAGGGTGTGTGGAACAACTTTGTTGTGTAGGCAGTCTGACTTGATACAGTCGTGTGATGTCTGTTTTCATCACCATGAACAAATATTTTTAGGATTATTATTGTCTAAAAATGAGCACAGCTGGAACAAGTCAAGTTGCCTTGAAAAAAGAGCATCCACATTCAGAAAAGGAAAAGGAAAATTTTAGAATAATTTTAATTCAATATCGGAATGGTTGCACTATTTCACACTGAAGACCTATCTACTATTTGGGTTCTGGCAGTGACCAAGAACAACTAGGAAAGCACCTAAACCCAGATGTATATAAAGCAGCAGTTTCTCCTGATTTCCTATTTCCTGGAATCTGCACATAGACAGACTTCCTGACCCTGAGATCAGGGTAGGTTGAGTTTCCATGTTCGTATCTAATAATTTTGAATCTAACTTAGTGAATTTATTTTAAAAAATAGACTTTGAATTAAGCAGAAATCAAATTTATGTTCTTCCATGTTTTGTGAACCCAAGGTAACTTGGAAGACCAAATAGCTAGTCTTACACAGGAAATCAATGCACCAGGTAATATTTTATATTCCTGGTACAGAGGGCTTATTTCCTAGTTGTTTATTATGAAAATTCATGCTTGATCCTCTGAAATATTTACTGTCTCTCACTGTCATGGACAGGATATGGTACTGTATAGACCACATATTTCCTTCAGTATGATAATTCCTTAGTGAGATATATGAAAAAAAAATTAAAGCTATGGAGAATTTCTACAAGCTTTATTATTATTGTTATATATTTATTATTCTCCTTCAAGTTACTCCATTTAATATCTGATCAGTTCAACCAACATTTCATCTCCTGTTCCACACCAGAAAATAGTTTTACTATGGACCAGTCCATTGTAAAGTTGCTATTCCTTCAGTGTAGCAAATGCTGTAAGTAAAACTGCCTTCTTGGAGTTAAGAGTTAGTAGCAACACCTTCAGTCTGTGATTTTTCTGTTGTTCTGTCATCATATTGTACAACACAGTTGCTTATCTGGTGAAATATGACCAATATTTACTATTCCTTATATTTTTCTTCAAAACTGTACTTTGTAAAAATAGCACAAACAGTTTGAGGTGGACTAAATAACATCTTAAAAGCTTAAACAAATACATTCTGCTTATAACAAAGAGTATCATAGACCAGTCAGGGTTGGACGGTACCTTGAAAAGTCATTTAGTCAGTGGTTTTGTAGGAAAAGCTTTATGAATCTAGATAAGATTATCTAGCATGTTGCCCCGTCACATCTTGAAAACCTCCAGTAATGGAGACTCTACCATATCTCTGGGTAGGTTTTTCCAGTGAATAATTCTTTTTACTGTAATTAATTTTTCTTGCATTTCTACCTATTTAAGAATGAGTTAAAATGTTGTTCCAATCATCTCAGTTTCATTATTCTTCAGACACTGATAGAGAATTCACAAACATATGAACATTTTTAATGTATGGCTATAATTTATTCAGGACAGCTGATTTTAATTCCCAATAATAACTCGGTTTCCATATAATTTGTATCTCATAGTCCTTTAAGTAACTCTGCACATACAGCCAAGGACTCTTTTGGCGGTAGTTTTTTATTCCAAAGAAAATATCTGTTGACTTTGAACTGATTTTGACATTATTTAAATCAAAGTCCCACAGCAAGACATATGTGATACTCCTCTACACAGCGGAACCAGTAATGCCTTTGGATTAGTTTCAGTCGCTGCCTGAGCCATGTTTGGGGTCTTGACACTAGATGTCACACTAAACAAACTATTGAATCAACTCCATCAATGAGGTGAAGAGATTTCTTTTGTCTTCAAAACATGCAGTAAAGTGTGTTCCTTCTGAAATAGTTGCTGGAGTAATGAGATGGGAGAAGGCTCACTGTGATAAGGAGAAACAACTTGTACTAATTATCACCATTTTGGTGTTTTTCTTTTCAGTTGTGTTTTTTAGTAAATCAGCCATTACACAATCCAGTCTTTTGACAATGTTGATAAAGCTATCCTGCCTAACTATTGCAGCTAAATCAATTAATGGGTAGTAGCCACTGAAACGTGCAGTCCCTCATCTGTCTTTTCCTTGCATGTTTCTTCCTTCTCCCTGTACCAGCATTCATGTTTCTCTAAGTTCCCTCTAATCCACTTCAGGAAGCAAAACTGACATAAGAATAACTCTAGAGGAAAGAAGAATCCATTTTCTGCCTCTTCAGTTCCTTGAACCGACTCTTTGAGACCAGTTTCAGGGCAAGCGGAAGGGACAAGCGTGGAACAGGGGGAGGAGTAGAACCTTCCGTAACTGCACCAAGAAGCCATTAGGTTAGCTTACCTGTAACAGCAAACTCTTTATCCCCAGGGCTTATGCAAGGCAAAATATATTTTCAGTTTGTACTGGCAGCTTGTCACTTGCAGTTTTAAAACATGTTCTATGTTTTAAAGCTTGGGTCTTTGGTTTTTCTTCCAACTAATCTATCTGCTAGCTTAATGAAAGTGACTACCTTCTGCAAGCCTTGCCTTTCATATGCTGTGGTGTTTAGAATGAGGTATGATATTCTAGGGTGCTGAAGTTATGGTGCTCAATGAGCTGCATTTATAAGAAAAGTCTTCTCTCTGTCATGATGTATACAGTTACTTCACTCCGTGTAAGTTTAAAGTGTTTTACCTTTAGGGCCATGGCTAAGCCTAGCCCGTGTCAATCCATTCACACAGGAAAAGCCATAAAAAAATAACCCAGCTGTTTGATTCACATGATCCCTGAAATTCATACTATAAGGCTGTATAATGCATCTTATTAATGTATTGTTTGTAATTAATGTTCTGCTATCTTGATTATTCTTGTGTATATGCTCATCTAGTTCTTCAACTATGAGAATGGCACATGAAAATATCAGATACCCATACTTCTCCCTAGTATGCTGAAAAGCACTTTTTGTCATTCAGTATGACAGAATGAAATGTCACATTGGAAGTCACTGTGTTCATGAGCTTGGATATTATTATGCATGGGTATGTGTAATAATCAGCATTACATAGCTTAAGTTGACTTCTTTGTGGAACAGAAATGCCGGTGCTGCAGATAATATGAAACTAAAGTATTCAAATGTCTTTACTATTCTCTATAGATACTATTGCTCTGTTGCAAAATAAAGTACAATATTAAAAAAAGAAGTCTGTGTGTTATGCTTATACTTTAGTTATGCTTGTACTTTATCATAAAGAGGATAGTTAATCTCTTCAGCCTTTTTTTTATTTCATAAATTCGCTGATTAAGAGAAAACTGCTTTGGGTTGGAATCACATGGTCACAACTGTTTTGTAAATAATACTTTTCGGCTACTGTAGCAGCAAAGCCCTTTACACTTATTCCTGTTTAAGAATGCTGAATGGAAGTAACAGACGGAAGGAAATGTGCATGCATTTTGGGTTGGCAGTCTCTTTTGCTTTCTTTATGTCTTTTAACATGGGCTTACAGTCTAGTAGAAGCTGAGAACCAATAAAATGGAGTAACACCCTTTATGTTTATTGCTGTTACTGAAACCTTTCATGCTTGCAACGAGGAGATCTGAATCTAGTCTCATTTACTAGATTAATTTGTGTGATTCCTGATTTATAGGCGAGATAGCATAGGTATTACAAGAATCTAGCCTGGTTTGTTTGGTTTTAACTGCAAGGAAGAGAAATTTTGTGAAGGCTTGAAGTGAACAGAGTCCCAATAGGATAGCCTTAAAGGGAGCACAATGGAGCCTCACTTTTTAGTGTACAAAACAGGATAATGGCTGGATTGTCCACATCTCTGTACTTCATGTTGTGGAGTGATTCTTTTCCAGCCAGTTTTGGGTTCCTCAGTTTCTCATCTGGTGAAAGATGCTCATTTAAGGCCTCAGTCTTCATCTTTAGCTTGAGCTAGATGAGGCTTCACTCATGTTTCTAGACTAAATTTTGATCAGTTCTTCATTAGATATGCTCCCATGATAGGACACAGGTTACGAAGATGGTGTAGTAGCCAGGGACAAAATCTCAAACTCCTACTCCTCCCCAGGTGTACCACTGAATCAGAGAGTCCAATTGCCTGTGAGTACTAGATGGACAAGGGATCAGTGATTCCTATAAAGAGTGGTTTAGGTTTCAGACATAGTGAACTGCCCTCCCGAGGTGTCTGTTTGCCTCTCTCAGCTCTGCAGGTAAGCCAAAACTACTAAGCTGGGAGGGGGAAGATAAGACAGCTTGCAGTGAAGTTGGATGTATCCGACTAAAGCTGTGAGTGCTGTAATCTGGCCTTGGACAGATAAGGCAAACCAAAAGGCAGGTCATGTTGTTAGGCAGTGTTAGCAAAACCTTCCTTTGCAAATGAAAGATCCCAGCTAGGAACACAAACAATAATATTCTGTGGAAATTGCAAGCCAATAGAAAGGCAAGGAATCATGGAGGGAAGAGAAACAAAAGCGACAACACAGAGAGAAAAAGAAAGCTTTCTTCCAAAAGCTCACAGTTAACAATGCCCATTGCATAGCTCTTCTGTCTGCTATTACAGAAGAGTAAATGGAGATGTCAGAGGTGTCAGCTCAGTTGTGTTAGCACACCCAGTGTTACAAAATGAATGCATCTTTAAATTGTAGGCTTCTCTTCCATGACCTCTTTTATTTCTGTGCCTTTTGAAATTACAAATAATCATTTTCATTTCCAAGGCAACAGACATTTCTGCCCTGTTTGTGCACGTATGTGTATTTAATGGTTGCTTCAGTTGTGGTCTTCTGATTGCATCTGGTTTTCCTGCTGCAGTCAAATGTACATGCCATATAGCTTAGTTCAACAAAGCCACCCCTAGCTGACCTGGAGTATTCTCTCATTATTCTAGTGCATATAACCACAGACCTGAAAATGCTGCCTTTTGTAGGTCAGTAAATATCAATACAGCAACTGTGTTCTTTCTCTTAAGTGTGTTAGCTTGTCTGCCAAACTACATGGGAAAAAAGTGGGAAATTGATCTGAAAATGTGTAACTTTTGCAGACAATTAAAATTTTTGCTCAATATTTATTGGATTTTTTATATGACTACAGGACCATAGTATTTTGTTACCAAGTCAAATTGATTCAATCAGTTAAAAGAACAAAATTCTTGCTCATTTAAAAAGTTGTGAGCAGAAGCAATGGAGAGGACATGCAGTATCTATTATATTAGTATAAAAGCACAATTAATAGTGATCTGAGTCCCGGGAATATGGGGATTAAATAAACTACTCCAGAATCTATCCACGCTAATATTTTCATTGAGTTCATTAGAATATGTGGGAGATTGGGATTAGACCATGCAGTACATTGCTCTTCAGTATCTACATTGGAACAGACTTTGCAAAAGTCAGGAAATTATCCAACGATGACTTAAACATTATGGGGCATAACCTGGTATGACCTGCACAGTTGGATGCACTACTGTTTTTAGTAAGACACAAGATGACATAGATAAAGGTCCTATTTTCTTAGACAGGGAAAAGCATTTATCTGCCTAGGCTGTTACAGTGTAAAACATTGGGACCTTGTGCAGCTTATGAAATTCCTTGTCTCTGCAGGTCTGTTCCATAGGGCATATCTGTTCTATATGTTGACCTCCAGATACTGCAGTTTCTTCTATGTGATCTTTTTCAGAGGTGCTGCTGTTTTCTAGAGTATATTTATTCATAAATATTCATAAATATATATATTCATCAATATTCATACATTTAAGATCTCCTTTTTCCTATTCCAACTAGATTTGCTACATCTTTCTTGAATCAGATGTTCAAAAGCATATTTATATGACTACACACACACACATGGATGTATATGTTTATTCAGAATCCTGCAGAGCACTGGCAAGTGATAGGCTATTTTGCTGTAATTAATGTAATTCAGAAAAGATGCTTTGAATTTCTCCAACAGAATGCACATAGTTGTAGGAAATTGTGGACAACACTTAATGAATCATTATGCATACCTTTGCACCTTAGATGTCTTTATATCTGCCTGACCATCTGTATTGATGCCTTTTCTGAAATGATTTATCTATTTACACTTGAGTTTAATCAAAGAAGTATGAAATTTTCATTAACATTTCTCATAAGTTGTTAGGCAGATACTTGAAGCACTCTGGATTGTCCTACTACTAGAAGTGATCAGTTTCATGCAAGATGCACTAACAGGGCAAGATAAAAATCAATACAAGATAAAAATCAAACCCTGTAACTGAGGCTATTTAATTTTATGTTGGAAAGAAATATTGCTCACCTGGTTTGTTGTTTACCTGTTGCATCTCAGCTGATACACAGATATTTCCAGCTAAGGAACATTAACAAGTGGATTGCTTGTAATGAGAGAAGTTATGATGGACATACTTGTGCACATATCCAGAAGCAAAATAGACAGACAATTTTAGAGTAGTCTTTCTTATGGGCAGCATTTTTCACTACAGTTGATGCAGTTTAGGAAGATATTGCCTCCCCTTGACTGACTACCAGCTAGTCTACCCAGTCCTATAGTGGGATATTACCAGTCCCTGTGATCTGCTAGTGTAAATAACCTCTGTGTAGAAAACCAGCAAGGCAATCCTGTTCTGTCAAAAATATTCAGCTAGAAATGGGAGCAACATATATACTTTATTTTAAAGTAGACCATTTTAATAGAGGGCTAAGGAGTCACGGTATATGAATAATGTAAAGGTGATAAAATCTCAGTAGGAGATCACCAGCCACTGGAGCAATAGTTCTGCCTGTGTCATTTTACATCAGCAGACTTTACAAAGTGTATTTAAATAGTAGCTCTGGGGAGAGACACTTCAGAATTTTACTTCAAATGAGAAACTTAAAGGAGCTTAAATCTGAAATAACTTTGAGGGCTGGAGTCAATATTCCTAGAAACATAGAACCTATGCGGAGGACTGAAGAACAGATTCCTTGCCCGAGTCCTGCAGTCATACACAATAACTTTGGGTTAATTGTTCTAGAATACTGAAAACAATGTGAGGTCGTACCCTATGACCTTAGGAGGACTGTCAGTCTCCGTTTAAACTGATTGCAATAGAATATTTAGCATTTTGAAAAGCAGGGAACTAAACTTACATGTACCACTGAAATAACTTTTACTTTCCAGATCCAGCATAATTTATATTATAGTTCATCTTTATAATTTATATTCAGTTAATATGAATGTAGTAGAAGAAGTGAATTATTAACCTAGAGAAAATTAAGCAATTGAGATAAGTTTAACAGATACTTTGTCACAAGTCATGAAGTATAAGAATACTGTGCACTGTTAGTAATAAGTTTTCAAAGAATATATTCTAAAATATGCCTCTGCTACAGGTCATGGGATAACAGCAGTAAAGGAAAAAGCAGGAACTACCCTTAGAATTCATAGTGGAAGTTCAGCATCTCTGGAAACAGCAGAGCCTCCTGCAGCTGAAACACCAGTTACTCGTAAGTTCAAGTCCACTGAAATTGGACAAAACTCTTCGACTCTGCCAAATTAGTTCCATTTACAAAATTTTAAGATTTTGGTTACAGAAACAGGTTTGCTGTAATTTTTGACTTGCAGGGTTGAAGTTAGGCTGTAACCTGCTTGTTTTCTTTTGTTAGAAGCAGAAGATTCTCTGGCCCAAAGCTCTTCTGAGAATATTCCTTCTTCTCCTTCATCTGGATCTCGTGGCATGCTGTCAGCTATCACTAGTGCTGTACAAAACACAGTGAGTCATTTTAGCTGGTCTCTCTGCTGTATTATTTTTCATTATTTTTAGGTCGTGTTTTTTTAAGTTACAGGTCTTTGTAAAAGTTCTTTTGTAAGTCTCTTTAGAGTCTTTCCTATGGCAAAATAACTTTAAAATTAAGCTGTCTAATTAAAAAAAAAAAGCCAAACAGAACTAACTCAGTTACTATGTTTTCACCAGTTTTAGTGAAAAAAATATGGTCTTCTCCAAAACTATGTAGAATCCTGCATATTCTTGGAAAATATTTTTATAATTATATTTTTATAATTGTACCATCATCTGATTTTTTAATTTTACAGTTAAGTCCTTCCAGAGAAAGTGTGATAGGACTTGTTACCATTTTTGAAGACAGATAACATAAGAAAATACTCCATTTGCTTATTTTAAGGCTTTTACTAAGCTCTCTATTTTTAGTTCCTGTCCTTTACCTTCATTTGTTTATCTAGTCTCTCATTTCATATTAGCCTTCCCAGAAGGGGGTCTTATTGCAAATTTATTGAGGCAAAATCTTTTGTTCACAGTTCTTTCCTATTGTCCTTATGTTTTGTGTGTTGAACTTCATCCTTTTCTCTTTTTTGAGAAAGAAGAGATTTTGCAAAATCCTGTACCATACTGTTTCGAAATCAATTTTTGCATCATCTTCTTCCCCAACTTTTTTAACACCTTTAAGTATGGTGTTTCACTTGAAATTAAAGAAGACTTTAAACATTGACTGTAAAAGCATAGCAGATTAATTCCCCACTGAGCAAGTTTTATGAAATGGCAGCTCTTTCTTATTGTATATCCACTTTGTTCTGACTGCCTCATCACTCTAATATCAAAGATTTTGGGAACAAAAGGAGATTCTTATAAATTATTCCTAACATAGTTTCCACAGAACCTGGAGCATCATATGGCTTGTGAGAGCCGGCCACCAGTAAGATTACTTGAGCATTATACAAGATTTGCAAATAAGAGAAATGTGCTTGTAGGCAGCCTGGAGAGGCTGCTATACCACCATGACAAATGTGGCACAAAAAGAATCACTTAAGGTCTCAGTAAGTCACCTGTAATACCACTTGAGACTTTGAAAGGGTTTTCCATTATATATCAGGTTACATCAGCATTTGAGTATCTGACACACACATAATCCAGATTGAAATGGAAATCTTTAGTCAGTGAAACTTCTTCTTCAGTGTACATAAAAAATATGAAGACACAGAAAAATATATATATTAAATAGACAGTTCCAGAGTCCTCATAAGTGTTAAAATTTTAAAAATCCAGTAAGGCAGAGTCTTCTGTTCATTATGATCTTGGGTCCATGTTATTAATGTCTAAAACAAGTTCCCACAAACCAGATGCCATTGGTTGAAATTAAAGTGGTATTCATAGAATGACAGAGACACAGAATAGTTGGGATTGGAAGGGAACTTAAAGATCATCTAGTACTATGCCCCTGCCTTGGGCATGGACACCTTCTCCTAAACCAGGTTGTTCAAAGCCTGATCCAGCCTGGCCTTTAATACTTCCAGGGGTGGGGCATCCACCACCTCTTTGGGCAACTTGTTCCAGCGCTTCATCATCCCCATAGTGAAGAATTTCTTCCTGATATCCAATCTAAATCTATCCTCTTTCAAAGTAAAGCCATTCCCTTTTGTCCAAACACTGCTTGCCCTTGCAAAGTGTCCCTCTCAAGCCTTCCCACAGGCCCCATTGAGGTACTGGAAGGCTGCTGGAAGGTCTCCTCAGAGCATTCTCTTCTCCAGGCTGAACAGCCCCAATTTTCTCAGACTGTTTTCACAGGAGATGTGCTCCAGCCTTTTTACCATATATTTTTTTATTATTATTTTTAATTTACGACAATTGTTACATTTCCTCTGGTGTAAGTAGTTCCATTAACTGGAAATATTTGTATAGGGCTTTTTTTTCTTTCAGAAAAGGTATTCAGAACAGAGTAAATGCATCAAGTATAGGAAATTTAGGGACCTGAATGTTCAAAGACAGTGTCTACAAAAGCACTCCTCTTTAAAGTTCATATTAGCCTAAACTTGGAAGAAAATAACACATTGCATTATTTTATACAGGGGAAAAGTGTATTATCTGGAGGTTTAGATGCTTTGGAATTTATTGGGAAGACAACCATGAATGTCCTTGCAGAAAGCGATCCTGGATTTAAGAGAACCAAAACACTGATGGCAAGAACAGTCTCACTGTCTCAGGTTGGATATATTTAAATACTACTCTGTCAATGCAATTTCAAATTCTTTTTCCAGAATTTCACATGCCTCCAGGAGAGGCTTTATTTATTGCAGTAGATGCTGGCTGGGGTTGTGGAAATAAATACCAATCTTTACACTTGCTCTACTTTATTTTTCTTCATAGAACCACAAAAAATAATGCAAAATCATATTTTCTGCATAATCATATATGCAATTGCTGATTTAAATAAGATGGTATATGTGGTGATAAATCATACACTCTGGAGGCAAAATCAAATTGTTGGTGTTTTGGTAACAGCTGTAGATAGATATCTTCCAGCATAAACATTACTAGACTGTTTTCCTTGGAAATAAGTAATACTGGAATATGACATATGTTTCATTAGGAATTAAACCTGTAAAAATTTGTATCTCAATATCCATCCAAGTTAATGGTATCCTTACACCATTGTGACTGATATATTTTAAAGCTCAGAGATGTGCTAAAAACAGACATAAAATGCTGTCAGTACAAAATTAATTTAGTTGTCCAGACACTGAAAGGATGGTAAACAATAGACATTGAAAAGAAACTGTGTTTACTGCATGTTTAGTTCCCTGTAGAGAAGAGTAATGTATTTTTCTTTTAATGAGATGTTTCATCTTTAGTATTCATCACTGGAAGAGTTAACAGACTTATAGTGTTGTAGTAGATCAAAAGCAATTAACTCTTGTTAAGGCCCACAGAGTTAAAATGAGCTTTTGAGAATCTCCTTTAAGAACATGCATAGATTTGCACATAGAATCTGAGGCAGAATGCAGTATAAATCAATTCTCAGGGGTTGCACTATCACTTTTCAGTGATTTGTTCAGAAAACTTTGTGAGGTGATTTTTGAAGATGGAGACTTCAGAGGAGAAATGTACTGTAGTGTAAATATTAAGTCTTTTGTATTAAATTAATCACTGAAGACAATATTGTAGGAATTTTGAACAGTGGAATAACATAAGTGGTGGGAGTTCACCTGTATTCCGAGACTTGTATGTGACCTAACATGTAGTTCAGATGTATTTGCTACCTTTACTGTAGGAAATTCACAAGAGGCCACTTCATCCAGGAATACAAGCAAGGAGGAGAAGATCCTATTTGATATTCTATGCTATCCTATTCTATTCTTCTTATATACTGATAGAAGTGAATTAAAAGCCCACCAAAATATACCCAAGTATATAGAGGGTAGCTCTGCCCTACCTTTGGTATAAGTCATCAATATCTTTTGCCAGTCCTGTTGCCACATGAAACTGACTTTAGTATTTGCTAAAAATATTTTATAGAAAATATTTATGTAGGTGCATTATTTATGCGAGTGGGTGGATAGGTCCTGAAAAATAATACTCTTCCCATTTTGTGATCTGTAGAAAGAATTGGATGGCTCTTTAATGCTGCACATGAAATAGTCCTTTCTCTTTCATGATAACAGGTGGGGAAATTTATTATATGGTATCTGTAGCTGACATTGCTTTTGCAAATGTAAGCAAGATTTTTTTTTTCATTGTATTTTAAAGACAGTTGGTTAGCAATTACCATTGGGAAACCCCTGTTTAGAATACTATATAAATATTTTATCAGAGAAAATTATCAAAAATAAGTTAGCTATTCCACCTCTAAAATTTTAGCTCTGCAGGTGTGATATAGTCCCAAATTTTATTACTACTTCTAGACACACAGAAGCAGATAGTAATAAAATCTGGCACACTTACAGTATTATCAATAAAACATAGAATAATGTACATATTTGCAGCTGTTGAGAGAAGCCAAAGAAAAAGAGAAACAGAGGCGGGCCCAGCAAGTTACAGTTGAAAGAACAGCACATTATGGACTACTTTTTGATGAATTCCAAGGTTTATCTCATCTTGAAGCTCTGGAAATCCTGTCAAATGAAAGTGAAGCTCAGGTACAGTATGCAGACAGCATAAATCAATATGGTTGGTAAAAAAATTATCTTTACATTAATTTTATTCTGCAGATATGCATAGAATGAGCAGTGAGTTTTCCATCAAGTTCAGAGAAAGCCGAATTGATCCCATGGGCTAGCCCTGGGTTTTAGGAACTCAATACATCTAAAATGTAACTACAAGATTAACTCAAAATAAACTTCATAACTGGCAGGTGTTTTTGTTAGGACCATATGTAGTGTGCTATTCACAGCTTGTGACACTGCAGATGTTTTGAAATTCCTTGCAGAATTTGCAAGGAGGTTGAAATCAGGTACACATACTTAAATTCAGGAATTCCAGACCTACTACACATGGAGGCTGGTGAATTAAAATTAGTTCCAGATTACTTATTCATTTCTCTCTGAAGATGGTAATGTTAGTAAGACCTATCTGATAACTAGGTATTTCAATTTAAACTCTCAATTTGTTTGCTCTGCTAGTACATCAGTAGATCACTGACTGAAACAGTTTTCTAAATGCATTTCTTAAAAATAAGTTTTCTTTTTGTTTATTATTGTAATTAGCATTTTTTGCCCTGTGGGGTACTTCTTAATAAAATATAACCAACTTATATTTTAAAATATTTTATTTGCTCTCACAAATAAAAGAAGCTTATATTAATAACAGGTAGGTGCCTACTGTCAATGTTGTTTTTGTTTTTTGTTACTATCTAGATGAAAAACTATTATGTTCAAACCACACATGTAAGGTTCAAGGATCTGCTTTTGGAGCAAAAAAGAAAACAAAAAATGGCCAAAAGCCCAATAAATGGGAAAGGGATAGATAGAAAACAAGTTCAGGTTAATTGCATGTGTCAACAATATATTTTTATTTTACTGTGAAATATCACAGGGTAAGCCAGATATGTGCAGGTTTCTGGTGCACTTCATTTATGTCCTAGACACATACATAGTCCTACTCAGTCCAGCAGGATTGATGGTGACTGTGTGGGTCAACAAGTCCAGTACTCAGATAAATGTTCCACTTACCATGCACACATGCACACAGACACAGAATACAGAAAGAGTACTGTAAAAACTTGAGACCATTTCTAACAGCCCAAAAGCCACAGGAGGAGTGCAAGAGGTGCTGAAGACATGTATGTTTAGGCTTTTGTTTTAAGTTTCCATTAAAAGAAGTTCCCTTGAAATGGATAGTGCTATAGAAAGGGAGGAAAAAAGCCTTATGTAGTCCTTCACAACCTGACTCGAGCGCCACGGCTTTAGCTTGGGTTTAATCCTGAGCACAGGAGCTGGACTCAGACACACCAGTAAGAAAGTAACAGCCGTTAGTTTACAGTAAGAAAGTACAGTGTTACTTTACTTACCAGCCTTTCACTGGGGTAGAGTGTACATCTGTCAAGCAAGCTTTAAAAAAGCCCCTTGAAACAAACATAAAGGTAAAACTTTGTACCAAGGGGAGGAAGGGTGTTTCTCTTGGCTTCCATAGGCAGAAGGAGTGCTCTGCTCATGGAATTGACACCATATAACTGCAGCACAAACAGTGACTCAAAGAATCTGTTTCCATCCCTCTTAGGTGTGTCATCCTATTAGATATGCAGGGACTTGGAGATAGCTGAGATATGCAAAGACCTGCCAATGCATTCTTCATCACAGGTAGACTGTCAATAATTTTGGCTGCATTTTGAAGGCACCCTTTTCCAGCTCTTCCCATGAGTGCTCAGACTAGCCATTATGCCTGTGCTCTTTTTGCCTGCTGTCTTCATCTAGGCAATCCCAAGATGCCTATTACAGTGTGCAGTTAAACCATGGATTTATAGTTCAAAACTTATGTTCTGGAGGAAGGAAGGGACCTGATGATCTGGCAAGGCTAGTGCAATTTTTGTGATACTCAACAAATTCTGTTGACAAGATCTAAAAATATGTCTAAGCTGGGGAGTTAGAGACAAGATTTGAACATAATGGAAGTTTCCATTTCTTAGTCTATTTTGGATTCAGGCTCTAAATTAGCATTTAGTAATACTGTCCTTTCTTTTACAGATTCAGTCACATTTAGCAACACTTGATGGAGAACAATTGGAGACTATGAAAAATGATTTAATTGCTATAAAAGAGGTCTTTGTTCCAAAGGAATTAGATGATGAAGTGGTGCAGGTGCAAAAAGGTAATTAGAAATACAGAGACTTAAATAATTGCTACTTCTTTATCTAGTAATTTTTAAAAATCCAGTCCAAACTGTAATTTCTGATATTCTAATAGTCTTCATAAGGTAGTTACTAAAATTAACTCTATAAGTTCTGATCAGTGCTTAATTTTGAATTTATATTGTAACTGAAGTGTGAGATACGGAATATCAAACATGAATAAATACTAAATTTTTTTTGCTACATCATCGGTGAAAACAAAAATGGAAAATAATAACTTTTTAATAACTGAGCTTTTTTTGCAGAAATTGTATAGTCTGAAAGTTTTGAAATACGTAGAAATTATTTTCTGTTCAGCAACTTCATCCTCACTCTGCACCCCCCTTGCTAGATGGGGGAAAAGATTCAAATATCATAAAGAAATTTAAGAACACAGATTTTTTTTGAATGGAAGTGACTGAAACATAATAGCAAAGCTGCTTTATAGGTTTTGCTTGGCCAGATGAGGCATGTGGAGTGTGAGAAGGAAGAGCAGCATAAGCATTTCCATAACTGTGACACAGCATAGCACTGGAGGGAATGGGCCAAGCTCACAAAAATTGCAATAAAATGAGTGAGTGCTTTGGTTAGGGGCAAAATAGGTGTCTTAAACAGGTCAGAAATGCAAGCAGTTCCCCAAACAGGTTAGAACAGAAGGATAAGAAGTCAGCTTAAAGGCAATATGGTTCATGTCTCCAGGCCTTTGAGATCCATACCAAACCTCTTAGAGCTAACAGCAAAAATCCCCTTGACCTGACTGAAGACTGGCTTATGCCATTGAACGCCATATTGTTGTATTTTGGAAACAAAGAAACATAAAAGGATATTTCTTCCACATCCTCTTGATCTTCTCAGGGGTACTTTGCCCATAAAACCTACATTTTGCAAGATGGTGAGATAAGATTTCTTTAGCCTTCAGAGAAGTTAGCAAAACTCTGTTAACATCCACATGTTCTAACAGGAGAGTAATTTCTTCTCAGACTGCTCCTTCTGGCAGTGCTTACTCATCTTTCTTGATCCCTGTCACAGGGAACTCATTGTTTATCATTGAGGGGAACAGCAAGTACTCAGCATAAAGTCTTAATATGGTAAATTTTTGTACTTTATTTGCTCTTTAAACCCCATGTCTCTACGGAGTTGTGCAAAATAGAAGTCAAGAAAGTGTATTACCTGCTTAGGAGTGAGGATTCATTAGATGTCTGTTGTTCCATAATTTCTGTGGAAAGTAGTTCCTTGCTTTGAAACCAGCTCCCAGGAGAAGCTCTGCTTCTTGCACAAAGTGGTGTTTTCTCTGAAGGTCGGATGTTTTGGTTTTTTAGTAAATCACTACTGCTTATCCTGCTCCTTGAAACATTTACAGGGGTTTTGAATGGGCTGCAACCAAGGCAGTGAGCACCTTAATAAAAGGGACTGAACCAAAGTGTGCTGCAGATTTGCCCCTGCAAAAACAAACCACTCGTCAGTGATACACATTCCTTCCTCCTATGACTGCGGAAACAACTATGACTGTTTTCTGGTACAAGTAGCAGAAGGCTACACACATACCCTTCTCTCTAATGTTTCCTCTCACTTTGATTATGCAGCCCTTCCATGTATTTTTTACGGCAGCTTCATTTCAGTTGTTTATGAAATAATGAGGAAAGTATTTGAAAGAGTGGCTTTACCTACATTTTGGAAGCTATTATCACCAAAAATTTCATACGTGAGGTTAAATAAGACAGTAACCACAGTGAACATTCAATTGAATATCCCAGTTATCTATAATTTTGATGCATATACATGCACACCTCCACACATTCCTTTCCTGTGTCACTGTCACTATTTTTCAAGTGCTGGAATACTTGGTGAAACTATTTCACTGTATGTACTTAACCATATAAAATACTATAGCAGTAACTTGCTAACAAAAACTGTCTTGTTATATCTTGCAGCAGATACAGGAGAAGAGTTTGTCAGCATGCTCACAGAACTGCTATTTGAATTGCATGTTGCTGCTACTCCTGACAAGCTAAATAAGGTTAGCACCTGTTACTGAGCTGCCTTCAGATTCTTGGGCAAAGAAGGAGGGCTTTGTTCTGGAGTCTGACACAGAGCAGTACCCAGTTCACTTCAGACAGCTCAGAAAGGGAAGTACAGGAGACTGGGACTAAAATGCTGAATATAGAAAAGCTTTCACAGAAGTGAGATGAGTAAGGCAGTACAGTTGAACAAGCCCTTTCCAGTGTTAGAAGGCTTGAACCAGGACTGTCTCAGCAGAACAGGGTTCATAAATTAAATTTAAATTTGATCTTACATACTGGGAACAAAAGTCAGGTAAAGAATATTTTTTCTTGCTCTAAAAGTGTGATGTCTAGGAGTTAGCCACATAACTAGTCACATTCGTACTATCAGGTCGCTTTAAAGCTGATTCATCTGCTGGTCTTAAGCTCAAATGAATGTTTGTCTCTCTAGCTACATAGATAGACTATGGATAACTAGCTTAGGCTTAGGTCTCAATGTGTTTTAAATTGATTTCATGATAAAAAACAGACATAATTATTTTCCTAGTAGGCATAGCAGTTGTCTGAAGTTGTATAAAGCCTCAAGAAGTTTCAGCTTTGATCTATTTGCATGTCAGGGAAAGCAGCTCAAGATACAGTGATTTTATATTTATTTTTCCTTAAGAATTTAATACATCTGTCTTACCTCTCCAATTTTTTTTTTCTTTTTTATACACACTTCTTATTTTCTTATTTGGGGAACTGTGTAAGAAAAATTTCTGTGTAAATCCATTTGAATGATAAAGCTGAAATATTACTTTGCAATTAACACCAGCTGTACATGTTGGTTAGGAATATTATACCTTTAGAGGAATTATCCCTGGATGATTCATCTTTATGCAGTCCAAAATGCTTCTCCCTACAGTTTCTTAAATGTACACCTAATTAAATGCCACTCAGAGGTTTGATACATTCAAACCTCTGAGTATAAAGAGGAAGTAATTAAATGTATTGTTAATTGATGTTCAGGAATGTCATCTCATAGTCTCTTCTCAAACTGAACTTTGGGGTTGGGTTCTTTGTTTGGCAGGCTAGAAAAAAAGCTCATGAATGGCTGGAAGAAGCCAGTTTGTCCACCCCAGTAGACATAGAGGAGGAGCTAAATGAAAAACCTGAAGAACCTGGTGAAGAAAAGACTCAAAAAGACAATAAAATTGAGAGTGATAGAACAGAAGTAGACAAAAGCAAAACTGTGGAGGTAAAATAACTTCTGGAAGATATGTTTCATTAAATTATAAGATTCTTTCTTTGTGTGTTATCTTTATATGTCATGATTATTTTTTGAATTCATGGAAGTAGTAAGAAATAATAATACACAACTGTTCACTGTAGACCCAGGTGAAGACTAAATTACATAAATATTCTTACTGTTATTCTGTTTCCATTAGTAAATATCAAAGTAACAGGTTCTCTATCACATTGTTTTTATTGGTTTATATCTGTGGTTTTGTGTGTATGCATGTGTATACTCAACATACAGCGAGCTGAGGGATCCTGAGGTGTAATGTCAAACATTACATGCACACTGAAATTTGTATCTCAGTTTTTTTCTTAGTATCTCCTTCTCTCACTGACAATACATGGGAAAATGTTCAAACTATTTAAACAATTTAAATCATAAATAGACAAAACAGAAATTTTGTTTAGGCAACTAACAATTGTTCATTCTCTTTATGAAAACTCTCAAGGCTAAGTATTCATTTAGGCAGTTCTGATAAGATTAATTGTGATTGAATATTTCCTGTCAAGTTAATGGCAATATTAAATGTGGTTGCTATGTTTGTTGAGATTGTTATTTCTAATTAGAAATTATCTGTCATATTTCCCCACAAAAAAGTCTAAAGAAGCAGACAGAATGTATACACTTTATATATTACAGATTTTTATGTGATTGCAAATTACCAGCTGGCATCAGCTTGTGAAAGCTGTAACCCCACAGTGCTACATAAAGATTTCTGTAATTGTTGATAAAAGCCAATTTTTTATTTAGTATGTTATCTATTTCTGCTCTAGAGATTCAGCTAAGGGGTGACTCAGTACTTTTGGCTCCATATGAAAATAATTATGATTATGACTTATTCTAGAGTTTGGGTATCTCTGTTTGTTAAGAAGAGGTTTAAAAGTTAGAAAATCCAAGAGCCTGACCTAGTTCTCAGCCAAGTAAATTGGCTCAAATTTTTCAGAGCAAGTAAAATGTCTGTATTTTATACTCTGTGGATATTTACTTTTCCAGTATTGTTTATGAGGATGGCTGATTTTACTTCTCCGTGTATGTGTTAGTATTTCCAGTTGGGGTAGGAAGGTTTCCTATGTTTGAAATTCTTTTATATGTATTTATCTATAAATGTATTTATCAGTTGTTATTATTGATTATATAATTCCCATTTTGAATTTAAGGAAATCTACATGCTGTCCATTGAAAGTCTGGCTGAGGTAACTGCTCGTTGTATTGAGCAGCTTCATAAAGTAGCAGAATTAATTCTACATGGGCAGGAAGTAGAAAAAACAGCTCAAGATCAAGCAAAAGTGCTGACAAAGTGAGTATTATATACTTCATATATGAACATTTGACATTTGCACAGAACTCATGAAGTTCCATTTAGCTTAAAGGCACAGTAAGTTAATGGATCAACAAACAGCATTGGCTTTAGGGGTCCTGGTGCTATATTTTCTCATGAAATCAGGTTCTATAGGCTACTTGTCATTTTTTGACATAGGTATGTTTACAAAAACATGACCTATACACAGGCTAAAAGTTGTTTCTGCTCCAGAAAACAAATGTGCGTGCCAACTTGGGTTGCATTTCCTTTTCCCTCTGCAGAAGATACTGTACCTGCATATCTGGAATTTGCTTTTAGAGTGTATAATGCAGTCCTATTCTCTGCCAACAGAGCTTCATTATCTAGTGTTTATCTGCTAGAAATATACAAAAATCAATCTGTAGTTCTAAACAATAGACATTTTTTAGCAACTTTGTAGTTAACCATGGTGAAACACCCAGGATTTCAAGAAGCCAGTCTGTCTAGTGGGACTCTAAACTCAGATCTCAAGCTCTTTGTAGTGATTAAGTCTACTTACTTCAGTAAGTTTTCATGTTAAGATATTTTAAACAGTTGACTCCTAAGTAAGTAAAATATTAACCAAGTGCTTATCCTTAAGAATGCTACTAAGAATAGCAAAGTCCATAGGAACACTTCAGTCTAAAACAAAACACTTACTAAGTATTTTTCAGAATCAGAGCTAAGGTACAGTGCACCTTGTACGATGAGGTCCTATGGGATACACTTGGGAATGTCTAGGAAAACAGTGAAAGATCTCAGAACAGAATTGTTCTCTCATATTTTAACCACAAATGGGCTTTTCCTTTTAGCACAGAGTAGATGTTTTATTGTTCACATAGAAAACTTCTCACTGTCAAAAAAGACTGGTGTATGCAACAACACATCATTTTGCTGCTGTAGTCAGCAGTGGATTTTTCAGTGAAGGAATATAAAACCTGTATCATTAACAGTTTATGCCTAAATATTTTAAAAATATTTAGAAGCCAAATTGCTTTAAGAACATCTTTGCTTCCAAGATAAAGTTTGTCATGGGGTTTTTATCTATTAATAGGGCAAAGATGTATTTTTATATTTGTCTTTCTTGTTTTTTTTAAACCAGTTTAACAAGTGCCATGTGCAATGAAGTTTCATCTTTATCAAAGAAGTTTTCTGATTCTGTAACAGCAGCTGGGGTAAGATGACAGCATTTTCTGTAGCATTTGGACTTTTTTAAACATAGTTCACCTCTTGAAACAGAAATTCTTACATGGGTCCAGAGGCTTTGAATCAGCAAAGAGACTGCTTCTTTCCTCAGATCAAGAACACAGAGCATTTCTACAGCAGGAAAGTTTATAAGCCTTGATAGATGACACCATGTCCCCTGCCTTGTAAACTATCTCTTTCTAGAAACCACTTCCTGTTTTTCCTGATCACCACTCGACACTTTTCACATTGAAGGGCCCCACATTTGAAGTTACAGAGCTTGATGATAATTTCTTCTCTGACTCGGCCTATCCCTTTTGAACACATTTGTATAAAAGTCATTAACAGATTGTATTTACAGTCCCTTAAGATGGTTTCATGAGTTGTCTTCTTAGCCTTTACTAGATCCCCTGGCTTAGCACTGCAGTGTTTTCAAAAGGTTTAAGAGATTAGAAAATCTGATTGGTCCAACTTTAAAAAAAATCACTCTGTCTTTTATCACAAGATACTCTGTTTAAGAACACCCATTTATCTGTGAACATCTTTGCTAGAAATAGTATCCTGCCTTTCAAGAAGCTTCAAGGATGACTGACATCTCAGTATTATAGCAGGATTCAGAGGTAAAAATTGTGCTGTTGTTGAAATTGTCCTGTAAACATCAGAGAAGAGCAAAATCTAGTTCTTCTGATTGTTCCATGAAAACATGAATGTAATTTAAAGGAATTTTTTCCAGTTTTCCATTAGCTCTTCCAGCACATCTCTGAGCATGTTTTTTCATAGTTATTTGTAAAGGACATGATTTATTTCCTTTTTTTAATTATGAATAATTTACATAACTTCCAATTACTGTAAGGAAGAAATGCTTATTTTCCATTTTGGGATTGTACTTTAGCATATATCTGTGGGACACTTGAAATAAATGCATGCACAAAAATATAAAAATAAATTTCACACTAAAGTTTAAACTGGCCCACTAAACAGTGCATTTTGTAATGGATTTTCTGTAACTAAGAGTAAAAATGTGCTTTTTTTTCACTAACCATCTCTCCTTGGTTCTGCCATCTTTCTCCAAACTAAAATTAAATTTCATGTTTCTGTAAATCTGTAATATGAGAGCTACAAGGTTGTAAGTGGAAATCCTTCAGTTAAATTAATCAGTTCAGTGTTGAAAGAAAACAACTCTTGCTGGAGGTTACTGCTGTTCTAAAGAACCACAGTGCAAAGAACAGCCTGAATAAAAAAGGGAAGGACTTTTGCTATTTTAAAAAGTAGAGGAGTTAATGAATCTTGATTTTCTAGCCTCTAGTATTGTCAGTACTCATTGTATCCATCTTTCTTCCTATCTGATGGCTGAGAAGAATGTCATGCATGCTGAGCTGTTTCACTGGCCATCCTGCACTGACCAGCACAGCTGCCTCCTGTTTGGGTATCTGAGTTTCACCTGGTTTTCCTTCTGTAGGGGAGCTACTCTGGACCTTTCATTTTGTCCTAACCACAGATGTTTGTGTAACTTCTAAGAACTTCATTTTTCTTCTTACATGTCTTGTTCCTTTTTCTGTCCTTGAAAATGAGCAAGGGGTTAAAAATTTTATGGGATGTGAAAAGGTCATGATAGACAGATGGACAAACGGTGTCATTACATGAACGTCACATCTTTAGGAAAGTAGGCAATTTGAAACTCTGTGGTACATGAATTAATGAAGAAGTAAAACCATGGGCCTCTCTTAGTTCATTGTACTCCGTGATAGAAATGGATAGGGTGTACTGAGGTGTGTTTGAAATGCAGACACAGTTCCTAGCAACACTGAGATAAACAGTCTTGAGTAAGGTGAAAGAAGACCCCTACAGAATTCATAAAACCACAGCTCAGATATCAGTATACTGCTGTTAAGTATATTTTTTGACCTGGCTTTTCATCCTGTGTTCTGGTTTACAGAGCAATATGAAGGCAGAGGTTCTTAACCCCATCATCAACAGTGTTCTGTTAGAGGTAAGCTCCACCTCTTCACATTAGAAAATGTTCTAATAAAATTATTTTAAATGAGACAGGCACATTTATTTCTGAAGTAAAAAATTTTTTAAAAGTAATGACAATATCATTCTGACTGTTCAGCACATAAATTTTGTGTTCAGCCTCTCCCACAAATACTGTAGAATTAAGGTTGTATTTACTGAGGATTCGTAAGAGCTGTATGACTGAAGTGAGGCTGGCCAGCTCTGAAACTCTGCTGCTGTATTGATCAGAGCACAGCAACAAGTTGCAGTCTCAGACTATTCTTTCCGTTGAAATTTGGATTGTAGATATGCTACAGTGTTTCCCATCTGCAGGCATTTAGATTTCTACAAAGTTTCACAGTCTTGCAACAGCCTTGATCAGCATATGGATAACTATGTCTCCGACCACCAAAGTGTTCATGAGTGATTTATTTTATTTGACACTATGATCTATTTTTCTTCAAAAAAGCACAGTGAGTAAAACATACCTCTGTTTTACCAAGAAGAGGTTGAGATAAAATAATATCCTCATAAAGTCCTAAAACTCATAGGAACTGCAGCACAAGTTTTTAACTGTTAGATCACACTTCCCTTAAAACATAAATAAACATATAGTAGTGACCACAAATTGTCATTCTGTATTTAATATCTGCATAACCTTAAAAATAAAGAAAAGATTGCTTTACAATAGGCACTTTTGCTGAATTTACAATACCCTTAAGGAAAATTATGAAAAGTTGAATCGAGCTGTAATGAAGTCTACCATGCAGTTCCTTTTGTTATAAAGGTACATTTGCTGTTGCTGCTGACTTACCTTCCTGCACTCTGGGAACTGCAAAATCTAGGAATATTTAGAATTGTGGAATGCAGTGTTTTGTACTTGATAAGTCCCATAGTTGTATACAAATATGTATTAATACAGTCTAGGATCATGGAGAATTACAAGCCACTATACTGTTCAGTATTAGAAATTCTAAAAATAGTACTACATGTTAAAACCATTATAATTTGAACTCTTAATTTCAGTGACACTTCTCCCACCTACAGCAAATTCAAAATTAGTTCAGTTGATGGAAAGACTAGATGGTTTGTGTTTAAAAAGTCAAATCTGCTTCTGAACATTGTGGCATTTTATTCTACTCATATTACCAACAAAACTGTCTTAGAGTTCAAACTTAGCGGCAGTCAGGTTATGCTATCTACAGATTGTATGTAAAATCCTGTGTGAAGATATATGCTAATACAAAAAAAGTCTAGTGTCATTCCTGAAGTACATGGCAGCTGTACTGATGAACTACATGTTTTCTCTCCCCATTAGGGCTGCAACAGTACTACTTATATTCAGGATGCTTTCCAGTTACTGCTTCCAGTTCTGCAAATTTCCCATATCCAGAACAGTTGTTCCAAAGCCCAGGAGTTGTCAGCTTGACAGCAACTGAAGTCTTGAGTTGTGCCAAGAGAAGAGCTGGTACAAGACATGTCTGGCCACTAGAGTTCTCTGAAGACACTAAATGCGGTTTTGCACACACAGTACTGACCATTTTAAAACTCTTTCAGACTTTAAGACTTTAGAAGTAGTTAGTAAAATGAGTCATTTCTTTTCCAATGCAGTTCATGCTTTGCATTAATTTAAACAGAAGTTTATTGATATTAGCATTGCCTTAAATACAGATTCTAAATGTTGTCCCTTTCAGTTGTAAACAACGTATGAAACAAATTGGAATGTAAAGTCCTTTAAAACATTTAACTTCAAACTACCATCTATATTGTTTGTATTATAACTGCAGTTTAAAAAGTATATTTCAGAAGATGGTTTCAGTATTTAATTTTTGCCAACATGAACAAATTATCATAGTGTTGAACTTGTTAGGTATTATTTCCAGTAGCAAATAATAACATCATTTTAATATGTGCCACTAACATAACACTTTGTATTGAAGGAGTTGCACAGCAATAGGTATTAACTTTACTAAGTGAAAATTATGGAGGTTATGCATAAAGAATTATACTGAAAAGAAATTTTTATGAGCCCGTTAAGATTACGGGTATAGCTCTGTATTTGCTGACCCATAAGTTTATATTAATTTAGGTCTATTTCATCATTTCAACGATTGAACAAAACAGGAGACAAAAGTAATCTTTTTTAACATGCAAGGGTAGAAAATTTCCCTGTTGTTTGGCAATTGAAACACCTGCTGAACAACCTTCTCTCAGATATATTACTGGGTTAACACTTTGGGGTTTACTGATACCTACTGTTCAGAAATAGAAGTTGTAGCAAGAAGTTATGAAAGAATTGCTTTGGCTGTGGAGGTCATCTGTCAGAGCAATCATCTTTTTTCTGAGGCAATAGTTAGAGCATAAGCAAGCAGTAGGAATGATATTTCATAACAACACTATCAACCATGCTAATTTGTCCCTATCTTTAGTTTAAAATACTGAGTTTTAGACCTAAGAATTTGTTTAGGCTAGTTTACCTGTTAGACAGGAAGAACCTTCCAATATTTTACATAGCCTGTTTTTTTGAATTGTTGTCATTTATTATGTTTCTTTCCATTATTTTGTATTTTTCTCTCTTGGTATACCCATTAATTGTATTTAAATGCTAATTTTTACAGTTAACATTTTAATACTTTTAAGCATAGTTCATACATCATAAAAATACTGAAATAGTGCATGAGGTAGTTTCTGTGTTTGATAGAAAAGTGAAACCATGTATATACTTTGTACATGATAACTTCTTTGAGTCCAAATAAGGGAACAGAAAGGTCTTTTTGTGTTTTACACTGTTGTGGTCCCTGTTCTGCTGTCACACTCACGGTGACTTGTCCATTTTTTATTATTTTCCCTATTCCTGAAATAAGGTTTATTACACAAAATCTATTTTCTGGCACCCTGTAATTTAACAGACATAGAGATATCTTTCTGGGTAGGTAGAAGATATACAGTCTTCAAGTTTATTTGTACAGGCTGAATATAATATCAGAAGTCTCAGGGCATAGTTTTTGAAATCATTGAGGGGCATTCTGAAGATAAAGATTGCTTATCTGAGATACTCCTTACTAGAGGTTTCATTGTCTTGCTGAAATTATGCAGTTATGAATAAATTACCCTGAAGTGTACCCTTACTTATATAAGAATACCTTACCCTGAAGTAAAAGAAGCTATAAAAAGTAACATGGAGACTTAAAGTATTTACATCCACACAATATAGGAAGGGGAACAGGGCAGTATGTAAGCATAGGGATACTCCCATCTGATCTTAGATTCAGCTATCTTGTCCTAGGAAAACTGAATGTCATATAATTTTAAATCAATTTTAGGTAAATAATATTTCAGTAGAAGAGTACTGCATGGATGTAGCCAGAATATTTTGTTTACACTGATTTGTATTTTTCCACCAGTCAAATAAATAATTTGAGATACTGAACTGAGACAGTACACTAAAAGGGAGTGGTTTGAAGAATAATGTGATGGGAGTATATTCTCAGTGAAGTAATTTACTTTCTGATTTTTCAATTTACCTTTGGAATTATGAGTGGGATTTTACTGGGAGACTTACAAAAACAGATGTTGCCTTAAACTTTCAATGGAGCGTGTTCTTCCTTTCATCACACCCTTTTCCAGGTTGGTACACTGTGCCTTGGCACTTGGCAAACTACTAGGTTTTAAGTATATATGAAAATTACCCGTTTTCTTGAGCAGATGTGTTTTCCATGGCATTCCGTTCACTTTGGAGCACACCCACCCTATTATGCAGCGACAAAGGAGGCAGGCTTGTGCACTAAGTTCAGAATTTGTCAGGATGAAACTTAAAACAATGGCAAAAATACCTACAGCCTTGCAGATGATCTGTAGTTACAGGTCATCCCTGAAGAACAAGCTGGACTTAGACTGTTAAAGAAGTAATTTACTGCATATTAAGGATATTGACTTATTTTTTTCTTGGGTTTGGGGTTTTTTCAGGGTAAATAAACCAAAGCAAGCTGTAAGTTGTTTACTGCTTTTTAGGGTATAGTCTACTTGTGTGTAAACATCTCTTCCCCATGAGTTCCTCCTACACTCCAGCGTCCATTGCTAGAGACAGCTGAACAAAAGAACTGTCTCTTCTACTTTTTATCATGCTGCTTAAATTACCCACTGAAGCCTTTAATATCTTCCTCCAAAATGTCTCTCAGTAATATCAAAAAATCACAATACAAAAATCACTGTCATACCAGTTGGGATGGTTATTAATGATGTGTGTCACCAGTAATGTCCAGTGTCACTCACCAGTCAGGATTCATAACAATTTCAAGGAGTCTGAAACACCACAGTATTTTGAATGACAAATACAAGTTTCCCCCTTTTTTTCTGATTCACAGAAGTGTTTTTATCATACAAGCATTCACCAAGATCATAGAGTTATTTTTTAGACATTCCAGTTCTATTTCAGATGACAGCCCCATCCTTTCTGCTACTCTTAGAAGAATGTAGAGCGTGGAAAAGGAATTTCCTAAGTTCTTTTGAAAACCATCTCAGAGTAAGGTTTAACATAATGACATCAGCCAGTCTGACCTACTTTGAAGTTCTTACAGTTGGACTGGAAAGCCCTCTGGACTTTAAACACTTTATTCTGCCTCAGGTCAACGTGTGTTGCTGAAACTGCTTTTATTGTGCTACTTATATATTTTCCACGCTGTCTTCTACTTCAACATTCATATTGATGACAGTGTGCAGTTTTAGAATTAAAAATTGAAAATAAAATGTAAAAAATTCAGCTATATTAAAAAGATGGGAGATGGAAATTATTTTCAAAAGAAAAAACAAAAGAATGTGCTCTCTGGAAATAAGAACAATTTTCGCGGTTTGTTTAGAGAAAAGCCTCTAAAAATATTTTTTCAGCATTTCAGAATAAATAAGAGATGACATCTGATTAGCTCAGCAGAACAGGAAAAATGCACTTCTGAAGTTAAATGAAAATCTGCATTAACTGAAAGGTAGGCAGAGGTGAAACATTAAAAGAGGAAGATCTCAAAGGAAAGAATAGAAGGGGAATAGGAAAAATAAAATAATAGGAAATAACAGTTTATTTGATCACTCTGGATTGACAGTGCTCATTCTCCCTATTTTGGCTGCCCTGCAAAAGTCCCTGAGCACACCTTTGCTAAGAACTTCTTAGTAGTCTCCCCACTTTGATCTCCTCTTCACAGCCTTCCATTACAGCCTTTTGAGGACCTAACCCGAACACCAGGTAATTCAGCTGATTTTTAAACACCTTAAGAAGCCCCTCAACCCATTTAATAGATTTGGAAAAATGCAGCCCTGTTCTTCCAGCCCTTTGAGATCTCGGAGTCTATATCAGCAGCTTATCTGGTGCTGATATTTAAGATGGTCTCTGCCTTCCCTCCAGTTCCCTCTGCCAGTTCAGCCCCATGTCCATTTTGCACGTTCTCTGTTCCATCAGTTCCACCTTCCCCACCAGTTTTATTCACACATACACCCCTCCTCCACCTTTATGTCTTCTTCCCCTTGTTTATTTGGGAGGCTCTTCCCTCCTGCCCATCATCTTGTGCTTGAGAGGCTGCACCAGGACATCCTTTATCTCCTGACATGTTCGCTTCTGACAAAGCCAGAGATGAGAACAAGTAGTTACAAGGATGTGGGAGGAGAGAAACCAAACCTCAGGAGAAAATGGCAAGACTAAACCAGTTGTTTTCAACACTCCTCCAGTGTAAGGAGGTTGGACCAGGAATCACCTAAAATCTTTCTCAACCGGAATTACTTCAGGATCACATTTTTGTTACCATCCTTACCAATGTCCCCCCATTCTTCCATTATTTCCTGTAGTTTGGATCTTAGTTAGAAGACACGGTAAGCTTTACTGAGCAGAGAAGAAAAGCTTGTAGGAGCCTTTTGGGTTTTCTTGTTTATGGTGTTCTTAAAGGTAACTTGGAAGATGGAATCTTCCAGGGTAGTAAAACCAAACACTTGGAGAGCTGTGGGATAACTTTGGGTAATAAAATAGCAAATCATGGTTTATTTGTCTAAGGAAAAGAAAAGAGGCAGGTTATAATAATAAAAAAATAGCAATAATAATAATAGAATTAAATTATAGAAGGAAGAAAATTAAGTTGGGGTCACAAGAAGCAGGCCTATTCCTGTCAAGATCTCTGGATTACTGAAGGGGAAAAGCGATACATAGCTTGAATCACTTGAAGTATGTAAACACTGACCAAAATGGCCTTAGCAACTCTGTAGTGAATTGAGACAAATATGTCTCTTTGTAGGTAGAAGCAACTGAGAAGCAAATTGTGAGAGGTTTCCTTTATAGGCTTCGTAAAAACTCTGCTTCTGAGGAACTCTGCTTCTGAGAAGCTTTATTACCACAAACAAACACAAAAACCCCCAAATCAAGAAAATATTTTCCTCTTATTTTTTTTTAATAAGACGGTAATAAAAAACAATAGAAACAAATACTTGAAACTTATCCAACAAAATACAAAAATATCCATATGCACTCAAATCATTCAGAAGCTAATGTTCATAACTATTCCTATTAAATCTGAACTGCTCAGTGTAGACTGGAAAATTCAATTTCAGAAAGCTTCAGGAGGGAAAGGCTGTATAAATGTAAGGAATGGAGGTAATGAAGTATTAACTGGATGCTAAATTGTTGCCTATATGTTTGCAATGGGCAGTTTACAATCTGTTCATCCTGATGGATTTAGCACAAGGGAGCCTGAAGTCCTGGCAATTTCTGTCTCTGCCTAGTAACTGATGGCTAAGCGGTACCCACAAATCATGTGTTAGCACCAAAGGAGTTGAGACCCTGCTCAGCCCAAACAGCTCCACTGCACTCAGAGGAGCAGGAGTAAATGGAAAGTAAGGAAAGGTACCAAGAGATAATGGGTTGGAATGCTAATGACCCAAGCTAGAACAAAAGATGGAAATGCAATTTCTCAAAAAGTACAAACCCATTTAATGTTTTAATGAGTTATTAGAAATTTATAATAATTATGATCTTGTGATTTGAAGCCAAATTAGTATTTTTCCATATTATTTTCTTTATCCACTAAGATATTACACAAATTATGATCGTCTTCCTGGTTTACTGCAGAAACTAACATGCTTGCTAGTGAATTCTTTCCTTCTGTAATACTTTGGCCACCCTAACAGCCAGAAACTGTATCTTTTAGGCATCTTAGTCAGCTAGAGCATTAAGTAGGTTGAAAATTGTGCTCATTTCATGAAAGTAGAGGATAATTCCTAGCTTTATACAGACTTCTTATCCTATGGAATATATAAAATAAATGTTTATCCTGATAAAAATATGTAATTATCACAAGGATTATCTTGCAACCATATAACTAAGTATGAATCCTGAACAGAAAATAGATGTGAAATCTGTACTCTGCTCTCAGAGTTGCTTATGCAGAAAAACATATTTGTCCATTATTCCTATTTTCTAAATACAAAGTAATTATGATGGAAAAAATGGAACTTGTCAAGTAAAATGCATAATTGTCATTCCTATGAAAAGATGGATAACATAGCCCCCCAAGCTGGAAATGGGGATGCTTTCTTCTGTGGTGTATGATGTGTCTTCTTTCATCCAAAAGTGCTGGTATTTCATAGGGTGATATCTGAAATTAAAGAAAATAATATCAGAAAAAAAAAAAAAAAGAGGAGGGTAAGTCTTCTCTAATTTATCCCAAATGTCATAATTTTGACTTTCACAATAATGAATTCTCCTCTTTATTACAAAAGAAAACAACATTATAACTAAAAGGCAGACAACATAAGTGATGCACATCAGGCTGGGGCAAAAGTCTGAGACTGATACCTGGCAGCTGAGTGGTGGCTCAGGTACCTGTCCCACAAGAGTGTGATACAGGAACTTGATCAAGGCAAACAGGGTCTTACCCACTCCCAGGGAAGCTGGCAATGGAAGGGTGAGCAGAGCCAGAAACGCTCACCACATCCACCTAGCTGAAGTGCTCTTCTGTGCCCAACTGCATTTACCATTCTATACTGCTATATGACAGGACAAATTTGGAAATAATGAAGTGAAAGCAGGTTTTTTAACATTCACAAGTGAACCACATCTCACTAACCATCAATGACACTTTCGAATTTGGATTGCAGCTCCCAGAGCACACAGATTCCAATCAACTTTCTCTTACTTTTTAGGGAACTATAACATGCTGAGGGAGGAGAAGAGGGGGTGGAGTGGAAGTACAGGATTTCTGTACTTGTAACTTGCACACTGAGTGAAAAAGCAAATATAGCTTGTCACCCATTCTGGTAGTTCCCATAGCTGCAGGCTGGATTACAACATCTGTCAACATTTTCTTTTACATGGTAGGAACTGGATTCAGAAGTGTTCCTTGGCTGTGAAATCATACTGGAGGCAGCAGCATCTAAAGTGAGCTAGAAAATGACAAGTGTAGGCAGGATAGACTGCATCAAATATTGATGCCAGGTAATGAAGCAGTGGGTTTAAACTACCTGCACAGTGCCCCGTATAGTCCAGTTCTGCCAGTAAGCAGGAGTGCTTCCCTTGGGAACACTTAGTGTCTCCTCTGGAGAGAAACACAGCCTGGCATGCATTTAGTGCAGGACCCAGTAATTGTGCCAAGTACTCTGGAATGTCCTCAGCAATCTGATTCTGTGAGCTCTTCAGTTCTGAGAGGAGTTGTCATTTTAATGTGCTATTAAGACTAGAATCTCTTGCAGAAGCAAAACCAGGAGGAATTACCTTTCATTATATTTAAAAAAATAAATACGTAATTGAGTGCATACAGTTCTGAAAACAATTTAAAGCTGCCTGAGGGCATAAATCATAGAATCACAGTTATCAACCAGAATTACTGTGTAAAAAATGAAGTCTTACAGAAATCGCCAACCCACAAAACCACTAGGTCAGTACTAGTAAGAACACCTCCCTTCAGAAGCTTCACACCAAGTTTTATGATAAGTTTAACAACTTCCAAGCACTGAAATTATCCTTTCAGAAAAACTGTCAAAAGGATAATTGGAAGGATCCCAGTAATTTAAAATCACACCTACTGTTCTTCACAAATACCTGCATGAAATACCTCAACTCTAATCTTCCCCTCATTCCTTTGCTAGAATGTCTTACATGCCTTTGCTAGAATGTCTTATGAGTTTCCCTGTTTTCTCTCTGCATAATTCCTATCTTCTGTTGTTTGTGTGGGTGCCTTGCTTGAAGAAAAATGAGAAACAGATTCTTTTAAATATGAAAACATTTTTGTAAAGCCACAATCACATAAGGAAAACAGGCAAAGAATATTTTCAGTTGCACTTTCTTTTTGTGCTACTAAGTTCAGCAATGATGGCATTTAAAGACCTCTTCAGGAAAGCAGCAGCAGAGTCAGCCAAAGCCCAGGTAATACTCTAGATATACCTGCACTGAAATTTCCTGGCATTAGACTGGGATATGCACAATCAAATTTCTAATTTCCTATGGGAGTGTTTCATTAGAAAACAATGATGGCAATGATAATCTGAATGTTGGTGGATAAGAGTCGGCCTCTCATACACTTGTTGATCTTTTGTGCTAACCCTTGTACCCATAGGGGGTTTCATGCCCACATGCTTCTCAGATTGTAAGAGAGGAAAGGGATCAATCAAATTCTTCTATTTTACAATTTCTTTGACAGAGGTTTTCATCTTTTTAGCCATACACCACGTGTTGTCCCTGCCAGTTATCTGTCATCTACCTTATGTTCCAGTTTTATAATCCGTTTCACCTGAAGATAAGATTGTGCCTTAAATTCTATATTCACTGGAGACCAACTTATCTTATTTAACTGTACAGCTACACTGTCACTCAGAAAGAACTACAGAGACATGAAGCACCTTAGGTGTTCAAGGATCTCAAAGCTCTTTACAAAGACAGATGGCAAAAGGCAGTGTACTAAAAATCATTGGCAGTTGCTGATGTGGAACTCTCAGTTTTATGCAGTCTATGACACGTCTACCGGTTTTATTATAAAAATTAATGGGATAAAGAACACCAAGATTCTTTTATCTTGTCCTTGAGGCATTGATTGTCAAAGAGATTGATGCAGTAAATAAAATGTTTGGGTAATAGTGACCAGTTTGTGTGAATTTGATCTAGCATCAGCTCAGAGCATAACACCATGCACTTTCAAGGAAAAAAAATTCCACAACAGTTGGCTTTAAGACACTGAGTTTTCTTCTTTCTTTCTTTTCTTTTCAATAAAATGGCAGCACTTCATTCAAGAACTGTCAGGTCTCTATCTGTCTCTATTTTCCCCAAATAGAACACTGTTCTGTCCCTAACCATTCATGAAATCTATTAATTCTGCCTTTGATTCAGAGAATACAGTGCTGCTTCCTCTGAAACAGGCAGAGGACAGAGGTACTGCAGGAGAGGGCTCACAGTATTTCTCCATGCTATAAACATGTGGCTTTTATTCTGCCCTAACCACTCTAAGACTGAAGTGCAGCTTTGGAGGCCAGTGAGCTGCACAGTCTGCCCAGACTCCACGTAGCCCCACCCCAGGGAAAGGCAGATTGTCACAAGGGCAGGACACTCCTTGAAGCAGGCTTCTTTAGCCTCCAAGGGAAAGTTGAGCCAAAACCTTCCCTACTCAACAATGATTTCATGGATATCCATCAAGAAAACCGTATTTCTGAATGCTCCAACACCTTCATCTTACATATGGGTACGATGATTTGGCTCTGACTTGCCCACTTTAATTTCTTACTTCAATTATTCTTTGCCCCCACTGGTTAGGGAATGGCCATTTAATCAAGCACATTCAGAAGTGCTAGTCCTCATGTTTTCTCAAACCAGATATACATCACATAGCATTTTATAGTTGCTGAAAATGATAGTTTATGGAAGTAATATTCTTAAAAGTACCTGTTGATGCAAGTAAAGCTTTGTTAAAAGCACTATGGAACCTCTCTTTTAGCTGAAGATAAACAGTTCTTTCTTACACCCATGCAAATTAGTAAGGAGAAGTCATTAGGAGAGACAGAAAAGTCATGTCTCCAGAGCCTTATTCTAGCTCTTACCTGAGCAGCACTGCCTCTGAATGCAAGTATTTGCCCCGAATGCAAATATATGCTCTGAATAAAATGTTCATGCTTCCAATCTAAACAAAATTAGGGTAATTAATGTCACAATCTTCTCACAGTACTAAGAAAATACACTGACAGCTGTCATATGTTGTCCTGGTTCTGGCCAGGACAGAGTTAATATATTGCAGTAGCTGTGTGGGGATGAGCCTGGGGGCGTGGCTAGGAAATTATTCTATACCACCTCAGGTCATTGCCAGGCGCAGGGATAAGGGACTCTTGCTTCCAAGGAGAAGGGTGTTCCTTCCAGTGGGGAGAAAAGTGGTGGGGAAAAGCCAGTCAGTATTGTCCCAGGCTTTCCATGTACATTGTTTCCTTGCCTATACCTTTTGTTATTGTTTTCTTATCTCATTGCTGTTTCCCCTAAATTGTTCGTATCTCAAGCCATGGTCTTTGCCTTTTGTGCTTCCAATTGGAGGGGAGGGGAATCGAGCTGCAGTGTGGTTTTAGCAGGACTACTGAATTGGAAAATACTATTCCTAAACCACAACATATGTAATGTGTGTTTCAACACTTGAGGGACATGGCTCATTCATTGTTTTCCAGGACAGTTGCTAATATGGTAGTTTAATGAAATATGGAAGAAACAGAGGATTCTTACCTTTGGTACTCAAGTGTAGTTGTAATAGTTACTGTGAAAATACACAGAGACATTAAGTGATATATGCTGAAAAGATTCCCCTTTGGCAAAGGCACAAGTGCAGAACATTTTTTTATTAGCATTTTTTAGTAGCTGAATTAACTGTCAGTGCAATAGTGAAGAACAAAGCATTTGGGTGCATTTCTGTGTGCACACACAGAATATATAGATAGATAGACCACACAATTGGATCTAAGTGTATTGATAAACATGGCAACACATGTACAGTCATATGTTTATCCATATATTTACATTTTATAATCAAGAATATTGTCTTAAATCTAAAGACTTAAAAATACATTTATAGAAAGAAAAGTCTTTTTCTTGTCATAAAAAGAAAAACAGCAGAAAATTGCAATGTGTAATTGATTATTGATATCTCTCTCCATCTACTAGTAAGAGCAATACTTCACTGCTGCAGACTGGAGTGACAAGCAAAGAATAGGCAAATAGATCTCTGCTGACCATTCCCATGGCTAAAACAAATATTTTTCAGCCTTTCATCTTTCAATATGTTGTGCTAAGGCCCACTGCTGCAGCCATCAGCAGGTTCTCCAGCTCATTAGCTATAATGATCATGATCAGAGTGATCCTTGCTTTTACATTTCCTCCTCCTCACAACTGCTGTTACACCTACCACAGCTACAGTGTAGGTAGTCTCCTGACAGAGAAATCAAACACTGTGCTGTGGTTAATGATTTCTCTGAGTACAGCTCCAGCTGTCAAAAGATGAGGAAAAGTATAACTCATCTTGCCTGTCTGATTCAGGGCAGGCATTGAGGTAACTCTTACCAACCTGACAGAAGCCAGGTTTGAGGCAGGGAAGGGCAGACGTGAGCAGTATCCCCAGTGGAGCTCCCAGGTTTCTAGCTCTGCCTAGAACCCTTCCTTATTTGAGGCTCTTGTATCAGCGAGATACTTCAGGGGAGCAGCTGTCAGTGATACAAAGATGAAGGGTTTGATCAAGAAGCTCCCTGGTACTTCTCATCTCCACCCCACCTCCTCCTTCAGAGAAAAACCCACGCTTCATCAAGCTGATGTAGTCTAGAACTGTCTTAGGAAATTCTGGGAATTTGATTATTTTTGCATTTTCCAGCCTCAGTACTTAGCTTTCATGTGCAGTATTTGTAACACAGCTTCTCTCAGTTGAGCAAACGAGTCTTTAACAGCATTCTAGAGACTTCACAGAGACAAAGCCAGCACTTGTGCTTAAAGCAGGTCACAATTTCCTTCCCCAGCCTCAGTTACCACAAGTACTCATAGATAGCAAGCTTTCCTGGAACTGAGGCACCCACAGACACATGAAGCAATGATGTGGATCTGACCTTATCAGATGAAGTGAGAAGAAGGGGGTATTTTGCAGGAAGTAAAGTAAAACTAAAGCAGAACATGCTTTTTATTATTTTCACAGAGTATTGAGCTCTGAGACATTCCTTTAAGAAACATATTCAAAACAAAACATGATGAAAGGCAAGATCTAGATCTAAGTTTCTGCAGCTGCATTCTTTAATAATGTCTCCACACAATGTCATGTAACATTACAATTTACAATGTATTCAGCATTATTCCCACATATCACATCTGGATTTCACCTCACTGCCAGCTGTTCCTCTGACAGGAAGATTATCTGGAAAAACAAGTCTGCTTCTGTACAGCACTGAACAAGGCTTTTGTGCTTTCTCAAGATACCTAATCTTTTTCTTTCAGTCATTCACACAGAGATTAAGGAAAGGGAATCATTAAAGCCAAAGTGCCCTGGATCTCATATATTGTCTCACAGAGCAACCAAAAATCTGAAAAGCTGTGCAGTCTCTTCTTTCTATCCTTCCTAACAGTTAAGGTAATAAAAGCAAAAGGTCACCCCAACAGTTACTCCCACCTCCAGCAACACAAAAGTTAAATTTGTATGGGAATGAGCCATGACATTTTCCCCCCTGATTCTAAAAGATGAGTTTTAGGTGACTGCAATATCCTGGAGGAAGAACAGAATTAACAAAGCATACTAATGATCAGCCACAATACTGTATAAGTGAAGGCACTGAATACAGGTGAGAACCTGCTTAGCAGCACATCATATTTCAGCCTTAGAAATATCTTATTTTTAACCCAAGAGTAAAAAAAAAAAACAATTAAGTTGCTTCTTTCTTGCAGAAAGGGAAGAAGCTGCCCTACAGAAAGGCTAATGGGGCCTGGAAAGCACCGGCTTAGTCAGAAACTGAGTCCAAATGGCAAACAGCTGCACTCAGATGATCTGGGAACTGCTCTCAGTTATGTCACAGAGTTCCCAAGTCATGTCATGACTTTGTGTTTCCTGACAGCCTCATTTTTAAAATAGTTATAATAACAACTTCTCAATTTCGTAAGTCTTCACAGGATCTATGGATGACAATCACTTAAACAGAGGTCAGTATTTTAATAACTATAATATACTATCCTATAACCCAGCTAGTCTCATTCAAACACTAAAAAATTATCTAGCTTAGTTATTAATTTACTATGGAATTACTTCATCTTCTGTCAGCAAAGCTGTTCAAAATTTTTTATTTAGCTGTGTTCTCAATGTGCAATTTCATCTTCATGGTTCCACACGAAACACAAAAATCAAACTGATCTTCAGTACATAAATTTTTTAACACAATAAAAAGATAGCAAGACATTATATTGAGTTTCCAATAAAACTCTATCCAATTTAAATAGAAGTATAAAAGAAGGAACTCCTTAAGCTTTTAACCTAAAAAAATCACCATACACAATAATATCATGCATGCAAGTAGCCATCATCTGGTCTATGCACTTGAAATATTAGTCTGTATTACTTATTCAAGTAGCATCTGTTTTTTCTAGACATTACAAGTATTTTCAGGAAGAGATATCTCTTACTGCACATTTCTATGAAGATTTGGTTCCTTATATCTGGAATTCCTGAAACAATTACTGCAGCACAGTGGCTGCAGAAAGTTAGGACTGGGAGATTAGTTTTAGTTCTGAACGGAAACCAGGTTCTTGTCATTCCTTCTGACTGGTGTAAGAACAACAGAGCAATTGATTTTTTTTTTTTTTTTTGCTTGAGGAATTTCATAAAGAGGCTATTTATTTCAAATATGGAATTTTCTTCAGAGATCATTTGAAAATTGCTTTTTTCCTCCACCCTTGTAGAAACAAATGTCAGCACAGTGCTAAAGTCTAGGACACACATTTTGCACCAGAAGAAAGGTGTCAGAATTTGCACGAAGGTCTGCAGGGACACACAGGGTTTCTTAGGCTAACACATATGATTATAGATCACTTTTGGTAGCAGAAGTAAAACTGATTCTCTTTTCATGCCACCTATCCCTCACAAAACACATTATCCAGTTTTTCATCTTATTCACGTGGCTAGAAGTATAATTTATATTATTTTGTTCATCTATCCACACTATTAATTCTAAATATATGAGGCAAACCAGAATAATCAGGATTGTAAGATGTTTACTTACCTTCTACAGTTGATCCACGTGAGAATGCTCTTGTTCAGGAATTACAGGCAGTATCTCTGTGGCCTGTGCAGGAAGTGGAACCTGCTGTTTGCTGGTTTTCACTATTGAAAGTTAAAATAGGGTTTTTCCATATTATTGACAGCAAATATATCTGCAGAGTGTTGGACTTGTATATGCAAGTTTGAAAATAATTGAGACCTATCTGAACACAAGAGATGGACAGACATTACTGAAAATACTAACCATGTTTGGTATTTAACTTCCTCTTAATACTAGTAGGACTACGATGTGATGGTTCCAAGTCTATCTGGGAAGCAGTTTGAAGGTAGGCAAATAAATTTGTGTGAAATAAATTTGTGAATAAATTGTAGTGAAAATCCAAGAGCATGCAAATTTGAGGTTATGTAAGAGTCCCCCAAAATACAAACCCCTATATTTGCTCAGCTAAGCAGAAACAATGGAAACCTAGAGTGTGAAATTCCTCACTCATTTTCACATAAGGACAGCACAGATTGCCACAGGCACACATGATGCAGCCTCAGCTCATTTGTCATACACACGGGGTGAGGTGATGCCTTTAGCACACAGATCCTGATAGAGTATCTCAGTGGAATACAGATAAGGAAATGCAGAGATAGCATTGTCAGGCAAAAGCACACAGAGTTGTTTATCCAATGCATTTTTCGAAGAACTACTGTAGACCACAAATAGTATTTTAACTCCAGGCCTATCCTGTCCCTGACTATCCATTACTTCTGCAAACCTACAAATGGGTTTCTACAGAGCTGACAACAAGAGGATAAACTATACCACTTATATCTAGCTATGTTCATTCTCCACTGACTAAGTCATTTGGGCTTCTCTCTTTACAAATGCAATTAAAATGTAGAGTTTGGGTCTCGGCACTTAAGCAGCTGCAAATGAAAGGCAAAGTCAAAATACTGGAGCAGTTTTTAAAAAAATAACAATGGATCTTGTTTAACCCTCAGGATGAATTTGGACAGAATGGGAATATAGGCTGATATCCCCTTCAGTCCCTGTGTGTAACAGTGTTCTGCATGCATGCAAAGTGAGCAGAGAAAAGGTCCTTCGTGCATCAATGCTCTATGGAAAGCATACAGGGGCTATAGAAAGCTCCCTAAAGTTACCTGCATCCTATAGATTTTATCCTTCGTTTTATCTGAAAAAAAATTTTAAAGTTCCAAAGTGGTAATAAGACTTCACAATTTTCCTGGTTATGTTCCATTTCAGAAATTTTTAAGTCTATGTTAAATACTGAATACTATGAGAAGCTTTGCTTTTGCCAGCATCATTCATGTAAGTTGCAGAGAGAAAGATAATCATTCAGCTATGTCAGGAACTGAGAGGGACCACCAAATAGTTGATGTTTCAGTTAGCCATGATTAAACAAATCTCTCTTTCTTGTCTTTGCATCTATTTGCTTCTGTAGAGGATGTATTGTGCCTGTTCTCTTTGCTAAAAAGAAAATGTATTGCAGAATACAAGGAGGAGTAAGTCTGAACTCGCTGGGATGTCAGCCCTGACACTGCTGAGCCAGAATTTGCTTCTATTTCCAACATGTCAACTAACCTGAAGCTGCAGCAGCACATCAGAGATATGGCAGAATTTCCCCTATTTCTTCTAATCTTGTGGGAAAGGAACTATTATTTTAATAGGATAGCACAGAAAACAGTACAGGAATTCAAATGAGAAGGAATTTGTTTTGTTGTTTCTTCTGTGCAAATTACAGCTGTGAAGCCCACTTGTATCAAATACTATGGATGTCACAAACCCTAAACAGTCCAGGAAACAACTGCAGGCCAGGAAGCCTGAGGTTTTATTCTCTGAATCCTGGTTGTCACTGTGACCCTGCAATGCTCTTCTTTCAGGATGAGTTATAAAATTACCATCCATCAGAATTAACTTTGCATTACTGTGAGCCAGACAATTGAGTCAAGGAATCCTGTATTTGTATCCTAAAATGTAATGAACCAAACTGCTACTCCATGAGTATCACTAAAAATGAATATACTGTTTGAGCAATGTAGAGCAAGGTATTATGCTTGAACTAAGGCTGCCCACACAGGCTGTAGAACAATGACATGATGATTTTAACAATATCTGCTTTGTCCAGTTCTAGCAAAGGAATGGGAGCAAGCTTTTTTCCTAACACATCTTATGCCACATTCAAAATAGAATCAAAATAAACAAGGACTGTTGTTCTTATTCTTGGAAAAGAAAGTCTAAATGGGAATTTATGGTGATAAGATTCTAGTAATATAAATTCCCACTTAAGTATAATCCATCTAATTATATTAATGAATTTTCCAAACCCTACTAGGCAGATTCAGCTTAGGTATTAAATGCTCTGATTTATGCAGTCTCATTCCTCTGCAAATTCTTCTTGCTTTTCTTTTTCTTTTTTTTTTTTATTTTTTTATTTTTATTTTTTAAATTTTTTATTTTTAAATAATATAGCATACAGTTCACAGACACAGACCTGCTCCCAACAAGTAATTTTGTTCTATGGGACAGGATTGCCTTTTTTTTAGGATATAGCTACATGAGAATAACTACACTTAGTCAGTTACTAGTAATGGAAGAGGTACCAAAGTGGTTTAGGGAAAATGGGCTAAGGAAGAGGAATAACAGCAGGGTAAGTAAACTTTCTTCCCTTTATCTTCATCTGAGACTGATTTAAGCAGTAAGCTGCAAATGACAATTCAGCAGTTTCTATCTGAGTTCTTTTAAAACTCTGTGGGGAATACATTCTAGTCCTTCTAATTGCCATTATTAATTTATTAAGCTGTTCTAAAACCTCTTCTACTGCCTCTTCAATTTAAGAAAGCTCTTCAAAGAAATTCCTGCAATAAAATTCTCATGTGTGGGAATCTTACAAAGATTCTCTGTAGCAAATGCAAAGCAAAGTGGCTTCAATGGATTCTTTTCCACGTGTTATTACTATCAAGTTCTATTTGATGAAAATGCTCTGTGTCTGGAAATACAGATCAGCCACTTAATTACTTACTTCTTGCAGTAGAAAAAAGTACCCTCTCTTCTTTCCTTTGTCTTATGGATGCATTTAAGGGAAACTATATTTTGTCCATATTAATACCATTTAATACCATTCAAGGGACAATTATTGTACATAAATGCAATGGCAGACCAGTTCTGAAGTCTAGAAAATGTACTTTGTACAACTCACAGTCTAGTGCATTCTTTTATAGCTTTACAGTCCAGACAACATTTAGTCAACATTTATGACCAGAATGCTATTAAACTCCCCTCTCCTCGTTATATGTGCTTAATCCTTTGCAGTATTGTGAATTTGGAAGGTTGTAAATTTAATCTTTCCCTAGAGAACATTCTATACATTTTCCCCCATTTCCTCTGGTCACTGGACCTCTACTGGCAAAGATTCATGGATATAAAGCCACTAACAGTTTCACCAAACTAACATCCATGCTGTAAATTACTTTTTTTGTAGGATCACAGTGGCATTAAGCCAGTAATTTACTAAGCTTCCTAAGAATTCACTCCCATTCAAGTATAGGCTTTCCTCTTTTTTTCCCCTTGTAATTTCTTAACTTCAAATAACCTTTCAGGAGTACCTATACATCTTTTCATCTATATGATATGCTGTCATAGCCTCTCAAGCACTCATTACTGTGTTTCCAGGGTGATTGTATTGTCTTCAGTGGATCTCAATGGCTTTTTTCAAGATTGCAAGCTATGCTCTAATTATAGGGAAAATATTGTCAAGGGCTGTCAACAAAGTCATCTGTAGCTATTTATAATCCATTATCATGGCAGCAAATCCTAAGCTTAGCAACTGTGGAAAGAATAAATTATTCATAAGGATTTGATTGTATTTTAAATTATATTGGTATAAACTATAAAATTGATTGGATTGACTGAAATTATGGTGTGTGAAACCAAGGAATTTTATATTAAAATAAACCCCATTATAGCAGTTCATGCAACTAAGCATCTTTCTGGGTTACATGGATTGATTGTAGTGGGAGGCACTTAAAAGTGAGAATGACAGACCAATAAGGGATTCCCATTCTCTTCAGTAAAATCTAGTAAAAGCAGATTTGAATTTCCATAAGACTCTATTATCAAAAATGCCTTGGATATACAACATTAAAAGTGCCATTCTGAACATGTGATTAAACAAGTATATTAGTGAAGCTACTCAAGACAATAGATGTCAGAAAAGTAATTCCTTCCCTGCAGAATGAAAATAATGAGCTCATAAATATATCTCAGAGATAGCCAGTGCTTTAAGAGCAAGAAGCATAAATTGTACTCACAGGGGAATTCAGACAGATAAGAAGCTATTAATTCTTTTCTAGGTAAAATTGAAATGCTATGAAATACTGAGTTGTAGACATAAATTACTGAGTCTCCTCTTACTCCCAAAGAACTAACAAGACAAAAAGCAAAGTACTTAAGCCTTAAGTCATACTTAAAATAATTTTTTTCATTTCTTGGATTTGTATTTTTTCTTGTTTTGAAGGGAGGTTAGTTTGCTATTCAGAGCTATTATTCTATACGTTCATGCCAATCTTTTTAAATATATAGCTCCCTTCACAAAACTAGAATCCATGAAATTTATTAAAAACACTTTACTCTTTAAGCAATGTCAGTAACACTCACAGCAACACCTGATAATTGGCACTCACACAATTATTTGTTGCCAAATCCAGTTTTCTAGAATCCAAACTTTGAGTTTAGCCATGCTATTTAATTTATCTGTGGTAAGCATACTACACTCTCCGAAGACCACAATTTTTTACCTATCTGAAACTCAAAAATTGCATTTTGTGGGAATTGGACCCTAGAAATTGGCTATGAAGTGCCAGAAAAACCATTTATTGAGTCCTGCTGCAGCCATTCATGCCATGCTTTGGTAGCAAATTTTATCAAGAGTCACAAATACATAGAGCATACATACACATATAAACATCTCTGTATACTTTTCATACACACACAAAGCACTCAGGTGACAAACCTCAAAACTGGCACACAATATGACCAAAAATTAAAAAGTTCAAACTCATTAATGCAACACACTGGGAAGACTGGGAGAAGCATTCCCACATGATATATATGTCTTCTTACAGTTTTGTTGTCAGATTTATTTCTTTAAAACAAAAAAGTGTTTCCTTAACATAAGCCAGATCAAATTTGTGTAGGACCAAGGAAACTCTGAAACAAACCTGAAGCATCTCTTGACAGGAAAGTCTTAAAAGATCTTTCTTGACCTCCTCATGCCTCAAGATTTGTTAAATTTTGTTTTACTTTTATATACTTACCAGGTAAAGGATGGATTTTAGTAGCAGATACAGTTCTTCTTGCATGTCTGGAGCTCTTCCTTCTTAGAACAGTAGAAACTGATGCTGCTACTCTTTGTTTATAATCTGCTTTAAACAAAATATCTTATTTTACCTTCAGCCCTGATTAGAAGGAAAGCTTGTAAACCCCTTATTATTAAACTGTTGAAAACCTTGAAAAGTGTTCAAAAAATCAGGAAGGTGTTGGAATAAGGTGATGAGGAAAAACCAAGGGCCAGATGGTTTGTATTTCCCTGAATGAAATTTTCTAGAAATTTCATTCAGGTTTGTCCCTTTCAAATTATTCCTTGCCTTTTTCTAGACTGTGTACCTTGAACAAATTTTGGAAGGATATCAAGAAAAGTACATATTTCAGTACAGGTTTGGACTCTCACTGGTGACAGTGAAGTAGCAAGGATGGAGTGTACTGGCATCCTAGGAAGCTGACAGATTCCTGGCTAGTGTGGTGTTCATCTTGGAAAGCACAGTCTGAGAGCAAGCTCCACACCCCTGACAAAGCCAGAGCTGGACTGGGCACCTCTGGCTGTTCCTCAGCACTCAGTTCATAAACTCTCAGTCCCTCCATCCTTCTGCTGCTCTCTAAATGCTGTGCTCTCAATGGGCTTATTGCAGATGATTGTGCAGCTGTTGTGATTAGCCCTGTTCCGCAGCGACTGCAGTCCACAGCTCAGCCAGCTTCTGGTGGCAGGCTCGCTCCAATTCTATGTAACAGAATTTATTTTTATCTTTTTCCTTTGAGAACACTAAGAAATTCATTAAGTTAAAATTATTTAGGTCATTAATTTTTTTATGACTAGCCAGTGGAGAGCTAAAATGCTACAGCCCCAAGCATACAGTGTAACAGTTAATGTCAAAGAAAGCTTTGGAAGTGTTTGTAAGACAAGACTGGAAAGAAAAAGGAAAAACAATTAATTTCCAATTTAGGGCCTTTGTCATGGATCAGTTGTAACCTCCACCAAGTTTATTTGGATATTTTATTTTATGCACTCATGAAAATAGTATAATGATTCAGAGAGCCTCAGAGTCTACCTAGCAGAATTTCTTGAAAGGTCTCAAGAGGAAGTGAGTAATTCTACATTTCTTAACGGCTTTCTATGGTGCTCAGAAATGAAAAGAAGAATACTAACTGAATTATGGTTGGAAAAATTCATAACAGCTGTTTTAGTAACATAGCTAATAGTTCTGCTCTATTCTTTGAGCACCACTGAAAAAAATATTAGTGTATAGACTTGCAATGAAAGGTGGCATCTTAATATATACACATAAACCTTAAGGGGTTTTTTATGCACTTGTCTTTTTATCAGTCACATAATGATGTTGGTTATAATGTTGCATATTATAAATTTAACTTATAAACCCAGTTTTCCTCAATTAGCAGAAAATGTATCCTTGAAGCTAGTAAGTAATTAAAAGCCTCAAAAGGGCATCTCTTCCTCCCTGTTTGTCTCCACGATGACTCTGAATACCTGAATCTAATAAAAAAGTGATGTTTAAGAATAATGGTACTAAATCATTAATCATCACTACTTACGATTCTACATTAAAAATAGACTGTTATGACTCAAAGCATAGAAAATCAGAGACGTGACATTTATAAGTAGCTTTCAAATTACAAATAAAAGTCCTTTAAATTAGAGCACTTAATAGCCCACTTATAAAGTCCTAATTTACACTTCCTGGGGTTTTATATACATAAAATATATCTCAGAAATTTGTTCTAGCAATAAGTAAAATATAATGTATTTTAAGCAACATAATCTGGCAAGGAGCTCCTTTCATTGGGGTGGGGAGGGTGCAAACTTGACATCTCAAGTAATTATTTGGCTTATTCATTAAAAATATATTCATGAAATATTTACATTATGCAAAAAATCACAGAAACATTTTGTGTGTGGGCACTCTTCTTCCTTCTGCTCCAGTATTATTAAAGCTAGATTTCTATTGCTCTGTCATAACAAAACTACCTGTGCATACAGTAAGGATGATCAGGGGAATGGATATGGCTTATTATTTGGTTTACTACCCCTGTGACCAGGGTCTCCTTTCAGCACCTCTGAACTACAGGAGGCCTGCCTGGCAATAGCAACTAAATGCCAGTTGTCCAGAGGCATTCTGCCTGCTCAGGGCTGACCCAAAGCAGAGCGTCTCTGGAAACTGCTGTGAACAGCACCTGAGAGTTATTCCCTCACGTAACAGCTTAAGTAATATTCTTTTCACAGTGATGAAAGGTATGTAATATGCTCCTACTACCACCTACCTCTGGCTTGGGAAGAGAGACAAGGACCTGCATCTGACAAGCAGTCAATTTTCAGCACTGTTTTTGTGCAGAGGATTTTATCTTGATTGCTCAAAGGTCTCAAGCTCAGGGTACTCCTACAATTTTATTCTTGTTTTATTCATTGTATATTGCTAGAGAAAATTCTGTAAATCTGATTTCAGCCTGTATCCAAAGAGAAGAGCCTGTAATGACTGAAGGAATATTCTAGAAACAATTGTTTCAATCTCTGAACTAATGGCAAGTTTTCTCATAGCAAAGTTCTAATCATTTGGAACAGTCGATAGTGATGGTTCAGAAATCACAGCAATGTTTTCTTTGCTGAAGCAATAGCAAAGAGATGTTATCTGGGCTTAATTCAGCTCTTGGCTTAAGAAGGTGGCACCTTGGTTGCCCTGCATGGGATTCTACCACCAATTAATTTGAATAGTCAGTTTTTAGGACAGACAGATGGGTGTATATCTCCTCATATCTATCCTGTAACTTTTCCTGACTATGACTTAAATAAATCATCTTGAAGAAGGAAAGGGTATTTCCATTCACTGACACTGGTCATTGGGATTTCTGCTTAAAACCTTCCACAAAGTTTAACAGTAATTGTTTCATCTACTGAAATCAGTGTGAAACTAGATGTTCATATCACTAAGACACCAATCATCTATCAAAAACCCCACATTTAATTTGCCATCAACAAGCTTGGATTTGCATACACAATTTTTGCATCCACCAAAGAGATGAGAGGTGATACTATCAATCATCTGAGTACTTCAGTCAGTCTCTAAGAAGATTTTACCATCTAACAATCAAAATATCAGTGTCTGAGCCACAGTAATAATCAACAGTTTGTTATTATAAATTAATATGTTTTTACTTGCATAGAAATTTAAATTGATGCAGATTAACTATGTATTACTTACAGCTCTGTTTATTTTCTTGGACTATTTTGTAGATGACGAATGAAACAGTAAATACAAAAACTACTGCAATCATAGTGAGCCAAGTAATCTTCGTTATACACATTGGATCTGTCCATAAAATGTACAAGAGAGGAAATTAAACAGCAAATTACTGGCAGAAGAGAAAAGCAGTACATTCCATCTTGGTAGGTTTTTGGATTGTGCCTATCCCCACAGATAAAAGCAAAACAAAACAAAAACAAACAAACAAAAACAAACAAAAAAAACCCCAAAAATTAATAAGACATTATGCATTTTTCTTTCAGTCTTCTCTGTTTTTTGATGTTAATTTCCCTGTCTAAAATTTAGCTTAATTTTTGCCTGTATTTTTATATCTGCATCTATATCTAAATATCTCCCCACAGCTGAAATAGATACAGATGACTGAGTGAATGAAAACTTTTCAATTCAGCCAGTGAAAATGCTTCAAAGATAAACATTTATATTTAAGGTAGAACAAGGGTAATACATGTCCCCTCTGTCTGCATAGAAGTCCAACATTGGCTTGTACTGGCATTCTTAACCTCCTGGTCCACCTTCATATACGAGAGAAGGCAAGATTCTACACATAGAAATTTTCTTATAAAAAAGTGAGGAAATGTCACCAACAGGAGCACTCTGGGGAATTCCTTTAAAGTTGGTTTGAATCACATGGGACTGCATACAGGAGGTAAGACGCTCTTTTGGACAACAGCTGCTGCAGAAAAGCACTCACATTCCGCAGGGATTTAGTTCAATAACTTGTAAAAGTCAGGACTGTATACAACAAAGAAATTACTTGAAGAACTTTCCCCTCTGGTTATTTGAATGGCCTTTCAAGCTTCTTTGGCACCTGCACGTTAATGTGTGCCTTAGCACTGTCAAATAACTGTTTTAGAAACCAGCTATGTTACTATAAATCATAAAAAACCAAATTACAGACTGTGGCCAAACTACTGTTTCCCTTTCCCTGACTTAGAACAGTATAATTAGACTTCAACTTCCCTTGTATCTTCTCCATCAAGAACTTGTGAGGCAAATGCCTATGACCCCACAGCTCATTCCTCCTAATTTAGAACTAAATATATCTTTTATACAGTAATCTAGGCTCCTTTTACCCCATCTTGTACTGGCTTGTAATGACTTGATTATCAGCCTTGCTTAGTAAATCCCTGAGCACCTCTTTAGCTGTTTTGAAGTAAATTAAAAAAAAAAAAAAAAAGAAAAGACATATTGTTAATTTTCATTGCTAATAGGAGATTACTGCTACCCAGGTAAATCAGTATTAACAAAGGGTGGTTAGCTCATAGTATTGACACAAGGTAGTAGGGCAAGTTACAAATTATGCTCTTCTCGTGGCTATACACACTTACTAAAAAATTCCCAACAAACAAAAAACCAGAACAATCCTAAACTGCCCTTTTTTCTCCAGGATTTTCCCTGGATTTATTTAACATATATTAATCCAACTCTAAAAAACCATATTTTTTTCCAGGAAATGTACAGCATAAAATACATTTTCCATGCAAAACCAACTGAATGCAATAATTCAGCAACTTCTAAATGACAAGTGCTGCAGATAGACAGAATGGAAGACCTGACTATGGTCAGGAAATCAGACAAAAAACTCTTGCAGCACAAAGAGAAATATGAAAAACTGAAGGTTTCCTTTGGGAAAACTAAGCTTAGTTGAGCTGAAGATTTATCTTTTAAGCATATTGTAGTGAGGCAGCTAAATTACTTTAAATCACTATAAAAATCATCAGTTGTCTACTATGAATTGTTTTTTAATAAAGGGTTTTTTTAAAATTTATTCTGTTCTTGTGAAATATATTAATATTTTCAAATAGTTGCTGGAAGCAGACAACTACCTACTTGAGATTTTTTGCGAGATTATATTGTTTCTAGTTTGATTTCCATTCTGAATCTCCCTTGTAACTTACATTCCATATAAGACTTCAGTTGCAGGGAAATATTCATACAGTCATTTGGGTCTTCCATCATTGCCAAGAGACAAGAATGATTTAGTTGTTCATTGGCTGAACTTTGTCCTCCAACTATTGAATTGTTGATGTGGATTTCCATCAGGTACTTCGTATTATGCTCCACTTCTTTCTTGGAATCCGTAGTGAAATTAAAATATTTATAAAAATAAGTAACATTTTCTGTTTTCACTTCACGTGAGCCTTTTGCTTTTGGAAATAAAAATTAAAACAAAGCTGTTATGCAAGTAGTAGATCAAGAGACAACTCTCAAAAAGTACAGTGAATTCTCTGTCTCATTTGCAACAACATAAAGGTTTCTACATCACTGACTATGAAAAAGATGGATAAATGTATAATGTGTAAAGTTACTCTGAACAGTTCTGAAGAGCATTGATTATCTATATATTTTCCCTGCAAAGTATAACTCTTTTTTGCTTTACTATCACCTTTTTTTGTTGATTTTTTTGTTGTCAGTTGTCAAAGGCAACAGGGAAAAATCAGGCTATGAGAAGGATAGAACCCAGGCAGAAGCCTGTGATGACAGAGATTTTAAGTGCACACACTGTCTATGTGCTATCAGTTGCAGGAGGTCCTTGCTTTGCTTCAAACCACACAAGATGTGAGGCTTGTGCTACATTTACAAGAAACAGAAACATTGTCAAAAGTGTTAGTTGTACAGGTATAACTGAAAACAGAGGTCGTCCATATATAAGCTTTTATTTTTCATACTTGTTAAGACAGCTGTTTTGTAATAAGGATAATATATGGTTGGAAAATAACTGAATTTCTTATATTCAGGACTTGGCCTATTGCCCCTGTCGCTGACAATGTTAAAAAGAGTTATCCTCTTCCCCAAAGATTTCCAGATATTTACAAGTGTATATGGCACAGAAGGAATGGCCTGCTACTGCTCTGAAAAGATATGGGTGTTGCTACCTCTCCTCTGTACTGCTGTGCCATTCCTTAGGCAGTGCTGCTTTATATAAAACATGTAATGCTATTTCTGATACTACACAGTTGAGGATAATGTAGACTACAAACACAAAAATGCTTTTTTCTTGCATAGTTGCCATCGGAATAGTACCTAATGAATTAGTTCTTCAGGTACTTGCTCACAACCTATCTTCATAATACCAGCAATCTACATGTAGAGTTCCATAATGACATTTAAAAGCAAATTCAGCTTGAAAAATTGTCAGAAAGTACTTAGAACTCCTTAGAAATAAATTAAGTACTTTAGAAAGTACTTGCTACCACATGTTTCACTGACAACCAGGAATGAATGCCACTAAGAATCTAGCACAAAATCAGCATTTTCTAGCCATTCAAAGAAAAGCTAAAAATTACCATTGTTCATAGACTTGCAAAGACCACAGAGAACCAGGAGCATATAATTTTCTTCTAAGTACCAAATAAAAACTTGGCTTTTATTTTGTAATGAGCTGCTTCAAAATTAAGTATTAATCTTACCCTACTTACTTTTTTTAGCTATTGACCCCGATCCTTGATGATCAACATTCACATCCCTCTTGGATTCACAGTCTGTCTGTTTAGGGTGGGACTGTTGTTCCCTCCAGGATGACTGGCAAATACATGCAATATTTTGGAAATTGGAATTATTTATAATGACCTTCAGCAAAATAGTCTGGGTTTCTCTTCTTTGTTGCACTGATCTTTTGTAAGAATTGTTAAAAGTACAAAGTGGAAAAGTGGTGTTACTTGATGAACAGGTATCCATGCAGGACACCATTACAGTGTTAGCTGTGAAAGAAAGAGTGATACATTAGTCAGACAATCATATAGGACACATGGACAATTATGTGCCTAGAAGCATCATGCAGTAGATATTCCAACCATTTTATGATGAAATGCACGTGTTTTTTTTTCTTTTTTCTTGAGGGTTATGATGGGATGTTAAATGTATCTGATGTAAGAGAAAGGAAGCACAGAGTCTTCCCACAACCTAGATGCTGGATTTTATTTGCTGAATTGTATTAAAACTATTGTAATAGGAATTGGAATTTCTGATGGTATCTAGTCACATTCCTGTTTCAAATCTGCTCCAATTTGACTGCTCTTCGAAAGAAGAGAAAGCACATTTATGCTTCTTCAAAAGAAGAGAAAACTTGTTTGGAGAGGGAGCTCAACCCTGGAACAGTGCAGTTGCAACACTCCAATGCATTTATGTTGTAAAGTAGCTATAATCAGAATGAAAGCTTTCTTTCCAAATGACATTGAAACCACAGAGTGAAAATACACAGAAATGCTGCTGAATGCTCCAGCCACACCCTTCACATTCTCTTATATTCAGTCAACAAACGTGGATTTTAATTATGACCTTTGGGTTTGGTATTCATAGTCAAATTTCAGTGTCAAAATACCATAGCTAGAGTACATTAATGCAATTCTGGCAAGCAGCAAAACCACATAGTTGTAAATGAGTGTGATTTGTCTTCCACATTACAGTAGAGCTTTATAATGCAAATTTTTATTTGTGTTAACTTTGAACCACTTTTTCAGTAACTTTGAAGTACTTTTTCAGATACAAAAACTCAAGAATAAAAACATTTGTGTGACCCCAACATGAAATACATATTTATGAATAACCACTTTCCAGGGCTGATGCAGCACTAACCTACGGTTTTATAGCTATGTTTCCAATTCTGGCAGTACCCTTGCATCTCTATAAAGGGAAAATTTTGCATCTAACTCCCATTATGAGCAACTGGAGCAATGTGATCATAAATCCTTATGCATGGAGAGCAATATATAGTCTTTAGTTGCTTCAGTGCTCAGCTGCACTCTGATGGCTTCAACTGCCCACCTGCATTCACAGAACAGCAGGTTGACCTCAGGAATTATTCAGTAAAAGATTCCAGACAGGATACAGAAATAAAATCCAAACTCAAAGTCAATTATCTTCCCTTTACTAACACTACATCAGAGAGTCAAAAACTCCTTGTAAAACTTAATAAATTGAAATGTAAAACACACAGGTAAGAAAAAGTTCATTTTGATATAAAAAGGAATATCAGAAAAAAATTTAGAGCTTGATCTTTCCCTGAGGCAAGACACAGAATTTTCCTTGAAACGCTTACAATCTGACCCACACAACACGTCATGGAGCAAGCTTCTGAGATCAAATTCTTCCACCTGAAAGAGGCATTTTGTGTAGAACTTGTCTATGGAGATGAGCCAGGAGTGAATGCTTACTCTGCTTACTCTGCTCTCATGGCAAGCCATGGCTTCTGGGCAACCAGTCTAAAAGCACTGCTACAGCTTTCAAGGGCACCTAATCATAATTCCCTAACATATCATTTTCACCAAGAAATCTTTACATGGACTTGGGAATCTGCTGACAGAACTGTGACAGACATCTATGTTCAGCACTGCAAAGTCCATTTTGAACTCCACAAATGGCTAAACGTATTCCAAAGCTGCCTGTGACCCACGCTGTAGGTGTGTAAAAGGCCTGTTGTCTGAGTGGAAAAGGTGTAAATGTTTTGAGTAAGGGAGGGTGCTTACCATCCTCTTGAAAGGTCTCCACTGAGACAGCCGATCAAATGACAATGTAGCATAAACACGTATTTTTTCCCAGGTCACAGGACTGTGGCCTTTCTAAGGAGGGATATAGATTGTTGAACACTTGAAGAAGGGCTGCAACAACACCACACTTTCCCAGTGATTTACATGGCAGACAGAAAGCCATCCCATACTCATTGCTCCTCACTGCAGGACTGGGAAGCACTCTCCCAAATGTAAACATCACTCTAGAAATTTGGAAAGGGTTTTGTGACATCTGAGCACAGGCAGCCTGAATACTAAAAAAGGATTGCTGAGATGAAACTGTGCAAAGTAACTCTAGGAAACTGTCTTATATCCAAAGATCTGCAACCATATGCTTAATGCTAAGAAGTTCTGTAATTATTAAATTCTTCTATAAAGCCTCTATTTACAGGGTGGTTTTTAATATTAAATCCAAATCCATTAAAATGAAATTATTCACAGGGAAGACCAAAAATTTTTACAGAACTTGCTTCCCATTAAGAAAATCATAAATATTTCACTTTGCATAGGTTTGACTCTTTTAAATTTGATTTTCAGTATTCTGTTTTGAGTGAGAGCAGCAGTGTATACAGTTGCATTTTTTATCACTTCCTTATGGAAGCTGGAGTCTCCACGTGATACTGTAGAGATACAAGACCTACAGTACAAGCTGGAGGATACACAGCTGATAAATCAAAGCAAGTAGCAGGACCCAAGGGATAGGACTGGGATTGAAAGCATCAGACCCCAAAAGCATAACTTCCTGTCCTAAATCAGTGTAATTTAAAGGTTCAATGACTTGTAACCAAGCAAATGTGTTGCTTTACAAACAGAAAGGAAACATTTCACTTCTGGTAATGCTGAACTGTATTCTTTTGAAAAAAATTAAACATTTTTTTGTTTTTTTGCAAATTGATTTCCCCCTAAATTTTTGTTTAATGATAGATTTAAATTTTTATTCCCTCTCCAGAATGAAAGTAAATGCTGGAACTTCCCCTGAGATAAGACATCCAGGAATTAGGAGGTTTCTGCCATTCATTTAGGAACTCTCAGAGGAAGAGCCAGTGATTATATTTCATATCTCAAAGATTTCCAACAACTCTGTCTGCTGAAGTCTCATGGTGTAACCAGCAATTTGAAACATTTACAAAAAATTCTGTACATTTTAGGTTTGAAATGTACAGCAAAATTTGAAATAAAACTGGTTTTCAACAGAAGGTTTTTGGTGAACAAGAGGCCCAAAATCCTTAGAGATTTTGAATAAATTGTCCAACATATTTACTTTCTAATGTAATTCAGACATCATTGCAGTCTGTTATATAGTAATTTAGTTTTTAAAACATCCAAAACGCAGCAATAATTCTAATTTTCCAAATATAAATCTGTGCTGCCCCAAGTATAATTCTGTTCTGCACATATACATCACAATCTTATTTTAGACATGCTGTGATTAAGACAGAATTGCAGTGATCACACTATTGCAGCCTAAAGCATGGCCAGTAAGAGCAATCTAGAAAAATTATCATGGAAAAATATAATTATTCTTTGATGTTTGACACTAAGGTTAATGTTTCCTTCTGGTAATAGTCCTGTGATTGTTTGTTTGGATAATCTGTGCTACCAAACATTTTGTTCACTTCTGCATGGAGGTTAAACATTTATTATTCCAATATCTTAAACTGAATTATGAAAGTTACGATATTCAAAACTTATGACACCTTACCAAGTTTGTTAATTTATAAACTATAAAAATCTATACATTATATTCTAATTACTGATATGTTCTTTCTTTATGGTTAATAAAAAGATACAAGTAAACTAATCTGGATATTTTGATACTAAATTATTTCAGAAAATTATATGCTTCATAAAGAAATTATGTTATGATGCCTGAGAATACACTCTTTGTCAAAGGGATGCTTTTTATTATAGTACTTATTTATTCAAAAGCTTTCTTAGGAATGGCTGTGCAAAACTATTTTAATTTACTCATGGAATTTTTAAAAAGCACTGAACGGGTAACTTGTACACATGCATAGTTTGCATTTATCCTAAATTCAGTATCAGCCTCCAGGATCACTAAGAAGTATTTGGCATTTATGCTACAAGATTTGATTTACTCAGTTACATCCATTCTTCTCTACTTTTTCTCAGGTTACCATTGCATATCTCTTTCACAGACAGCATCTCATTGCCAGATAGTAATTGTACAAAGTTTAACAGCGTTTAAGAATAAAAACTTCTAAAAAGTTGTTTTTGAATACATGAGCACCTGCTCATGTATTCAAAATTAGCATTTTCATTACTTTCTTCATTATGAAGGCTATAAAAATACATGCATTGAAATAGTTAACAAAAATTCTGCAGTATATGTAAATGAATGACAAACTCATTTCAAATTACCACATATAATTTACTCTGTTGGTAAAAAATCTAAGAGTCTATATCCTTTGCAAATTCTACATGTGTGCAGCATCCTAACCATTGCTTTTAGGAAAGCATGTGCCAACTTTTCAGTTGCAGACTTCAGAATAAATAAAAGGTGATTTTAAAAGCTGATCACTCACCTTCATGGATTTTGAAAAATTCAGGTAAACACAAAATAAACACGGTAATTATTCCTAGTCCTAATCTGAAGACTACTGGTTTTTTCAAAAGCAAGCACATGTCAGCAAAGCACTCCCATCTAGCATAGTGATGGCAACTTCCTTCCTGGTTTAGCTTTTAACTTAGTGCAGACATTATGCAAAATAGCATCTATTCATTTCCTTTCTTATAATGACTTTCCTTTTTACTTCTCACTGCATTAACTGCAGAAAGCCACATTCTGTTCTTACATGGGCATAGAAGAGGATGATTCATTCAAATATGCTCAAGATAAAATTCATGTACCACAATGACAATAAGAAAAAAAAAAAAAAAGCAACTATTTTAGATGTTTGTGGATGTTTTGTTTTAAGAACCCCTTAATAACCACTTTCATATACCTGCTAAACAGTAAATCGGTTATCTTTGTGAAGGAATTTTGTTCTCATTTGGACAAGATTTTTAAAAAATGAGTCAGACATGCATTATAAAAATGATTCAGGACCACATGTATCAGTTATGGGGATTTTATTGGTTTATTTATATACATTTGCATGTGGCTAAGTGGAAGATAATATGTAATATTATGTCTATGTATTTAACATATAAATTATGTCTATGTAATAGACAATATTTCAGACTTTAATAGACTATTGATTTGATTATTACAATCTAAAGTTTTCGATCTGGCAATCAGTGATATATTAAGTACAATGAACTGAGGATGAGTTGTGCATATTATCATTGATGCTGTATTCTCAAAAGATGACAGATGTGTTGCCAATCTGTCAAGTGTCTTCAGTTTGCATTTTACTATTCTTTACGCCATAAGAAGACTGGATAGAGCCATTGCTATTTCGATACATCATAGTCACAATTTTTTGGCTAAACTTTCCAGTTAAAAGTGAAGTATTTAATTCTGACAACCACCATGATATTCTATAATTTTTTCTTATACATGAGACTGCAAAGAACATTTCTGAAATATTATGAATAAAACTGCTCTGAATAATGCATAAGTAAAAACAAAGAACTTGACTCAAATATAGTATAAAGGATTATACAGTATAAAGGATTTCATTAATTCAGAAAGATGTCTTCTGAAGTATTTTTCCCACAAGCCATTAAGTACTGGGTACTACCCAAATGAAGTAATACTGTTGAAATTAAAATAAGAAATGCCCTACAAACTCAAAATGCTCTTTTTGTCATCTAGTTATCTCAGAAGATGAGTAAGGCAAGTGGAAGCAAATACAGTATTCATTCTATAGAAAGAGTCCTAATGAAGCTGTAGTGAATATAAATTAAATATGATATTTTAAATTGAGCATTTTCATGCAATGAAAGCAATGAAATCAAAGCAAAATGAACTCTGATTTTTTGACAGAATGATATAATAGAAGCAATAAGATACAAAAAATCATAGGTATGAGTTGCAAGGAAAAAAATACACAATTTATACAGCATCCAATAGGAATTTAGCTCTACTTTCTTTTTGCTAATTTGCATTGTCCCTTAAGTGTCTTCCATATCAATTTTCCTGTTTTCAGTGTTGTGCGGTGTTCACCCATCCTTTCTTCCCAGAAGAAATGGAGAAAATACTGGAAAACAGCAGGAGGACTTTTCAAGTACTATGTGTATCTGTCTCTTTCTGATACAGATTATCATCACTGACGGTAGTGTCCAAGGTCAGAATAGATATTGCCCTATAGGATTCCACGCAAGCTCAGGCTGATACAGTATTAACCCATGGAATACACTGAGCATCAGATTCTATAGAGGGTGCCTTCCAAGAACTCTGCAGCAAGCCAGTGCGGTGTATCTATTTTAGGGCTACCGTGATGGCGTTGTTTCTGAGTTCAGAGTGCCCATGTATGATCTGTCTGCACATCCCTCAGGGACACCGTGAACTTTAGACACTGTTACCTTTGGCCAGTTCTCTGTGTGTGTGTCTGTGTGTGTGTGTGTGTGTGTGTGAACTGGCTGAATCAAGTGTGTGTGTTTGTTTGTGTGGCCTGGCCACACATGGACCTGGAAAACATGAGCTTTCTTTCTTGGGGACAATCTTCCCTCCACCTAGCTAGTAATTTTTACACAACTGGAACAACTTGCATCTTTGAAACCCCCATCCTTCTGTCAAGTTTAGTTGAAAGTGGCTCAGTCATTTAATGCCAGCCGGGATGAGAACTGTCAGAACAAGTGCACAGCCATGCAGTATCTCCACGCAGAATGAGGCCCAGCAACGGCTGTGGATCTCATTACTGCATCAAACCTGCAGCGCCATGCCTCAGCAATGGCCTCCTGCACCCTTAAATCAGTTTGGGCAGTTGGAGATGCATCTGGCTGTCACACAGTCTATTAATTTGGAAAATTATTCAACCTCTGGATGGCAGCGGTCACTGGCATTGCGTGAGAAGGGCAGGAAAGGCCGCGTGTGCTTGTACATGAGGCAGTCAGAACCGGCGGTCTCAGCATCGAGTACAGGCTCCTAAGAGGAAGCAAAGGGTGCAGTGTGTACTACCACAGGTTTATTTCACTTAAATGGGAAGCGGGCAGCTACGGAAATGTTTGGCTTTGTGCTTTTGGAAAAAAGACAAAGGCCCCCAGGGACCGGACGAGGCGGACATCGCCTCCTCTGCCGCTTGCCCTGCCCCGCCGGCAGGGGGCGCGCGGCGCGGGCGGCGCCGCAGCGTGAGGGGAAGGGAGGGGAGCGGCCCCCGCCCCGGCCCCGGCCCCGGCCCGCCACCCGCGGCCACGCGCCGCTCCCGCCCCGGGGCCGGGGGCGAGGCCAGGGATGGGGCGTGTCCCTGCGGGGCCCCGCCCCTCCCGCGCCGCCGAGCGCAGGGAGGGGCCGGAGCGGGGCCGCGGGACGCGACGGCGGCGGGCGGGAGCGCCCAGTGCCCGCGGCTCCCGGCGGAGCGGGAGGGGAGGGCACGGGAGGGGACGGGAGAGGGTGCGGGGGCCTTCCTTGCGATTTTTTTCTTTCTCCGCCCCCTCCCAGCCGCGCCCCCTTCCCGGACCGTGAGAGGTGAGAAGGGCGGTGGGGGTTCGGCAGCGAGGGGAGGGGGTCGCGGCTGCCGGGAGGGGGAGGAGAAAGCGAGAAGGAGGAGGAGGAGGAGGGCGAGGGCCGGCGCCTGCGAGGGGTGGGGGCGGGTTCGCCGTCACTGCCGCCGGGCTCCCTCCTGCCGGCTGTGTGCGGAGAGGCGCTGCGGCCGCCGCCGGGGGGCCGGTGCCCGGTGTCCTATGCCCGATGCCCGGTGCCCGGGCTGAGCGGGGTCCGGCGGGAGCCGCGGCGCTGGCGGGGCGGTGCCGGCGCTCGCCCGAGCGGGGCGGGGCGGGGGCGGCGCGGCGGGACGCGGCGCGGGGTCCGGTCCCGCCGATACGGGCAGCAGCCGTGTCCGGTTCGGTCCGAAGCGGTCAGAGCGGAGACCTGGTGGAAGTGCACTGACACAGCTCTCGGGGGCTTAATCCCATGTGTCTTAACCTTCACCGTCACAGCATGAAATAGTGGAAAACAATTTTTTTTTTTTTTTTTTTTTTTTTTTTTTTTAGTTTGAGACTGGTCAAACAGATAACAGCAGTAACTGACTGCCGCCTCACTACATGGGGAGCGGCGTTATTACACGGGGAACAAAAAGAAGCATAAGTGTTGAACATCAAACAGCTGCTGATTATATACATTATTGGTTTATGTTTTTCCTTAAACCGTTTTTGTGGCTTAGGGCTTTGAGCGCGGACTAGTTGAGCTTCGTGAGCAGCCCATCTGAAGCCCAGCTGCCCCAGGCTCGTGGTCAGCTTTTTAGGCAGTAATGTCAGAACAGTAAAAAGGGAAGGCTTGGCTTGTTCCATTCTTTTACTTAGAAGTTGATTGTGAAATTACATGAGCTAAACTCCATATACAGTCATATTTTGAAGAAAAAAAATTATTGCTCAGGTCTTCTATGAGCATAAACAAGAACAAAAACTTGAACTCATGGTAATATCAGTGTAGCTTTTCTATCTAGACAAGCTCTATGTACTGGATAGGTGGATCCTTTTAAAAGTAGATCACATGAAGTATTTTAATGAGCAATTAATTTTGCCAGAAATAATCTGATCATTTCTCATAAAGGTCTTTTTGCCTGGGAGTTTCCAGGGGCATTTGTGGATTAGTATTTAAAACAAACAAACAAAAACAAACCCAAAAACCAAACCAAACAAACAAAAAAAGCACCCTTTTCCTGAACTTCATAGATGCATTCCTGATGGGGCAGACTGTATTCCCCTTTCGTGGTTTTCCCATTTTCTTCTTGCTGAACAATGCTAGGGAACATAAAGCAGGATAAAAACAAAATAATATTAATAAATTATAAACGTAATCTGAGTCAAATAGTGTTTTTTTCTGCCATGTGTCAATTTCATTGAACCATCCATTCTTCAGTCATTTCCTCTGCATGGGCAGGTCCACTACCAAAGACAGCATGTTTGTACCATGGCAGTAGACTATCACATTGTGTTTCACAGAAATGCAATAACTGCTAATTTAAAATAGAAAATAATTTTGAGTGAAGATAAAGAAAATCTTCTATTAGACCATTATGGTCACACAGTAATTGCAAGCTGTTGCTAACAATGACAGTTCATATTAGTGGACTTGTTCCAACTCTGGACTTTTGTATCACCCATGCTTTTAAAAAGGTTAATGTTTGCATATGTTTATGTCTTGTGGTTTTGTTGATATAATTCAGTGTTTCATGATATGGTGAAGATTACCTAATCAGACATAATATGACCCAATACTGGAAGTTGCTACAGCTCTTAAAAAAATATAGTATGATTTTACATTTCCCTTACAAAATTCTCACTGTTCTTCTTTCCATAGTAATTAAATTGTTTTTCCTTACACCAGTCTTACAAAGTAGAAAAGTGCAGAAGTTACAAACCTGACTATCCACTGCTTGCTTTTTGGCATAAGGACAAAATCTTTCATTCATAGTTACCAGCAAGGCAATGCTGTCCATAGACACAAGTATTATTGGGCTGTGTGGCCTTAAATCATATGGGAGAGATGAGCTTATGTGCTCCAGATGCAAGAATGAGGTGATATTACCCTTCAGAGACCTGCAAGGTTCTGGAAGCTAGTAAGAAA